TAAGTGCAAAAGGGACATATATATATATATATATATATATATATATATATATATATATATATATATATATATATATGTGCGAGGAGAAAATCCTTGATGAGTTGTGAGGTGTATTATTAAAATAAAATCCACTCCTGAATAGGGTGTGTGCGCAGTTGAAAACAAAATATATGCAGATCACTTTTTTTTTGGTTTTGTATATTTATATAGGATTCGAATTAATCAGAATATTTAAAATAGAATTTTAGAAAAATTTTATAAGAGAGAGAGAGAGAGTGGAGGAAAAAAAACGTATTCTTTTATTTCAAAAACCCTTTTCTTTCAATTTTTTTTTTTCTTAAAGTTTATACTCCTGAACAAACGATAAGGGAAAACAAAACATTAAATAGTGATTCGTAAAAAAAGTATAGTGAAAAAAAATCGAGGACGTAGAATTTCATTTGTAACGTCTTTTATAGAGGTTAGAAAATTACTATTAGAAAACCAAATCGTAAATATGATAAATATAATCAACAAAATATAATACGTCAATTGCAAATAGTAATTATAAGTTAACAAAAATTAACTAAATTAAACTAACAAAAAGAGGTTATATATATGCCTTCAGGAAATAATTTACATACAACTAAGCAGCGCCACCACCATGAACTAAAAATTAGCGGGAAAATTTAAAAAAAATACGTATAACACTTCTAGAGGAAGGGGGTGTTATTTATTACTGTCAGCTAAAAAATACGTTACACGGGGGGGAGGAGGGTTTGAAATTTCCAAATAAAAGCGTTACGTATATATATAGTTTCTAAACAGCCCCAAATCTATTTTTTAAATTACACTTTTTAAGTTTCGCATTATTTTTTTAAGGTTATATGAAGAACGCACCAAAAAATAAAACACGCCTCTTCAACGAAAATATACTACCAACATTAATCTATTAAATTAAGAACATAATCGTAATAAATTTCATATATCTTATAATTCATATCGGAATGTAAAAAATAAAAATTTCATGTTAAATGTTAATTTTTGAACGAGTGAATAATTGTCATGACAAAGTGTGACATGAAAATCACATCTTGACGACATGAAACACCTGATAATGTATAAAAAGGGGGGGGGGGGTTTGGGGTTTATATTAATCGAAGAGTATACTGTTGGCGAATTTCAACGCGCGTGGTTCGTGCTTGAAAACGTGTTGCACGTACAGTTAAGCATCGGGTATCGTTCGAATCGAAGGGGGAACATAGAGGAAAGCGGGTTCGACATCGCCGGTGCGGGCCCTTTGTTATAAAAGAACGACGCGTGCCTCTGCACGTGTGCACGACCAATGCCTATACGCACCCTCTCCCCCCCCTCTCTCTCTCTATCTTACTATTTTTATAATAATCTATCTCACTTGCACGTTTGGCTATACTTTTTAAAATCTTTCTCTCTCTTTTATTATATATATATATATATACCTTAAAAAAGAACGTAGTCATATCTATCATCTAACCCAGGCACCACTTTCATCCATTATTGTCGATCAAGGAAATATTGGCTGGAGTATCGTAAAAGTGAACAAGGAAATGTATCAATTTTCGAGAACACTATTGGTTCTTTATGTCCTTATAGTGTTTTTCAGTAAAGTACTCTAATTTCTCCATTTTTTTCTATTTGCACTAAATTCGTATATTTTAAAATGAATTTTTGTTTATTTTATGATTTTGAAACTACGTTGAATCTACGTCTAACCTACGTCTAACCTACGTTTAACCTACGTTTAACCTACGTTTAACCTACGTTTAACCTACGTTCAACCTTAGTTAAACCTATGTTGAACCTACTTTAACTCCAAATTAAACCTAATTTTAATCTCTGACCTAATTGGGCCCTATTTATAACCTTTTTGGACCCTAATTTAAACCTAAATTAACCCTTTTATATAATCTACTACTTTGACCCGATTTTAAACTCCAGCTACTTTGACCTTAAATTAAACCTAATTTGATCCTACCTTGCACCTATACTTTGACCCAAAATTAAACCTAATTTGAACCTAATATCTGTAACTTAATTAGAATCTGTCTAACCTATATTCTAAGCCTATTTTAACCTTCCTTCAACTTAATTTGAACCTATCTGGAACCTATTTTGACTCTACGTTGAACCTACTTTAACCCCTATACTGTGTACTAAATTTAGCCTTATAGAAAATAACCACTGTTATCCTAAATTGAACCTAATTTGACCATAATTTGAACCTAATTTGACCCTTTATACATTAAAACTACTTCGATCCAAACCAAACCTAATTTTACCTAACCTTGAATCAAATTTTACCCTATGTAAAACTTTTATTGAACATTTTCTAAACCTACTTTAACCCTCCTTCAACCTAATTTGGCCCAAATTTGATCTTACATAAATCCTACTCTAATATGAACCTAATTTAATCCTAACTTGAATCTAATTTGATCCTACATTAAACCTAATTTGACCCTATATTAAACCTAATTTGACCCTACATTAAACCTAATTTGACCCTACATTTAACCTAATTTGACCTACATTAAACCTACTTTGACCCAAGTTAAACCTAATTCTACCTAACGTTGAACCAAATTTAATCTTTTTATAAACTTTATTGAACTTTGAGCCTACTTTAACCTTCCTTAAACCTGATTTTGAACCTATCTGGTACCTAATTTGACCCTAACTTGAACCTAATTTGACCCTACATTAAACCTACTTTGACCCAAGTTAAACCTAATTCTACCTAACCTTGAACCAAATTTAATCTTTTTATAAACTTTATTGAACTTAGAGCCTACTTTAACCTTCCTTAAACCTAATTTTGAACCTATCTGGTACCTAATTTGACCCTACATTAAGCCTCCTTTGACCCAAGTTAAACCTAATTCTACCTAACCTTGAACCAAATTTAATCCTTTTATAAACTTTATTGAACTTTGAGCCTACTTTAACCTTTCTTAAACGTTATTTTGAACCTATCTGGTACCTAATTTGACCCTAACTTGAACCTAATTTGACCTACGTTAAACCTAATTTGACCTACGTTAAACCTAATTTGACCTATGTTAAACCTAATTTGACCTACATTAAACCTACTTTGACCCAATTTAAACCGAAGTTTACCTAACTTTAAACCAAATTTAAACTCTTTTTGAAACTTCTATTGAACCTATTCTGAGCCAACTTTAACCTACTACTACATTGATCCTACATTAGATGATTTGAGTTGAAGAATTATAATTTGTTTATTGTTACGATTTGATTCATAAAAATTACCTTTCTATATACTGCATCCTGTAAACTGAAACAAAAAAATAAATATTACAAAAAGAAATTTAAAAAAAAAAGATGTGTAAACTTACCAAATTTGTAAACGAAAGAACAAAATTTAATCCCAGTTTTGAAACTGCCGTATATATACTCTATAGTGGAGATTTTGATCCATAACCTTTTGTTTATAGAATCATCCTAAGATCCTTTTTAGATTATATTATTCAGTAAAACTGTCTATTGTTCCTGTTTCACTTATATTTCCCAACGTTTTCCCACTTATTAAAAGTAACCTGATCTTAACATCTCATCCTTTTCTTAAAATTATCACAGTGCGTCTATTGTCTTTTCAAACTAAAATTTTGTAGATTTTTTTGTCTATATTTTAATCCTTTAAAATACTTACTTTGTTGGTATTCTTTTTCTCTCTCTCACTTTGCCATAAAAGGCAAAAAAAAATAAACATTTTTAAGATCCATGCACGTGATGTTGAAAATGGACTTCTATATAGAGTATATATATATATATATATATATATATATAGTTTGAAGTATAACCCAATTATAATATTCAGAGCGCGCATGGTATGGGCCCTTTTTTAAAAAAGATGCCTATCATATAAGCCTAGAAAGAAAAGGGCTCTGATGCTTGTAAAAAAAAATGCAAATGCCGAAATAAATTTATTCGACAAGATCGGTCAGTGGATCTTTGCTGCTGATTTTTTTATCATGCCTACGAGGCTCTCTCTCTCTCTCTCTCTCTCTGCGGATAACGCATAACCAAATGTCTTGTGGGCCATATCATCCTACTCATCGTATGGTAATGACTACTGATGAATAGGTTGCGTATCAACTTGACGTGAATATATAACTATGTTCTTCTTTATTATATACAATGAACCTTTTTTTCTTAGTGTCGACAAAATTTTAGCATTAAACGAAGTACTAAAATAGTACCGATTTTAGGTGTACCTAAAATCGGTACCTAAAGTACCTACAGTACCTAAAATACCTAAAGTACTTTAGTATTAGTACCTAAAGTTGGTATTAAATTATAATATACCTTTCGTTTTAGTGTCAGAACTAGAATTTAATAAATCAAAATCAGTAAATAAAATCTCTTACAGATTATTAAAGATTTATCAAACTCGATCATCATCAGCTTCTCCAATTTTGTTTTATATGACAACAGGTGTTCCTTTCAGGCTTCCTTAAATTCTAAAATCATGCATATCATGAGGGAAAATCCATTCGTTAACCCATCATCTCTACCATTAGTATATATAGTCTCTCTACGAGGTTTCGTTCTTATATAGGTGTACACGCGCCCGGTTCTTTTTCTGGCATATGGTGTGCTTTCCCCTCTCTCTCTCTCTCTCTCTCTCTCTCTCTCTCTCTCTCTCTCTCTCTCTCTCTCTCTCTCTCTCTCTCTCTCTCTCTCTCTCTCTCTCTCTCTCTCTCTCTCTCTCTCTCTCTCTCTCTCTCTCAAGTTCCGGGGGAGCACACACCAAACTACATACATAAGGGTCGAGTAAGAAAAACGTGAGGGCTGCTGCTACTGCGGCGCGTGCTCAAAATCCCCACCATTACACCTCTTTTTTTTTCCCCCTCAGAATATAAGTTGGTCCTTCCTCTCTTTCTCTCATACTTGTTTTTATATTGTCACCCCTCTCATTCTTGTTCTTTCTCTCTTTAGCTCTCTCTGAAACCCAACCCATCTATCGGATGTCCGCGCTCATTCTCAATGTAGACGCCATGCCGAGCGTAGCACGCGGTCCGATTAACGCGCATCGCAATTAAAAAACAAAAATTAAGTGATAATTAGTTTTTGTTTTTGTTTTTTTTAATTGTACTATATCGGAATTAGATTCCAAAGAAGAAAGTGAATTTAAACAATTTTGTGCCTTTTGTGCAAAAAAAAAAAACGACCGTTAGTGATACCCCTCTCCCTCCATTTTGAAAACAAAATTTCCAAGAAAGTGAAAGTGTGTATTTGTATTTTCTCCGAAAGTGCAAAATTTCAGTGTATTTTAATTTTTGCTGAATTATTTCAGTAATATTTGAATTCATATTCCAAAAAAGGATGTTCCTATTTGCGATTAATTTGATTTTAGAATTTTTGAAAAAAAAGTAAATCCTTAATTATACCTATAGTGTAAACTAACCTATAGCTTCAAAATTATACCTCAACTTTTCAAAATTGTATTCAAAATCATTGATTTTCATTATTTGACTATATTTAATCATCAAAAATGACGACAATGGGTGTAACTGTTTTCTGTAATCGAGTCCAAATTCCCAATAATGATCGCGATCAAATGATGTTATTGCGAACATTACAGGACAATGAAAGCAATATTCTTGTTAATAGACCACAAATAATAGCGCCAAAAAGTGTTCTAGTGTCAAATTCAAGTGTACCATTAAATACAAATTCAATAAGTGTTGTTCAACCAAATACTCTACCACCATACGATCCAACGAGACTCAAGAAACATGGTAAGAATGGTCAACCGCCACCAATGGCAGTTGCAAGACGCAATGCAAGGGAAAGAAATAGAGTCAAACAGGTGAACGATGGTTTTACAAAATTAAGATCATACATACCAAATCATGTTGCCGCTGGCTATGGTGATAGGGGGAAAAAATTATCTAAAGTCGAAACACTTCGAATGGCCGTTGAATATATAAGGGGGTTAAAAAAATTATTAGCCGACGCCGATGGTGTTGATTATGATTTTAATATTGAACAAGGAATGATGGCAACACCATCACCAACGGGAAGTGTTCTTTCAACAAGTAATGGTTCAGCTGGTGAAAGACTCGATGAGGTTCAAGAGGATTATCTTCTCGACGAAGATGAAGACGATGAGGAGAGACGCCAAAGGACATCCTTAGCAATCAGGTATATAATTAAAATTTTCCATAAAAACTAATATAGAAAAAAAAAACTAATAGAAGTTATATAATTTTGTTTTTTTTTTTCCCCAGGCTATCACCTAATTTACGTACAACAGCGAAAAGAAAACGTAATTCAATTGATTATTTAATTGGTGATGAGGAAAATGTTGAACCAAAAGAATCACGTGGTACATTTGCAAGATTTTCACCCACAACAATAGAATCGCCAAGTGTTGTTGTTAAAAATGAATTTTGTACTGATGATAATTTACAACCAACATCAAGAGTTGTATTATCGCCATACAGTGGTGCAACGACGACTGAAATTGTTGAGGTTCTTCATCCGGAAGATGAGGCAGGAACAACGGTTATCTATACCACAAGTCCTGAGCCATTTTCGGGTGCTTTGTACTATAAGCATGAACCTTCTGAGACAGGCGAGTTTATGGACGTTGTCAGCTGGTGGGAACAGGAACAGGGACGACTGGTTCATCATACACAACCTCACGCTCAACGACTGACGCACGTCTAACCGCATTTTGTACAAGAGGTGAGTTTTTTTTTTTTTTTTTTTTTTTTGATAATCCCAGGCTTTAATGATTCAAACTTTCTTAAAAATCCAATAATTATTTATATGTCTGTGTGGTTGATTCGAAAAAACATTTTGGCGGCTTTTACGTATGCGCAGAAAATTTCTACCTCTTCTGCACGTGCGCACAAAGTTTCTGCTACTTCTAGTTATGCGCACAAAGTAAAAAACACTTTTTACACATTCCTTGAAATTGTAGAAACTTTGTGCGCATATTTTTAATCTATAGAAATTATTTGCGCATGGTTGAAAGAGGTAGAAATTTTTAAAAACGTTTTTTTTTCATACGTTAGTGTTTGTAAAAATTCGCTAAACTCGAAAAAAATAGTACTTCCTGAAAAAGGGGGATATATTTCCGAATGCGCAAATTGTAATTACATTCGGAGAAACATGGTTTTCTTGCAAAAAAAAGGAAGGGGAAAAAATGTTATCGATAAAGGAGTGTAAAATTTTAATGACTTGTTTCTGTTTTATATTATCCACGTGGGAGACCACGTGCGTTCACTTCTTGTAGACTCACTTGGCATGTCTTTTGATGCACGTGGTGAAAGACAGTGAGAAAGAGAGGATGTGGGTTGCAAGTAGAAACTCGTGTAAGAAGACGCGCACGTGGTTGTCATTCGAAAATATAAATATATATATATATATATATACTCTTCCAAAGAACCACTTTGCCTTTTTTCTTTAATATTTCTCACACGACGTCATTTATATACTTTGTATATAGTAGCCAAAATCGCATTCCATTAAGGGAAACGTTCCATCGTCAGTTGCCATGTGCTGCCGGAAATTCTTATATTCCTTTTTTTTCTGAATCATTTTCTGATGATGGAGAAACTAAATTAGGGTTATGTATTTAAAAAACGAACGCGGGGAAGATTGATGGTGTCATGGAGTGATTAATTTGTATAAGGGTTTTACAATTAGTAGGTTTCTATTGTTGTGTTTTCAATTTCAAAAGGGTTAATTATTTTTCGAATAAGGGAGTTCGGTTTTTCTAACGAGAATAATTATTTTTTCAAAGCCATGGTAAGGTTTCTTTAGGCAGAATTTCCCTTAGCTGAAGGAGGAGGAAATTTCCCTCATCCTTGGGAGGCGGAAGTTCCCTTGATTGAAGGAAAGGGAAATCTCCTTGAGGAACGGGAACGTTTCCCTTAGTTGAAGGAGAGGGAAATTTCCCTCATCCTTGGGAAGCGGGAGTTCCCTCAATCGAAGGAAATCTCCTTGCGGAGAGGGAACGTTTCCCTTAGTTGAAGGAGAAGGAAATTTCCCTCAACCTCAGGAAACTGGAAAATCCTCAATCAAAAGGAAGGGAAATTTTTCATTCGGGAAGAGAAAATTTCCTCAGTTGAAGGAGAAGGAAATTTCCCTCATCTGTAGGAAGCGGTAATTAAATTAATCGTAGGAATAGAAGGAGGGTAAAATTTTCCTCATCTTTAGGAAGCGGGAGTTCCCTCAATCGAAGGAAAAGGAAAGGGAAATCTCCTTCCGGAGAGGAAATATCTCCCTTACTTGAAGGAGAAGGAAATTTCCCTTTCCTTCGATTGAGGGAACTCCCGCTTCCTAAGGATAAGGGAAATTTTTTTTTCCTAAAGAGAAAGTTTCCCTTACTTGAAGGAGAGGAAAATTTCCCTCATCCTTAGGAAGCGGGAGTTCCCTCAATCGAAGGAAAAGGAAAGGAAAATCTCCTTCCGGAGAGGGAATATCTCCTATACTTGAAGGAGAGGAAAATTTCCCTCATCCTTAGGAAGCGGGAGTTCCCTCAATTGAAGGAAATGGAAATCCCCTTACGGAAAAGAAATGTTTCCCTTACTTAAAGGAGAAGGAAATTTCCCTTAAACTCAGGAAGTTTAGAATCAAAATTGTAAAAATTCCGCCAGTTTTATTTGAATTTAAAGTCGTTATGGGAAGTTTCGTGTTTCGTCTGGAAAGTGTTTCGGAGACCTCTTTTTCTCTTTCTCTCTCTGTCTGTGGTCTGGAGACATTATCCAGCTACAAATATAGAAGCAATGTTTCCTGAGAAGGGAGAACGTGCCATATATGCGACTATACATAAAATCGACTTAAAAACTTAAAGCCACGGAACGGTACTGGAAACTAGCGTGCCATATGGACAGCAAAAGCGATCGAGATGTCGGCCACAGTATGGATACCATATGCTTGGTAGGAGAGAGAGAGAGCCTTAAACCGTAACCCAAAAGGAAGTCTGTGTTTTTAGTTATTGCACGAAGGATCCTTAAAAATCCCTGACCTTCAGGGAGGGTCATGGCATTAATTAAATGAAGGATCTAGCAAAAAAAAAAGGAAGCGGAGAAAATGATTTTTTTCGAATTAAGAGAAGTTCTTTTTTGTATTAAAAAAATATGTATCGCGTCAGGGTCACGATCGACCGTTGTTGTTTTTTTTTTTTTTGTAAAGCGAGGACACGAGAAAAGTGCGTCGATAAGATTGATACGCGTATGTTGTCATGAAACATGCGGGTGCCACCGGCATAATTGCAGAATAATAATGGACTCTTAATTCTCCATGGCAAATTCTTCTCTTTTATATTTATTTTTGTGTCCCCTACGAAAATCTAGATAAATAAATTAACGAACAAAAACAGGTGTGATGGGATTTAAAAAAAAGAATACATCAGTTTTATTTTTGGATAATTTTTTTTTATTTTTTCAGTAAATTTAAGAAATCTTTTTTTGTTTTCTTTATAGAAAAAAATAAATAGTTTCACACTTCTATAAGGTATGCGGCTATTAAAAAAAATGTGTCTGGAGAGTTTAGAGAGTCAAGGATTCATTTTCACTGATGGCTGCATATATATGTATATTGTAAGATATATAGTTGGACGTCGCGTTTTGCGATAAGCGAATGGTATAGTCTCTCAGGGAGGAATTTATTGAATTAATTTGCCGCGTCGACGCATCTCGTAAACTTCGTTGATGACCTCACTTTGTAATTGTCGTAAATTACTGAACAGTCTCGGGGCCCTTGTGACACAAGAAGAAGAGTTCTTTGTCAATTTTGCATTGTTGTTTCTATAATTTTTTTTTACACTATTAATTTAGAAAAAAAAAATTTTATTTGCGTAGATAATTTGATTTTCTTTTTACTATATAAAGATTTAATTTTTGAGGTTATGTTTGCAGAATAACAATTATTTTTTTGTAAATTGCCTATCTGTTAGTGTAGTAAGGGAAACTTTTCTTTTCCGAAAGAAAAATTTCCCTCTCCTTTGAGGAACGGGAAAGTTTCCTTTACTTGAAGGAGAAGGAAATCTCCTTGAGGAACGGGAACATTTCCCTTACTTGAAGGAGAAGGAAATTTCCTTCATCCTTAGAAAGCGGGAGTTCCCTCAATCGAAGGAAAAGGAAATTTCCTTGCGGAGAGGGAACGTTTCCCTTAATTGAAGGAGAAGAAATTTTCCTTCGATTGAGGGAACTCCCGCTTCCTAAGGACGAGGGAAATTTCCTTCTCCTTTAAGTAAGGGAAACGTTCCCGTTCCTCAAGGAGATTTCCTTTTCCTTTTTTTTCGATTGAAGGAACTCCTGCTTCCTAAGGATGAGGGAAATTATCTTCTCCTTCAACTAAGGGAGAATTTCCCTTTTCTCGATTGGGAAGTGCATTTTGAGGTTATGTTATACAAAATAAATTCAATAGCAAAGAAAATACAGCGTTGCCTAATCGAATCCCTAAATTACCAAAGAATTAAGAGACAACATAACATCAAAAAAAAATTACTAACGGCAAAATCAACAAATAAAATATTAAAATACACAAAATTCAAAATGAAAAATAAACAAAACTATATATATGTATGATGAGAAGAGGGTATTTTTTTAAATAAAAAGAATGATTCCCCATATTTAAAGGGCGCGCGTCCTTTTAAAAATCAAGGGGGAGATGATAGCAACGTCTTTTTTCCCACGATATATACCTATATATATATATATACTATATGGTGATGGTAAAACCTGCGAATTCGACGTGGCATCCCGAATTTAATTTTCCTCGATCCAGGTACGAATCTTATAGGGATCTCATCGTGTATATATATATATATGTGTACGGGAATTTTTGACAATGGGACGAGTAACAATGGGCTCCTGGGTGCTTACAAAAAAGTATATCCTCTCTTCCCTCCTAAAGACCTTAAGGGGCATATTCGATCTCCGCACATATAATATATATATATATATATATATATATATATATATATATATATATATATATATATACACACGAATCTCCCGAAAGTATTTCTTTACCAAACAATAATTCTCATACGACGTCCAACATTAAATTTCAACGGCTTTTCACTATCTGGCAAAAAAAAAAAAAAAAATAGAAATCACATTTTTTTAGGTTGCGGACCCTTTTCAAATTTTGATATTGTTTCTAATAATATTGTCCTTTTTCGAAGAATAACTGCGATTACGTTTTTATTAAAAATTCTTTAAGGGTTCTTTGCGCATTAACATAACCTCAAAATTATAATTTTTTTTTCTTTTAATAACAAATAAAATTATGTTTAAAATTAATTTTATTAAATTTTGAAATATAATAATGTTTAATAATAATAATAATAATTATTATTATTATTATTATTATTATTATTATTATAATGATAGTAGTAATAATAATAATAATAATTAAAAAAATAATTATTAAAATTATTATTTACTATTGTTGCCATGGAAAAAAATATTTATCTGGAACATCGATATGTTTGTCTAGAATAAAAAAAGTTTTCGCTGTTTTAGTGAAACATATATAGATTTTTGTTGCAGTGAAATTTTTCGCTGTTCCAAGTAAAAAAATTTTTCCCCATATGTATATAAAATTACAATTGCATTTTAAATTAATATTTATTTTTTTCCCCCTATAAAAATATTATAATTTAAAAAAAAAAAGTTTGAAAATTTCAGAAAATTTTAAATAGATTGTTTTTTTTTCTGTTACAGATTTATCTCTCTCGATATATATATATTTTTTTCTCGAGAAGAAGCGGCTATAACAATTCGAGGCAAGAGACTATTTCAACTAACAAAAAAAAAATTGTAATTTATAAAATTATTTAATTTAAATTTAATTAATTTAAATCCAAAAATATTTATTTCTTTTAAACAAGTTTTTATTTAAAAAAAAACTTATTTTCGAAACTAAAAAAACGAAAATTAACATTAATATTTTATAAACAATTTAAAGTGAAATAATATTAAAAAATAAATATTTAAATAATAAACTATTTAATAAATCTTCCACACTGTAATAAAAAAGAAGGATTAAATTTTTTTCAAATTTTCATTTCAAAAATTAAAAACAAAAACAAAACTATAATAAATTTTTTAACATGTGAAATGAAAAAAAATTATATTAAAAAAAAATTTATTTCTTCTTTTTTAAATTTTGGAAGGAGCAAATTTTGAAACCGCCCTAATATACAATATATATATATATAGAAATCGATAGTGATAAATTGAAAAATACTAATTTATATCCAAAATGTGTCTTAAAGGTGCCTTCAATTTATTTAAGGCGCATTTTTCTCTCGAGTATATATATATATACGTATATATCAAAAATGGTTCCTGGGATCAATTTTAATTTTCACATGGTAGAAATTTTTTTTGTTTTACTATGTGAAAATTCATCCTACATTGTACAGAAATAATATTAAAAAACAAAAATAATAATAATAATAATAATAATAATAACAAAAATAAAAAAATTATAATTTTATTGTTATTATTATTATTATTATTATTATTATTATTATTAATAATAACAATAGTAATAATGATAAAAATTATTATTATTATTATTATTATTATTATTATTATTATTATTATTGTAATTACAATAATTATTATATAATTACTATAATAAGAATAACAATAAAAATAGTAATAAACTAACAATAATAGTTTACAATAAAATTAATATTAATAATAGTAATTAGAAATAAAAGTATAAAATAATTAATTATAAGAAAAAAAGGGACAAAATATTTCTATAAACTAGTCCAACTGTTTTTTTCTTCTTTTTTTTTGGTGCTCCGTTTTTTGAAAATGGTGAAAAAAAAGAAGGAAACAAAATATGGGCATTATTATACCCTTTATATATATAGACAAATAAAGTGACACCAGATGATAAATAAATAGTAATTAAAAAAATCTATTTTCTAGAAATATTTTATAATTATAGATAATAATAATAATAATATTTTTCCTATATGTAACAATGAGATCTTTAAATTTTTCAAATATTAAAGTTTTTTTATTTAAATTAAATAAAAAAAAATTTCTTTAGAAAAAAATTTTAAAAAAAATTAAAAAAATTTTTTTTTTTTATAAAAAAATTTTGATTTGAGAAATGTATATTCTTTATAGAAAATGAGACTTTTTGGCAGAATTTCAAGAAAAATGTCACTGCAAATGAATGTTAATTTAAAAATAGTTTCTTGAATATATATATGTACCATTTCTTCGAAACGTGGAATTTTTATAAATGTTAAGATTTTTGAAAGATAGAGAAAGAAAGAAAAAAAAATTGAAAGAGAGAAAGAAAATTATTGTAAATATATTTTTTTTAAAACTTTTTACTGTTTTTTGATAATATTCGCTTTCTATTAAAGAACAATTTTTCTACAATATTTTTTAATATAAAATTGTATAAGAAGAAAATCTTTATCAAATTATTATGTACTATGTAAGAAATTTTGTAAATTTTTTTTTTATGCAAAAGGCAGAATTTTTTTTTGTTTTTTTTTTAAATTTTCTCATTAAAAAACATTAATAATAACAATAATTAGATTTTTGCAATTTTTAAAATAAATCCAATTAATTTTAATTTACATAAATTTACACATTTAATATATTACGCAATTAAATTTTATATATGATTTTAAAAATTCAATGAAATAATAATAAGTTTAATTAAATTAATTAATTTACTTAATTAAATTAATAAATTTTGCTAATTAAATTAATCGATTTAAAATTTAATCATCTAACCTAATTTTTATAATTAAATTAAAAGTAAATATTAAATTTTAATTCAGTTTAAAAAAAAGAAAATAATATTGTTATTTTAAATTTAAAAAAAAAAATTAAATTCACAATTTACCTTGATTTTTGACTGAATTAAAATAATAATTTATTAATCTCAATATGGAAAAAGAAAATCAAAATAAAGTGATATATATATTTAATTATGTAAAATTGTATAAATTTGAAAAAAAATGATTAAAAATCATTTGAAGAAAAAAAGTATATAATATTATTAATTATTCGAAAAATTGTCGTGAGAATGTTGAAAATATTTATATGCTCTATATATATATATACGTATACGAAATATAATATGAAATTCTTGACATTGTTTATAAACACGATGATTGCTGCCTTATTTATTCAATAATCTTTATTCATTGCTACAATGACGTGAACCAACAAAAAAAAAAAAAAAACGAAAAGTAGCAAAGAAAAAAAATATGAATCATCATTTTTTTTTTTTGTATATAAATGTGCCTTAATTAATATTGCCAGATACTTCATTAATTTGTAAGGAAACTATTTTTTGTACTATTGATATTTTTTATCGAATATTTAATTAAATGCATTTTACTATTTATGACAATATAAATAAAGTATATGTTATTATTTTCTATTCCTTTCCTATATTTTCATTTTTATTTTCCTATATAATTCTAAATGATTTGAAAAAAAACATTATATTTTTTCGAAAACTGTACAGGATTTTAGATTTTTTTTATGTTTTTATTATTATTTTTTTTTGTCTAACAAAATTATAAATTCAAAATAATAATTTTTCATTTATTTATATTTCAATAATTTTCAAATTTGGCGCCATTAATTATAGTTTTTGTGTTTACATCGTTGGTACTCGTGCATGTGTCACATCACAAGTTTCCTAACCTAAAAATTTATAACAATATAAATATAAATAAATAATTTTTAAAAAATGGTTTATTTTGAAAAATTTTCAAATTTAGCGCCATTAATCATAGTTTTGTGTTTACATGGTTGGTACTTATGTCTTCGCCAATTCACAAAATTCCTAACCTAAAAATTCTACTATTTACTAATTAAACCCCAGTTTTTTTGAAAAAAATTAAAATATTTTCACACCATTCAGAAAATTAATAAAAAAAAAGGTATAGAAAGGAGGGGGGGGGGTATTTTACACTATTAATAATTAATATTTATTAAAGTAGAAAATAAACTTTAATAAGAAAATTTGAAGACTAAATAATTATTTTCAAAAATAGGAAAAAATAATAAAATGAGGGGTTCTTAAAAGATGTAAAAAAAAAGAAATTAGAAAATGGGGCCCATAATTACAATGAGCAAAGTACCTGTCTATCGATAATTTAGTAATTTATTAAATTGGCCCTGTCTGGTAAGGGGGCGAGTTCTCTCTCTCTCTCTCTCTCTCTCTCTCTCTCTCTCTCTCTAGGGTTAACTCGTGTTCGTGTAAAAGGGGGTGTTGACTTCCGCTTTACAGGGGAGGTTTACCAGAGGGTCCAAAAAAAAGAGAGTGGGGGCTAGGAGGGTATGAGAGGTGAGTGGACTCAACTACGTCATTTCCGGCGGACGTTATCCAGTGATCATTTCCGGTTTATAATTTTCCTGCGCCCCATACTCATCCCTCATACTTTACTTCTTGGCACCCCTCGTTTTCTTTTTATTAACTCCCTTCCACCCCCTTGGGGGGTCTTTTTGTAATATTTAAAATTTCTATAAACAATAATAATTAATTAATAAAAAAAAAAAAAAAATTCAATTTTTTAAACCTTTTTTCAAAATTATATAATAGTTTATTAAACAAAATTAAAAAAAAAAATTTTTTTTTAGAATGACAATAAGGTGAAAATTATGATTATGATGATAATAATAATTACTATGTGTGTGAATTATGTTTAAACCGGAAATTGTTAAGCTATTGTCATTGGGGAAAAATAATGAATAATTATTATTCTCATACCGTGTGTGTTACAAAAATTCATTTAAGAAACATTGCATTTTAAACGTAATATTGTATAATTAATATATAATGTGTGTATTACTTATCATGATTCAAAATTACAAGAACTTTGTTTAGAATTTTAAAACAATGACATTTAATAAATTTTTAATGAATATATGAAATAAAACTAGTTTTTAAACCACATCAAACTAGGTTTTGAAATATTATTAATTGTTTTTTTTTTTAACTAATTCAAACTAGTTCTAAACCATATTTTCACAAGGTTTTTTTTTTAACGGTCTGAAACTTGTTTTCAACTGATCATGACTGGTTTGTAAGAGTCACGAACTTGTTTTTGAACCAGTTATGACTGATTTGAAAAAGTTTTGAACTTGTTTTAAAATAGTTATAAACAATATTTAGTGATATTAGTTCTGTTACGAACTAGTTAGGACAGGTTCGAAACAATATCAAACTAGTTTTGAACAACTTTGAATTTGTTTTGAATTAGTCACGACTGATTTGCAATAGTTTCGAACTTGTTTTGAACTAGTTCAAAACAATTTTTAACTATTTTTAGTCCTGTTTCGAACTAGTTTGGACAGGTTCGAAACAGTCTCGAACATGTTTAGAACTAGTTATGACTGATTTGAAAGTGTTTTGAACTAATTCGAAAATTTTTTTGAACGATTTTAGTTATGTTTCAAACTCTTTTGGACAGGTTCTAAACATTTTTTTAACTAGTTTTGAACCTCTTTGCATTTGTTTTGAACTAGTTACGACTTCTTTTCTAACAGTCTCCAACTTGTTTCGAACTATTTTGGACAGGTTCTAAACAGTCTCGAACATGTTTTGAACTAGTTATGATTGATTTGAAAGTGTTTTGAACTAGTTCGAAAATTTTTTTAACGTTTTTAGTTCTGTTACGAACTAGTTAGGACAGGTACGAAACAATCTCAAACTAGTTTTGAACCACTTTGAATTTGTTTTGAATTAGTCACGACTGATTTGTAACAGGCTCGAACTTGTTTTGAATTAGTTCGAAACAATTTTTAACTATTTTAGACCTGTTTCGAACTAGTTTGGACAGGTTCGAAATAGTTTTGAACATGTTTTGAACTAGTTATGATTGATTTGAAAGTGTTTTGAACTAATTCGAAATTTTTTTTTTAACGATTTTACTTTGTTTCAAACTCTTTTGGACAGGTTCTAAACATTTTTTAACTAGTTTTGAACCTCTTTGCATTTGTTTTGAACTAGTTACGACTTTTTTCTAACAGTCTCCAACTTGTTTCGAACTATTTTGGACAGGTTTGAAACAGTCTCGAACATGTTTAGAACTAGTTATGACTGATTTGAAAGTGTTTTGAACTAGTTCGAAACTATTTTTAACGTTTATAGTTTTGTTTCGAACTAGTTTGGACAAGTTCGAAACAATTTTGAAATAGTTTTGAACCACTTTGAATTTGTTTCGAACTATTTTGGACAGGATTGAAACAGTCTCGAACATGTTTAGAACTAGTTATGACTGATTTGAAAGTGTTTTGAACTAGTTCGAAACTATTTTTAACGTTTTTAGTTTTGTTTCGAACTAGTTTGGACAAGTTCGAAACAATTTTTAAATAGTTTTGAACCACTTTGAATTTGTTTTGAACTAGTTAGGACTGGTTTTTAAATGTCTCGAACTTGTTTTGAACTAGTTTTGAACCATTTTGAACTGGTTTTTATCTAATTAGAACTCGTTCAAAACAATTAAATACTAATTTCTTTTATAATTATAGCTGGTTTTGAACTACTTTGGACTAGTTTTGAACAAGTTGGAACTGGTACAAAAACAATTTCTAATTTATCTAATCCGTTCAGAAATGTTTTTTTAAAAATATAAACTAGTTTTAAACAACATTGAATTTGTTTAGAAATCTTTGGAATAAATTTTGATATTCCTAATTTAATGAATGACAAAAATGAAATATATAAAGTTTTTTTTTTTTTTGAAAAATGAAAAATTAATAAAAAATTTTTTAAAAATCATTTTTAATTGAAATTTTTTAATTAGAAAAAAGTAGAATGAAAATGAATTTTAAACTATTTCCTTCATTAGAAATCATTATTAGAAAATAGAAACGTAATATATTTTCAATATTGTCATTTTCCTGTCGTGCGTTAATTAAATTTTGCGATTCTAAATGTCAAGGAAAGTATAAGAAAAGGTCAGTGAATAAAGCAAATAAAATTGAATATTTCCTTCTATTCTTGAAAATGAGGTAACTTACGAGACTGTAATATTCACATATTTTCAGTTTCTTTTTTTTTTTCTTTAAAAAAAAAAATTTTTTTTTTCTCGAATTCACATTAATAGGGGGTGGGAGTAAAAAAAAATTTGGGGGGGGGTGGTGGTGGTGGTGGGGAGAACTAATAACGATTTTAAGAAGGGTTGATTATTGAAAATTGCCACTATATAAAGGGGGGAAAAGAAATTGCACTGGTTGTAGTTTTTTATCTACTGTGTCTTTTGAGGGAAAAAGTAATAGATTTTTTTTTTAAATTAATTTTTTTTTTTTTTAAATTAATTTTTTTTTTTTTTTTTGAAAAAAAGAAATAGTGCAAGGAAATATTTTTATATTGATTTTTTTTGTTTTTTGTTTTAGTAAGAATAAATTTTTTAATCATGGAAGCGGTACCCATGGAAAGTTCCGTTTTCTCAACGCCAATTTTATTTCCTTTATTATCAGTGGCTACAATTTTATTTGCCCTCTATTATTATATGGAATCAATGCATGTTTTTAAACTTGGAAAAAAACTGCCTGGTATGTAATTTTTATTTGAATGTGAACATTTTAATAATTTTTTTATTTATTTAACATTTTTAATTTTTATTATAAAAAAAAGAAATTATTTTTCTTCTAAAAATATATATATATATATTTTTTTTTTAATAAAAATATAATTAAAAATTTTGATAATTGTATGACTAAATTTTTTTTTTATATATAATTATTAATAACTTATATTTTACTTTTTTTATTTATTTTTTTAGTGATAAAATTTATCCCTTGAAAAAAAAAATTTATTTTATTTTTTTCTTTACAAATTTGTTGTAAAATTGTATATTTAAAATTTTATATATTTATTTAAATATTATTTTACAATTTTTTTTTTATATGTAAAATTGTTACATGAAAAAAAAATTAAAAATTTTTAAAAATATTTAGAAAAAAATTTTTTTAAAAAAATATTTTTCATCCAATTTTTAGGACCCCAAACAATACCATTCTTTGGCAATGCTCACAGTTTTCTTAATGTAAAGCCAAAAGATATTTTAAAAAAGATTCTTGAAATTGATGTTTATGGAAATGTTGTTCGTGCATTCATTGGACCAAAACTTCTTGTATTCCTCTCAGATCCCAGAGATGTTGAAATTATACTCAGCAGTCAAGTTCATCTTGACAAATCGGCAGAGTATAGGTAATTTTTTTTTTTTTTTTATTCAAAAAAACTAATTTCAATTTCAATTATAATTTTAAATAATTTCTTTTATTAATAAAAATAGTTAAAAAAAAATAATAGTAATAATAATAATAATAATAATAATAATAATAATATTAATAAAAATAATAATAATAATAATAATAATTTTTTTTTTAAATAATTTTTTTCCATTATTAAAATTATTAAAAGTAAAATATTAAAATTATAAAATTAAAAAATGTAAAATATATTAATTTATTAAATAAATATTTTAAAAAAAAATAAAAATTCAAAAAAACAAAAAATAATGTAAAAATTATTTATTTGCAAAGGTTTTTTAAGCCATGGTTGGGTGAAGGTTTACTAATTAATACAGGAGAAAAATGGAGAAGACATAGAAAAATAATTGCCCCAGCATTTCATTTAAATGTTTTGCGTTCATTTGTCCCCTATTTCTATGAAAATAGTCGTGATGTTGTAATGCGAATGAAAAAAGAAAATGGAAAAGAATTTGATGCACATAATTATATGTCAAGTATCACTGTTGATATTTTATTGGAAACTGCAATGGGTTGTCGTGGTGAAAATAAGGAGACAAGTGGTTTCGATTATGCCGTAGCAGTTATGAAGTAAGTTTATTTATTTTGTTTTTTTTTTTAATAAAATTTTTCATTTTAATTTTTTTTTCAATTTCAATTTATTTTTTTATTTAATTTATTTCTTTATTTTATTTTCTATTAAATTTAAATTTTAATCTAATTTAATTTTTATTCATTTTAATTTTTGATAAATTTAATTTTTTTAAATTTAATTTTTTTGAATTTAATTTTTATTCAATTTTATTTTAATTAAATTTCATTTTTATTAAATTTCATTTTTGAAATGAAATTAAATATTTTAATTTAATTTTAATGATATGCTAAAAGGTTATGCCATTTGCATAGAAGTGTCATAATGTCATTTTGATTTTTGAATATTAGTCAATTAATTATTAATGAAATCGATGAAATGTATGAATTTAGTGCATTTTTGTGAATATGCATACAATCTAAAAAAAAAGAATGTATAAGAAAAAAATTCACATTTCGGAGAAAATTTCTCTTCTTGGAATTGTTGATTACGAATTCAACGTCAGAATTTAAAAATTCAAAATGGCCGATCCACTATGGCGGAAATTTTTTCTAAAATTAATCCAATTCGCTTGAATCTTGTCACTCGGGGTTTTTTTTTTTTTTTTTTGAAGTCGCTGATTACGAATTCGACGTCAGATTTTCAAAATTCAAAATGGCGGATCCAATATGGCGGACATTTTTTCAAAGTTAATCAAAATTTACTTAAAACTTTATACTCGGAGTTTTTCGGGGTCGCTGATCACCAAATTCAAACCAATTATGACTGATTTGAACAAGTTTTAAACATGTTTTGAAATAATAAAAAAACAATATTTAATGACATTGGTTCTATTTCGAACTAGTTAGAACAGGTTCAAAGCAATCTTAAATTAGTTTTGAACCACTTTAAAATTTGTTTTGAACTAGTCACAATTGTTTTGCAACAGTCTTGAACTTGTTTTGAACAGGTTTGAAACAATTTCGAATTAGTTTTGAACAACTTTGAATTTGCTTTGAACTAGTTACGACTGGTTACTAACAGTCTCAAACTTGTTTTGAACTAGTTATGACTGATTTAAAAGTGTTCTGAACTTGTTTTAAACTAATTTGAAACAATTTTCAACGGTTTTAGTTCTGTTTCGAACTAGTTTAGACAAGTTCGAAACAATTTCGAACTAGTTTTGAACCACATTGATGTTTTGTGAACCAGTTAGGACTTGTTTCGAACTAGTTTGAACAGGTTCGAAATAATATGACGGAAATTTTCTTTAAAATTGAACCAATTCGCTTGAATCTTATTTACTCGGGGGTTTTCAAGATCACTGATTACGAATTCAACGTTAAAATTTCAAAATTCAAAATGGCGGATCCAATATGGCGGCAATTTTTTTTTCAAAATTGATCAAAATTTACTTAAAACTTTGTACTCGGGGGTTTTCGTGGTCGCTGATTACGAATTCGATGTCAGTTTTAAAAAATTCAAAATGGCGGATCCAATATGGCGGAATTTTTGTCAAATTTTGATTCAATTCGCTTGAAACTGGTTACTTGAGGGTTTTCAAGGTCGCTGATTACGAATCCAATATTAGATTTTCAAAAATCAAAATGGCGGATCCAATATGGCGGAAATTTTTTTCAAAATTGATCAAAATTTACTTAAAACTTTGTACTCGGGGGTTTTCGTGGTCGCTGATTACGAATTCGATGTCAGTTTTAAAAAAATTCAAAATGACGGATCCAATATGGTGGAATTTTTTTTTAAATTTTGATTTAATTCGCTTGAAAATGGTTACTTGGGGGTTTTCAAGGTCGCTGATTACGAATCCAATATTAGATTTTCAAAAATCAAAATGGCGGATCCAATTTAAAAAAAAAAAAATTTCCTGAAATAAAAAAAAAAAATTTTTTTCCCCTATATAGATTGAGTGAAATTCTTCATCGACGACATTATGATATATTATTGAGAATGGATGCATTCTTTAAATTTACCAATTTAGCTAAGCAGGAAGTGAAACTTTTAAATACAATTCATACACTCACGTCACGTGTCATTAGAAAACGTAAAGCTGAATTTGCAGCAAAAGGACAACTTCCACTTGCCGAGAGGGAAAAACAAAAAGAAGAGGAACTCAAGAAAATTATGGAAAATGTTAAAACTGATGAGAAAAAAACGGCTTATACAAATTTACATTATGTTCGCGATGATCTTGATGAAATTGACGAGAATGACGTTGGTAGGATTTTTATTTTTTTTTATTTCATTGCAAAAAAAAAAAATCGAAAGTTGAAGGCGTGGCAACCATCGAGAGCGATTAGACACTAGCAGCTCTTAAGTTGCTTAACCTCGACGATTGCTTAGCCAGGACATAACCATCTCAGCTTAAAAATTCTTTTTTTTCTTTCTTTCTTTCTTTCTTTTCAAAAATTAATCCCTATTATTTTTTTCCTTTTCTTATTATTTATTTAATTTTTTTTCTTTTAATTTAAATAAATAAAACTAAAAATAGAAATAAAATAAAAAAAAAAAAAATTATATTCCTTCAAATCAGGTGAGAAGAAAAGACTTGCGTTTTTGGATCTCTTGCTAGAAATGACAAGAGGAGATGGTCCAAAATTAACAGAGGAGGAAGTACGAGAGGAAGTCGATACAATTATGTTTGAGGTTTTATTTATAATAATATAATTTTATAATTATTTTAATATTTTTATAATTTTATTTTTTATAAAAAAAAGGGGAAAAAATTGTTAGAAAAATTTTCAAAAAAGCATTTTTATTTTTTCTTTTTTATTCAGGGTCACGACACAACAGCGTCTGGATCAAGTTTTGCCCTTTGTGTCCTCGCAGCCCATCAGGATATTCAAGTAAGTTAACACAAGTAAATATATATATATATATATATATATATATATATATATATGTGACATATATTTGAAAATACAAATCATCATAAATTTAATTCTTTTCTTTTGTACACGCAAGTCAACCGGATATTGTTGAATATGTCGCAAATAAATTACATATATTAAGTACATTGTATCAACAATATTACAGTCATTTTTCAATGAAAATTGAATACATTTTTTTGGTATTGTTATAATAATAATAATAATACTAGGTTTTAATGACTATAATAATAATAGTCTATTAATTAATGAGAATGTCATTAATGTAATATTTTTTCTTCAAAAAAAAAGGAAAAGGAATATTTTTAAAATTTATATTTTTTTTTTGAAAATATTAACTTTTTCCAAAAAATAGAACCTTTTTGGAAAAATAGAAATTTTTTTTTAAAATATTTTTATGGAAAATACCACTTTTTTTGAAAGTAAGAAACTGCACTTGTAAAAATGAATTTTATTTTCCGAAATTATTATTAATATTATTATTATTGTTAATAATAATAATAATAATAATAATAATAATAATAATAATAATAATAATAATAATAATAATAATAATAATAATAATAATAATAATAATAATAATAATAATAATAATAATAATAATATCTTTTTTGGAAAATATTAACTTTTTCTAAAAAATAGAACCGTTTTGGGAAAATAGAAATTTTTTTTTTTAATATTTTTTTTGAAAAATACTACTTTTTTGAAAGTAAGAAACTTCCATTGTAAAAATAAATTTTATTTTCCGAAATTATTATTATTATTATTAATATTATTATTATTGTTAATAATAATAATAATAATAATAATATTTTTTTTGAAAATATAAACTTTTTCTTTGAAAATAGTATTTTTTGGAAAATTATTAATATTATTATTATTATTATTATTATTATTATTATTATTTTTTTTTTATCAAGTTTAATTTTCTAAATAAATAATAATAATAATAATTTTAAAATTTGTCCTCATTTTCTAGGCCCGTGTGTTTGAAGAACAACAGGAAATTTTTAAGGGCACAGATAGACCATGCACATTCCAAGATACAATTGAGATGAAATATTTGGAAAGAGTTATTTTGGAAACACTTAGATTATATCCACCTGTACCGGCAATTGCAAGACATCTTAATCAAGATGTGAAACTTGGTAATTTTAATTATTTTTATTATTTTATTTTATTTAAAAAATAATAATATCAAATATTTAACAATTTTTTTTTTTTAAGATAAATTTTTGTATTTGAAAAAAAGAAAAAATTTTTTTTTTTTGGTAAAATTTAATTTTTTTGTTTTTTTTTTGTTTATTTTTTAGCCTCTGGTGATCACATTGTACCAAAGGGAAGTACAGTTGTTATTGCTCAATATAAAATACATCGAAATGAAGAATATTATCCAAATCCTGAAGTTTTTAATCCTGATAATTTTTTGCCTGAAAAAATGCAAAGTAGACATTATTATTCCTACATTCCATTTAGCGCTGGACCCAGGTTTGTATTTTATTTATTTATTTAGAAAAGGAAAAAAAAAATTTAATTTTGAAAAGAAAAAAAAATTTAATTTTGAAAAATAATTTATTTTTAATTAAAAAATAAATAAATAATTTTTAATTATAAAAATTAGGTAAATTGTTTTTTTTTTAATTAAACAAAATATTAATTATTTTTAATTCAAAAAAAAAGAAAGAAATTATTTTAAATTAAATAAAAAAATTATTTTTTAATTAAATATAGAAATTATTTTTAATTGAATAAAGAAATTATTTTTAATTAAATAAAGAAATTGTTTTTAATTAAAAAAAATTAATTATTTTTAATTTGAAAAAAGGAAAAACAAATTTATTTCAATTTTTATAATTAATTTCAAAATTTTGTAAAACAGGTCCTGCGTTGGAAGGAAATTTGCAATGTTGAAATTAAAAGTGTTGCTTTCAACAATTATACGCAACTATAAAATTAATTCGGACTTTACCGAAAAGGACTTTCAATTGACAATAGACATCATTCTCAAGAGATCAGATGGATTTAAAATAAAATTAGAACCACGAGTCAAAGCCAGTGCATAGATATTATGATAATTAAATTATTACAAAAATTGTATATTATTTATATAAAGATAGTATAAATATATTTATATATATATATATATATAAATATGGCATTAGGCTTTTGAAATAATAAAATAAATCACAATTTTACAAAAAAATTTCGAGTTTAATTTATTATTAAAAAAAAAAAAAAATTTTCATTTAATTTTAAGAAACCACTAATATTTTTTTTTTAATTCTATTATTTTTATAATTTGAATTTTTCAAATTTTCACTCCTTCCATTATTTTTTAATATTTTGACACACATTTTTTTTTTAAATAATTTTAAATTAAAATAATTTTAAATTAAAATAATATATTTAACAAATTCTATATATTCTTTGACATACAAAAAAAAAAATTTATTTCCAAAAAAAAAAGAAATTATAAATTTTAACCGGAAAAAGTTCTAAAAATAATTTTAAAATTGTGTCACTTTTAAAATAATGCAAAGAAATTCTGCATTTAATTATAGTACTATAAATAAGAAATTAATTATAAATTATAACAAATATAAAATACTTTTAATCTAAAATTCCAACAAAAAATCAATTTATGTTACTTTTTTTTATTATCTTCTAAAATCATAATAAAAAATCAATTCAGCGATAATGATGAAAAAAGAAAAGAATTTTTTTTTTACCATGGATTTGATGTTTACAATTTTTGTTTTCTATTAAAAAAAAAATAATAAAGACTAAAAAAGTATTAAATAATACTTGAAAAAATTATTTTGACAAAAATTTTAATTTAATAATTTAAATTAAAAACTACTTTTTGAAAATATTTCCAATAAATTATAAATCACTTTAAATTAGTATTGAAATTTTTGAACTTGTTTGTAATTTGTTTAAGTACTAGTTTTGAACAATTTCTAACTGGTATTGAACCACTCTGAACTGGTATTAAATTATTTTAAACTTGTTTTGAACAACTTGGAACTGTTTCATTTAAATTATATTTGTTTTTAAATGATTAGAAATAGTTTTGAATAGATTTAAAGTGGTTCGAAACAATTTTGAACTGGTTTTAAACTATTTTTAACTTGTTTTGAATAGTTTAGAACATGTTTTGAACCACTTTGAACTATTTTGATATTATTTTTAACTAGTTAGGATTGATTAAAAAAAACAATTTCAAACTGGTTTCAAACAATTTCGAAATGGTTTTAAACAATTTTGAACTGGTTTCAAACCATTTTGAAATGGTTGTGAATAATCACGAATACGTTTTGAACCACTTCGAACGGTTTTTTTTTAAAACTAGTTTGGTCTTGTTTATAATTAATTACAACAGGTTTGGGACAGTTTTAAATAGTTTTTAAACCATTTTGAACTGGTTTTTCGTAATTGAAAACTTGTTTTGAACAACTTGAAACTCCCTTTTTTTAAGGTCTTGTTTTCAATTCGTTAGAATTGGTTCGAAACAATTTCGAACTAGTTTCAAACTATTTTGAACTTGTTTTGAACCATTTCAAACTGGTTTTTAACTACTCAAATATGGTTTTTAACTAGTTAATATTGGTTTCAAAATAATTATTATTAACTGGTTTTAAACCATTTTTGAACTTGTTTTGAATAATTTCGAATATGTTTTGTACCGAATCGAACTGTTTTTCAACTTCTGTGCTGTCTCGTTTATAACTAATTACGATTGGTTTGGGACAGTTCTAAATAAATTTTTTTTTTTTTACCAATTTGAACTAGTTTTTCATTATTAAAAATTTGTTTTGAACAACTTGTAAGTGGTTTTGAGCTACATAGGTCTTATTTTCAATTACTTTGGATTTGTTTCGAACAACTTTGAACTGGTTTTAAAACATTTTGAACTTGTTATGGATTATTTAGAATATGTTTTGAATCACCTTGAACTGTTTTTAAAGTACTTTAATATTGTTTTTGACTGATTGGAATTAGTTCGAAACAGATTAAGATCGGTTCTAAACAAGTTTGAAACAGTTTCAAACCATTTTGAACATGTTTCGAATAATTTCTAATATATTTTGAACCACTTCGAACTGTTTTCAAAAACACTTTAATCTTGTTTGTAACTAGTGAGGATCGGTTCGAAACAAGTTTGAAATGGTTTCAAACCATTTTGAATATGTTTCGAATAATTTCTAATATATTTTGAACCACTTCGAACTGTTTTCAAAAACACTTTAATCTTGTCTGTAACTAGTTAGGTTGGAAACAAGTTTGAAACGGTTTCAAACCATTTTGAACATGTTTCGAATAATTTCTAATATATTTTGAACCACTTCGAACTGTTTTCAAAAACACTTTAATCTTGTTTGTAACTAGTTAGGTTGTAAACAAGTTTGAAACGGTTTCAAACCATTTTGAACATGTTTCGAATAATTTCGAACATATTTTGAACCACTTCTAACTGGTTTTTTTTTTGAATTTTTTTTTTTTTTTGTTATATATTTTAAAACACACAAATTGAACTATTTGAAAAAAGAAATTAAATAAATTAAAAATTATTTCAAAAAAATAAGTTTAAAAATTTTTTTTTTTTTAATAAATCAATTTTTTGTAAAAAAAAAGCATGAAAAAAGAAGAAGAATGAAATAAAATTTTTAATTAATTTTCTTCATTATAGAAATTATCATCAATTAATGTAAAAACATGATGTCAATTAACATTGTGTCGTTTTTCTGTCGCAAGTTGATAAAATTTGCGTTTCTAAATGTCAAGGAAGATATATAAAAAGGTCAATGAATAAAGCAAATAAAATGGAATTTTTTTTTTTTTCATCATTTCTTGTATATGAATGCGGTCACTCTATTGTTTATATAGTCCTCCCACTTTTTTGTTTTTTAACACAGATATTTGATAATATTGTCGTGATTTTGCGTTAAAAATTGGGATGGTGGAGGGGGGTGGAAAAAAAAGACGATGGGTGGGGTGGAGTACGACAATTTAAGAAGGGGGGTTGTCCTGAAATTGTCTTTCTCTCTATAAATATAGTGCGAGAAGACAAAAAAAAAAAAAAATTGCACTGATTTGTAGTTGTCTTTTTTTTTTGTTAAAAAAAGATAAAAAAAAAAACTAAATAACTTGTTTTTTGTTAAAAAAAAAATTAAATAAATTGTTTTTTTTTAATAAATGAAAAATAAAAAAAATTTTATTTTTTTGAGAGAAAATTAAAAAAAAAAAAAAGAAATAAATATTAAATGAAAATAAAATAAATAGTGATTGTTTATTTACAATCATGGAAGCTGTGCCTATGGAATATTCTTTTTTTTCATCACCATTTTTATATCCTCTATTGACAATAGCTACTGTTTTATTTGCCGTTTATTATTATATTGAATCATTGCGAATCGTGAAACTTGGAAAAAAATTACCTGGTATGTAATTTAATATTTTTGTAAATAATAAAAAAAAAATTTTTTTTTTTGTTTTTATTGTTTATTTTTTTTATTATTATTTTATTATAAATTTTTATTATTTTACTAGCTATATGTAATGTTTATTTTTATTATAATCGTAGGTTATTTTTTTTTAATTTTTTTATAATAATATATTTTTTGCAATAATTTAACTTAATTTTTAATAATTTTTTTTTAAAGTTCTGTAAATTATTGTAAAAATTTTATTAATTTTATTTTTAATGAAAAAAAAAAATTCGAATATAGAGGCGATAGTCAATTTTTTTTTACTTCAAAAAATAATAATATTATTATTATTATTGTAAAAAAATTTAATAAACAAATTTTTAACAATTTTTTTTTTTTTTTTGTGAAATTTTTAGGACCGCCGACAGTTCCATTTCTTGGCAATGCTCTATTAGCGGTTAATGTAAAACCAAAAGATGTTTTAAGTAAAGTTCTTGAGCTTGATATTTATGGAAATGTAGCGCGAGCATTTTTAGGACCAAAACTTGTTGTTTTTCTTGCTGATCCTAAAGACGTTGAAGTTATACTCAGTAGTCATGTTCACATTGACAAATCGCCAGAGTATAAGTAAAGTTTTTTTTTTTTTTTATTTTTTACCAAAAAATTAAGTTAATAATCAAAATTAAATTATTTTCAATAATTATTATTATTATTATTAAATAAATTTTCTATTTTAAATAATTTTTCTTAGTAAATAAATTTTTTTTATAAAATAATTTTTAAATTTAATAATTTTTTTTTTTTCATTTAAAAATTAAAATTAATATTATAATTATTATTTATTTATAAAGGTTTTTTAAGCCATGGTTGGGCGAGGGTTTACTAATAAGTACAGGAGAAAAATGGCGAACACATAGAAAAATAATTGCCCCAGCATTTCATTTGAATGTTTTACGTTCATTTGTCCCTTATTTCTATGAGAATAGTCGTGATCTTGTGATGCGAATGAAAAAAGAAGGTGGCAAAGAATTTGATTGTCATGATTATATGTCAAGTATCACTGTTGATATTTTATTGGAAACTGCAATGGGTCTTCGTGGTGAAAATAAGGAAAAAAGTGGTTTTGATTATGCCATGGCAGTTATGAAGTGAGTTAATAATTTTTTTTTTGTAAATGTAATTTTGTATTAAAAAAAACCACTAAACATTCTTCTTTTTATTCTAATAATTTTTTTTTTTTCAACCAGCTAAACAAGTTCAAACTAGTTTTAAACCAGTTTATTTTTATTATAAACAAGTTAAAATACGTTTTGAACAATTTTTTAAAACTAATTCTACAAAACCAGTTCAAACTTTTTTTTTTTAATTTTAAACTAGTTTTATTGAACTATTTCAAATTGGTTTTGAACTGACTTTGAACTAGTTTTAAATTGTATTAAACTAGTTCTTAACTAGTTTGAACTGGTTCAGAACAAGTTAGTACTTGTTATTTAACCTGTTCTTGATAATTTGAAACTAGTTTTTGTACCACTTCGAATTGGTTTTGTACTATTTTTTTTTAAATAGTTTGGAACTGTAATAATTTTGTTTTTAATTAGTTCGAACTAGTTCAAAAGTGTTTATTGAACTAGTTCGAAACAATTTTTTTTTCAAAGATTTTAGTTCTATTTCAAAATAGTTAGGACAGGTTTGAAACAATCTAAAACTAGTTTCAAACTACTTTGAATTTATTTTGAATTTGTTGCCACTTGTTTCTAACAGTTTCTAACTAGTTTGAACAGGTTCGAAACTATCTCGAATTAGTTTTGAACCACTTTGAATTTGTTTTGAACTAGTTACGAATGGTTTCTAACAGTCTCGAAATAGTTATTACTGATTAGAAAGTGTTTTGAACTGATTCGAAACAATTTTTAACGATTTTAATTTTGTTTCGAACTAGTTTGGGCAGGTTCAAAACAATCTTGAACTAGTTTTGAACCATTTTGAATTTATTTTGAACTAATTACCAATGGTTTCTAACTGTCTTGAACATGTTTTTTTTTACTAGTTTTGACAGATTCGAAACAATTTCCAATTAGTTTTGAACCACTTTGAATTTGTTTTAAACTAGTTACGACTGGTTTCTAACATTCTCGAACTAGTTATGACTGATTAGAAAGTGTTTTGAACTAATTCGAAACAATTTTTAACTAGTTTGGACTAGTTTTGAACTAGTTTGGACAGGTTCGAAACAATCTCGAACTAGTTTTAAACGTTGTTTGAATTTATTTTGAACTAGTTACCAATGGTTTCTTACAGTCTTGAACTTGTTTTGTACTAGTTTGGACAGGTTCCAAACAATTTCCAATTAGTTTTGAACCACTTTGAATTTGTTTTGAACTAGTTGCCACTGATTTCTAATAGTCTCGAACTTGTTTTGAACTAGTTGTAACTGATTTGAAAGTGTTTGGAACCTGTTTTTAACTAGTTCGATACAAATTTTTAACGTTTTTAGTTGTGTTTCGAACTATTTTTGACAGGTTCGAAACAATCTTGAACTAGTTTTGAACCACTTTGAATTTGTTTTAAACAAGTTACGACTTGTTTTGAACAATTTCTAACTTGTTTGTAGCTAATTTGAACTTGTTCTGGACAATTAAAAACTAGTTTTGAATCACTTCTAATTGGTTTTGTATTGGTTTCGAACTAGTTTGTAACTATACTGAACTAGTTTCTAACTAGTTGTAACAGATTCAGAACAATTTCAAACTTGTTACATAACCAAATTGTACTTGTTCTAAATAATTTAAAACTAGTTTCGAACCACTTTGAATTGGTTTAGAGCAAGTTTTTGAAACACTTTAAAAATAAATTTTCAAAATTAAAAAAAAAAATACCTGAATGTTTAAGAAATAGTTTTAAAAAAATTATTTTTTATTTAATTTTGTTTTTTAAATATATTTGAAAATTTAACGCAGCTATTATTAATGATTAATATTTTTCTATATTCTAAAATTTTAATTTAATAATAAATAATTTAATTATAATTTAGTGATAATTAAATAATAATGAAAAAAAGATTAATGAATAAAATTGACAAAAAAAATTAATCAACTCTTTGGATATATTTAAAAAATAACTAAATGAAAAAAAGAGTTTCCTTTATAAAAAAAAAAAAAAAAAAAAAAAAAAAAAAAAAAAAAAAAAAATTGAAAATTAATTAAAATTTGAATGAAATATTTTAATTCTATTTTAATGATATGACAAAAAGGTCATAGAATGTCATAGAATTTTCCATTTTTTTTTTGATTCGTAATATTCAATTATAAATTATTAATGAAAAAAGTGAGAATTATGTGAATATTTGCGCGCAATTGTTGTGTGTATTAAAAATTTTAATTTTTTTTTTCTTTTTTCCCTCTAAATATAAAAATAGATTGTGTGAGATTCTTCATCGACGACAATACGATATATTATTGAGAATTGATGCATTATTTCGATTTACAAATTTTGCCCAACAAGAAATTAAACTTTTGGGTATAATTCATGGACTTACGTCACGTGTCATTAGAAAACGTAAAGCTGAATTTGCAGCAAAAGGACAACTCACATTGGCTGAGAAAGAAAAACAAAAAGAAGAGGAATTAAAAAAAATTATGGAAAATGTTAAAATTGATGAGAAAAAAACTGCTTATACAAATTTACATTATGTTCGCGATGATCTTGATGAAATTGATGAAAATGACGTTGGTAGGATTTTTTTTATTTATTTTATTATTTTGTTATTAATTTTCCAATTGTTGAATTTTTATTTATATTTGTGTTTGTAAATTTTTTTTTTTTAATTTCGTTTAAAATTAATTTTTAATCACAGTGAAAAAATTGTAACTAGCTAAAATCAAAGGAGCGGCAACCATTGTGCGCGCTAGGCACTAAGCAGCTCTAGGGTTGCTTAACCTCGACGATTGCTTAGCCAGGACATAACCATCTCAGCTTAAAAACTCTTTTTTTTCTTTCTTTCTTTCTTTTCAAAAATTAATCCCTATTATTTTTTTCCTTTTCTTATTATTTATTTAATTTTTTTCTTTTAATTTAAATAAATAAAACTAAAAATAGAAATAAAATAAAAAAAAAAAAAATTATTTTCCTTCAAATTAGGTGAGAAGAAAAGACTTGCGTTTTTGGATCTCTTGCTAGAAATGACAAGAGGAGATGGTCCAAAATTGACTGAAGAGGAAGTCCAAGAGGAAGTGGACACAATTATGTTCGAGGTATTGGGGAAATTAGATTAAAATTTTATTAGAATTTTTTTTTATTAAAAAAAGGGGGAAAATTGTTTTAAAATAAAATTAAAAAATTTTTTTTTTTTTTATTATTCAGGGTCACGATACAACGGCATCTGGATCAAGTTTTGCCCTTTGTGTCCTCGCAGCTCGTCAGGATATTCAAGTAAATTTTTTTTTACATTTTAATTATTATTATTAATTATTATTAATTATTAATTATTATTAATTATTATTAATTATTATTATTTTTTTTATTATTTTTGTTTTAATTGTTATTTTTATTAAAATATTTTTTTTTTATTTTTATAAATTTATAATTAATTTTCAAAAAAATTTCACTTCATTTTTAGGCGCGAGTTTATGAAGAACTTCATGAGATTTTCAAGGGCTCTGATAGACCCTGCACATTCCAGGACACAGTGGAAATGAAATATTTAGAAAGAGTAATTTTGGAAACACTTAGATTATATCCACCTGTACCTGCAATTGCAAGACAGCTTAATCATGATGTGAAACTTGGTAATTAAAAATATAAAAAAAAAAAATTTATAAATATTTTTTTTATAAATATTTTTATATTTTTTATAAATTTTTTCAAATTTTTTATAAATTTTTTGTATATTATTTTATGAATTTTTTTTTTTTAATATATAATTTTTTAATCATTTAGTTTTTATTTATTTTATTTTTTTTTATTTTTTTTTTTTTTTATTTTTCATTTTTTTTTTTTTTTTTTTTTTTGTAAAACTATTAATTTTTTATTTATTTTTCAGCATCTGGAGATTATATTGTTCCAAAGGGAACTACAGTTGTTATTGCCCAATATAAAATACATCGATTAGAAGAATATTATCCAAATGCTGAAGTTTTTAATCCTGACAATTTTTTGCCTGAAAAAATGCAAAATAGACATTATTATTCTTATATTCCATTTAGCGCTGGACCAAGGTTTGTATTTTATTAATTATTTATAGGAAAAATTAAAAAAAAAATTTTATAAAATAATTTATTTTTAATTAAAAAAAAAAAAAAATTGTCCATTATATTTTCAAAAATTTATTTTTTAATTTTTCATATTTGAATTTCTCAATAACAAAAACGAAACACAAAAATACTTATTTTTCTATAACGAAAAAAAAAATTAATTGCAAATTATTAATTTGATTAATTCAATAATTAAATTAATTAATTTATTTAAAATAATTAATTTATTTTATTAAATTATTTATTTAAATTAATTAATTAAATTAATTTAATTTAATTATTGATTTATTTAAATTAATGTATTTATTTAAATTATTTATTAATTACAATTAAAAAAAAAATAAAATTAACATTTAATTTAAAAAATTTATTTTTACAGATCTTGCGTTGGTAGAAAATATGCGATGCTAAAATTGAAAGTATTGCTCTCAACAATTTTGCGTAATTTCAAAATTAATTCAAATTTTTCCGAAAAGGATTTTAAATTACAAGTGGACATTATTCTCAAAAGATCAGATGGTTTTAAAATAAAATTAGAACCACGTGTTAAAGCCAGTGCATAGATTATAATTTAAATTTTTATACATTATATTATTTATATATATAATTATATTTATAACATTATGTTTTATAAATAATAATAATAATAATAATAATAATAATAATAATAATAATTAATAAAAAATACCGAATTGAAAAAACTTTATTTGAATATTTCAATAAATTTTTTATGTAATTCAATAAAAAGCTGGTATATAATTTAATTATTTTTTCCAATAACTATAAATAATAAAATCAACCAATTAAATTAACATTAATTATAATTTATCAATTAACATTGTTTACATTATTAAACATTCATTACATAATTATCGTATAATAATAATAATAATAATAATAATTTTGTATTTATTATATTTACAATAAAATTTTTTTTTTTACTTTTATTTTACATATTAAAAAAGTAATGAAATGTTTTTTCATTATTAATTTATAAATTTGACTATTAAAAAAAAAAAAAAAAAAAAAATACTGTGTATATTTGTGTCGTAGAATTTTTCCCAGACATATGTCTGTTATCATTTTGTTCTTATCAATTACAATAGTAATAATAGTAATAATAATAATAATAATAATAATTGTAAAAGTTGCTACTTCATATTGTTCTCAATTCACTGAGTGGCCTTTTTTTATCATTCTTCATCACAGTATATTCGGAGAGAAATTCCATTCCCCAAGGCACAATGAACAACACGTTTAAACCCACGAGTACCAACTGACAGAGGTCATAACTGTTAGTCCAATCTTTAATGAGACCTAAATAAAAAAAATTAATTATTTTTTTTTTTTATGAAAAAAATTAATGGAAATTCATTAAAATTATTTCTATATTTATAACAGCAACAATTATTTAATTATGATTACTAGTTAAATTAATTTATTTATAATTTATAATTAAAACATTATAATAGTTACTTTTAGTAAATTCAATTACTAATAATTATTTTAGTAAAATCAATTACTAGTAATTATTTTAGTAAAATCAATTAATTAAAACAATATCTATTTTTATTTAATTAATTAATTAAAATAATTATGAATTTTATTCCAAAAAATCTGTTTTACCGACAGCTGGTCCAAAAACAATTGATATTAATCCACTGATAATGGCAAAAACGCCATAAGCTGCTGCAAATTTATCGACACTTATATTTTCCACAACAACTAAGGCTTGTGGTACCATTAACCATGATCTCACCATACCAATTAATGCCACCATACAAAATAAACCCATCATTGTATGCTCCAAATAGAAAAATCCTTGAAAAAAAAATTTTTTTTTTTTTTTTTTTTTTTTTTTAATGCTACATATTGAGAAAAGGGACCTTAAGCCCATTAACATAACTTGAAATTAAAAATTTGTTTTTAACAACAAATATAACTATTTAAATAAATAAAATTAAATGATTTTTTTTTTAAATTTACCAATTTTTGCAAGAGCCATACAAATCATAGCGACAAAAAATAATTTCTTTGGTCGTGCATCAACGACCAATGTAAAAATTGAGAGTAATATTTTTGAAATAAGTTCAGCTGTTGCACCAACAGTTATTGCTAATGCAGCATCAGTTTGTGTATATTTAAATTTAGCCATCATCAATGGTAATAGTGAACTAAATGTAAAATCACTTGTAAATACAAAACTTATTCCAAGGCATGTGTTAATAAATTTTTGATCCCTCATTAAATCCATGTCAATTACATCCGAAAAACTCCATCTAATAATTTTTTTTTTAAAATTTTTATTAATAATAATCTATATTAAAAAAAAATTAAAAGATAAAATAATAATAAAAATAAAACTAATAATTAAAAAAAATAGGTACTAGTAATAATAATAATAATAATAATAATAATAATAATAATAATAATAATAATAATAATAATAATAATAATAATAATAATAATAATAATAATAATAATAATAATAATAATAATAATAATAATAATAATAATAATAATAATAATAATAATAATAATAATAATAATAATAATAATAATAATAATAAAAATTCTACCCCTTTTTTTTCGTTGGTTCCAAATGACTTGCTAAATTATCTCTACTCTTGAAAACTTCTTTTTCTTTAAGCATTTCTTTTTCCTTCAATTTTTCAACATCTTTCGTTTTTTCCATTGTCATTAATTCAATGATTTTTGGTTTTTCATAAAATTTTGTCTTCACAATAACTTCGGCATTATTTAAATTATCAAAACCAACGGGCATACGTAAATTTGCTAAACTTGACGATGACAATGCTTCGGTCAATAATTTTGCGACACTTCCATTTTTATGACTTACTGTATTTGCACGTCGTCGAATTATTCCCGATTCAACATTTGACACTGATCCACGACGTGAAAATGATGTCTACAATTTTAGAAATGAATTTTTTTTTTAATTTTTTAATCTATTTTGTAAAATAGTATAGTGGTTAGTATAGTTACCATCAGTCGGTAATGTAGAGCACGATTTTACCATCAGTCGGTAAGGTAGATTACGATTTTACCATCAGTCGATAATTTAGATCACAATTTTACCAAAAGATTGCTTCTGGATCCGTGTTGCAGTTTTTGTTGCAAAATATTAAAATTACTATCGGTTGGTAAAATTGTCATCTACATTATCGACTGATGGTAAATGTTCGAAAACATCTTTAGTTATTATAACTATATTTTTTATTATATAATTGTTTATTGATATAATTAGTAACTGAATTATCGTTGATTGGTAAAGTCGCGCTCTACATTATCAACTGTCGGTAATTTTTGCTAGAGGTTATAATTATTAACAAATTTAATTAAAAAAATTTTTTACCTACACCTTTTTTTTTAAAAAAAAAAAGTGAAAACAAAATTTTGTCCCTTTTACCTTATTTTCCCCGTCATTTTCTGTCAGACTACGAAGACTATTCCACATGCCACTCTTCATTGGTGGATGAATTGTATCGATTGTCGAACGTCGTTTCCAATGATCGTGAATAAATCGAAATTCACCTGAAAATCGATTATTACCAATTGATTCTGTCTTTAATAATATCATTTTTTCACCGATCACATTTTTTTTCGATCTCTTATAATGCCAATCAACTGGATGCATTAATGCCATTCCCACAATGCAATTCAAACTCAATGCGCCAATTATTGCCGCGGTTCCTATAATTAAAATGAAAATTATAAATATTATTCTTTTTAAAATTATTTTATTATTTATTTGTATTTATTTTTTATTTATTTTATTATTTATTTATTTGTATTTATTTTGTATTTATTTTTTTTTATTTCAAATTATTTTCAATTTTATATTATGTGGCATTGAGAACCACTGCTCAGTCCGGATTATGGAGAGGGAACTAACGGACCAATCAGTTTTCGTTATCCCCCACCAGTTACGCGGCTGTATTTTCAAGCCGAACATTTAAATTTTTAATAAAAATTCATTTTCTTTATTTTAAATTTTATTTTTTTAATTTTAATTCTAGAAATTAAAATTGTATGTTAATAAAATTTAATTTTGGCAATTTAAATATTAAATTATATTAATGAAATTGAAAATTAGTAATTAAATAAAATTTAAAAAAATCTTATTTGATTCTAATTATAATATAAATAAATAATATGTATATAATATGTAGGAAAACAATAAATAATTAATAATAAATAAAAAAATAATAATTAAATAATAATCGACTAAAAATTGTAATTTGTAATTAAATAAAATATTTAAAAAAAAATTCTAAAAAATATAATTTAATTAAAAAATTATAATTAAATAAAAATTTAATTTTTTAAACAAATTTAAACAAATGTAAAATTAAAAAATAAATAAATTTAAAATTATAATGAACAAAAACTTTTTTTTTTCTCAAAGTATTTTGAACTTGAGGTATATACGAGGGGGAAAAAAAAAGTGTACCTCGGAACCCATAAGCCTTCATCATCTTTTCAATCCAGATTGGATAAACAATGCAACCAAGACCGACAATCGTCTGACAGGCGCTCATGACCTGTCCAGGAAGAAGAACAAAATGTAAATTGGATTATGAATAAAATTTTGAGAATGGAATAAGAATAAAAGAGAGTAAGAGAGTGAGATAGAGTGATTAATTATTGTATATGTACATACGGTTGCTCTTCGCTTTACAAAGTAGGCGTTGAAATTTGTATTGCAAATAGTGAAGATCAAACCAAGACCGATGCCCTGAAGAAAAAATATAATTCCCAATTCAAAAACATGACTGACAAAAGCTGCCAAAATATTTGGTATCGCAAATATCACTGCTCCAATGATACCTAATGTTCTCACTGAAAATATCCTTAAAAGTGGATTTGTACCTACACCTGTAATGAAAAAGAAAAAAAATTGTAACAAAAAAAAAATTTACCTATTATAAATTTAAAAAATAAATTATAATTATAGTAGTTATAATTAATAAAGAATAATTAATTATAATAAAAAGTAAAAAATAAATCATATAAAAACTAAAATCCCTCTCTAAATACGTTCAATCGATGCATGAGTTGAGAAACACTGCGCGCTGTAGAGAGTGGGGGAACGCTACAACCAATCACTGCGCGCTATCCCCCCACTCCCTGCAGCGCGCAGTGTTTCTCAACTTAGAAATCAATTATTCTCAATTCTGTATCTACATCATTTCTTTTTTAATAAAAAAAAAAATCCACAGCAAAAAGAAATTTATTTCTCTATTTTTTATCACCATTTTGGAGCCAAAAAACAAAATTTCAATGTAAAATAATTAGAAAAAAAGTTTTTGAATAAATTAAGAATAATTTTTTTTCAATCTAAAAAATTTCCATCGTATTTTGTAATTTTCTTTTTTTTGTTTTGTTTCTCAAATGTGTGTGTGTGTGTGTGTGTTTGAAATCAGTCACGTTATCAGTTTAGATATTTATAGACTCGCGCGAGACATATATTATAACGATTAACATTTATGATATATAGAAATAATAATATTTAAGAAAAAAGAAAAGAAAAAATTTTTTTTTCTTTTAATATTACCTGCCAGTGAGAAACTTATATTAAAAATAGAATTGAGAATTGTTGTCGCTGAACTCGCTTGATTTGATTGATTTAAAAAATCTCCAAATACTATTGTGAATGATGCTGCTGGTCCAATTGTTGTTGTCTGAGAATGAAATTAAAAAAAAATTATTTCTATTTGTATTTAATTAATAATTATTACCATTACATTATTTATTTACAGTTATGGCTTTTTGAAATTATTATTATTTTTATTATAATTTATAAAATTACTATTAATTACTATTAATATAATTACTACTATTAATATTTCTATTGTTATTATCATTATTATTATAATCAAAATTTTATTAATTAAATTAACAATCAAAAGGGCGGCATATTTTTAATTATATATGATAATAAAAAAACAATAATAATAATAACGATAATAGTAATAATAATAGATAAAGAGATAAGTTGACGTTTGAAAAGTAAAAGATATTGTCATTAAATGACAATGTAAAAAAAATGTCGAATATAGACTTATGTCATTTAAGATTGAAGTGAGTTGTGTGATCAAAATAAATTAATCTGATTCGCGAGAATTTTTCAATCTTTTATTTCTTTTTTTTTTTAATAATTTACAATGACTATTAGTTTGCATTTATATAGGTCATAGAGGTAATTGTCCCTTATCTTTTATTATTAATACTCCTCGCTAATGTTATTTTTATAATAATCTATCGTAATAAAAATTATTTAATTTTTATACTATACATTATGTGTGCAATCAAAATTATTAATTTGAATGTCAAGATTGTTATGATTTATTTTAATTTAAATTATTAAAGCTAACTAACTAAATAACTAAAAAAATTACTAACTAACTGATTAACTAAATATTAACTAACTTACTACCTAACTAACTAACTAACTAACTAACTAACTAACTAACAAAACTAAATAATTAAAAAATTACTATCTAACTGACTATTTTCAAAAATAACTGACTACCTAAATAACTTACTAATAAAACTAAATAACTAAAAAAATACTAACTAGCTAGCTAACTAACTAACTATTAAAATTATCAACTGACGAACTAAGTACCAAACTAACTAAAAAACTAAATAAGTGACAGACTAATTACTAACTGACTAATTAATTAGCAAACTAAATACTAATAATCTTAATAACTAACTAAAGTAACTAACTAAATAATTAACTATAAAAATTATTGACTAATAAACTAAAAATAGTCTTTCAAATTACTAACTAAATGAAAAAATAATAACTAAATATAAAACGAACTAATAAACTAACTAACTACTAATGAACGAACTAATAAAGTAAATAACTAACAAAATAACTAACTAAATAATTAACTAATTAACCAACTAACTAAACTACCTAACTAACAAATTACTAGCTAAAAAAATAAATAACCTACTAATTATTCAATTACTAACTAACTGACTAACTAACTAACGAACTAAATAACTAACGTACTAAATAACTAACTAAATAAGAAACTAACAAAATAACTAACTAAATAACTAACTAATTAACCAACTAACTAAACTAACTAACAAATTACTAGCTAAAAAAATAAATAACATACTAATTATTCAATTAATAACTAACTGACTAACTAACTAACGAACTAAATAACTAACGTACTAAATAACTAACTAAAAAGGAACTAACAAAATAACTAACTAAATAACTAACTAATTAACCAACTAACTAAACTAACTAACAAATTACTAGCTAAAAAAATAAATAACCTACTAATTATTCAATTACTAACTAACTGACTAACTAACTAACGAACTAAATAACTAACTAATTAACCAACTAACTAAACTAACTAACAAATTACTAGCTAAAAAAATAAATAACCTACTAATTATTCAATTAATAACTAACTGACTAACTAACTAACGAACTAAATAACTAACGTACTAAATAACTAACTAAAAAGGAACTAACAAAATAACTAACTAAATAACTAACTAATTAACCAACTAACTAAACTAACTAACAAATTACTAGCTAAAAAAATAAATAACCTACTAATTATTCAATTACTAACTAACTGACTAACTAACTAACGAACTAAATAACTAACTAATTAACCAACTAACTAAACTAACTAACAAATTACTAGCTAAAAAAATAAATAACCTACTAATTATTCAATTACTATTTAACTTACTAACTAACTAACGAACTAAATAACTAACGTACTAAATAACTAACTAAATAAGAAACTAACAAAATAACTAACTAATTAACCAACTAACTAAACTAACTAACTAACAAATTACTAGCTAAAAAAATAAATAACCTACTAATTATTTAATTACTAACTAACTGACTAACTAACTAACGAACTAAATAACTAACGAACTAAATAACTAACGAACTAAATAACTAACGTACTAAATAACTAACTAAATAAGAAACTAACAAACTAATAATATGAATAACTAACTAACTAAATAACTAATTATACAAATTTCCAACTAAAAAAACTAATTAACTAACTAAACTAACTATCTAAGAAATTACTAACTAAAAACTAAAACACTAATAAAATAACAAACTAACGATTTAACTGTAAAACTAAAAAACTAAACTAACGAACAAAAAATAAACAAAATAACTTACTAACTAAAAAATGATTAACTAACTAACCAACTATAAAAATTAAATAATTAAGTAACAAAAAAATAAATAAATTATTTATGTAAATTACCAAAGAAAAAAAAAGTTTAATAAATTAAAAATTAACTATGTAGAATACAAAAAATTGAATTAATTAAAAAAATGGAAAAAAAAATTTTTTTCTTTTCTTTTGTAATTATAATTAATATTACGCACAAAAACTAAAATTAAGCCAACTGCAACCATCCAACCCCATCCGCCATCGGGTGCAATTTTTTCATCCAAACAAATTTCTTCTTCCTCCTCATCATTTTCTTCCACTATTGTTTTTTGCATTTCCGTGCATTTGTCTTTTTCCACTACCCCCACCCTTGTTTCGTCGGATAAATTTTTCGTCGCCCCATTGGCGGATCCAGAAATAGTGCGCATACTATCTCTCATATATATACACACGAGGAATTTATTTTTTTATATAAAAAAAAAAAAATAGTCACAATTTTTTATTATTTTTTCAATTTAAATCCCATTATTATCACTTACACGACTTTTTTTTTATTATTAAATTAAAAAAATTTTAATTTTTTATTTTGAGGCCGTTAATTAATTTAATTTTTAAAAAAATGTCTGAAAGTGGAAAATTTCTTTCTGACAATGATTAAATAGTAATTATTTATTTTTTGTTATTTTTCATTATTTTTGAGAGAAAAAAAAAAATTTCGAAAGATTGTTACATTTTTTTTTTTTTTTTTAGTGGAAAAATAAAATTAGAATTAAAAAAAAATTTTTTTATAGAAACTAATTAATTTACAATCGAAATTTTTTTTTTTTCTAAATAAATTTAGAATTGAAATTTTTTTATTATAAACTAAATAAATTTAAAATATAAATATTAATTAAATAAATACTTGAAATAAATAAATTTAAAAAATATTTGAAATAAATAAATTTAAAAAAATACATAAAATAAATTTAAATAAAAATTATATTTTCGTCAATAATTCATTGCCACCGTTAATTTTTATATATACACTTTTTTTTTTTTTTTTCTTTACTTTTTCACATATTTTTTTATTTTCCAATTTTTCAAAATATAAATTGAAAAACAATTTTTTTCCTCTTCTTAACACACACAAATTTTTTTTTTTGCTCCCGTTTTTCGAAATATAAAAAAATATAAACTAATTTAAAAAATTTTTTTTATTCTATTTTATGAAAAACACAATTTCAATTTTTGTTTTTTTTTTTTATTTTCGTTAATTTAATATATTATAGTCTCAATATGCACTTGATGGGAACTAATAGACATATATTAAAGTTGAAAACAATTAGTAGCTTTTAACATCTTATCAGCAGAAATCTTGTCATTACTCTAACAAATCTAAGGCAATTCTTATTTATTAAAAAAAAAAAAAAAAAAAAAAAAAAAGTTAAATATTTTTACCTGTTGCGCATCTTTCATCATGTTAAGCAAAAAAAAAATGAAAAAAAAATAGAAAAAATTAGACGATAGAGAATTTGTCTTCAAAGAAAAGAAGGGGAAAATATAAATATTAAATTTCCGTGTATTAATGAATCTGAATATTAATTTTTGTTTAAAATGGTATTAAAATTTGACATTTCAATGTTTTCAATGTTTACAAAACGAAAAATTTATTGTCTTATGATTTCATTTATTAATGTCTCTCACAATATTACATATATATCTATATATGTATTTAACAATAAATGGAAGCACAAGTATAGAATTTCTGATTGTGAAAATTTATTTGAACAAGAATTAAAATGGAATTAAAATAAACAAAACACGTTCTATTTCTAAGATTTGAAGCTATTTTGGAAATTTTTCAAAAAAAATAATCCCTTTCTTTTTGTCCTAAAAAAAAAGAAGAATATAAATTTTTTTCTTTATCACAATTTTGTAATTTATTTGTATTTCTCTTTAAAAAAAAAAAAAATTTTTTATTATTAGTTTTATAAAATTCATGATATTTTTAAGATAATATTTTTTTTTTTTTATAAAAAAAGTATTAAATTTTATGCATAATAATAAATAATAATTTATTTATTAAATTTATTATTAATAATAATAATAATAATAATAATAATACTAAATAATAAAAATTAATAATAACAATAATAATGGTAGCAATAATTATGTAATAATAAATACTAAAAATAATAATAATAACAAATAATATTAATAACAATAATAATAAATAATAGTAATAATAATAGTACCAAACAATAAAGATTAAATTTTTTTTTTTTTTAGAAATATAAATTAATTAAACAATTTTTAATATAATTAATTTGTTCAATTAAATTTTTAGATAAACATATCTAATAATAAACTCATGTCTCAAATCTTTGAAAATGATTTTAGGGAAAAATAATTGTTATTTTTTTTTAATTTAATTTTTGTTTTTTTTTTTTTTATTAAAAGCTGTAAACAAAAATTAATTAATTAAATTTTTTGTATAATGTAAAAAAAAAATTAATCATCATATCCACCTAATCGAATTTTTTTCCAAATAGATAATTTCATTTATTTTTAACAATAAGATAAGTGCCCCTTTAACTATGCAACCCGGACTACACATCTATGTTGAGGAATCTCACAATATAAGTACAATAGGCGCCAAAAATTTGTTTGATACAAATAAAAAAAACAAAAAATAAAAAAAAATAAAAAATATTAAAAAATATTAAAAAATATTAAAAAAATATTAAAAAATAAATAAAGAAAGTACTTTTTTATGTAAATATAAAATAATTAATTTTTAAATTTAATTATTCATATAAATAATATAAACCAAATTATAATATATAAATAAAAAAAATAAAATTATACTAACTATAATTAATCATTAATTAATTAATTGTATAAAACTAATTATATTTTTTGTAATAATTTGTAATTTTGTAAAATTAAAAAAATAGTTTAAAAAAAAAATTTTTCTTTTTTTAGAATTTTTTTTTTTTTTTAATTTAATTTTGAACCAAAAATCTTATTTGGAAATGAAATAAAAAGAAAATTAACTCGAGAATTTCAAAACTAAAAATACTAATAAAAAAAAAAAAAAATGTATGTAAAAAAAATGTTTAGAAAATAGAAAAAAATTTCAAAAACTGAAAATTTTAATATTGAAAAATGTATCAATGTTTGTATTTGTTTTTTGTATTATTATTATTTCGATACAGTAACAATCATTAACCTTGACAAAAAATTATCGTAAAAAAATTTTTTTTTTAACCTTTTTCTTTATTTATTGATAACAAAAGAATTTTTGTTTACTTTGTTGAGAAAAAAAAGAGAGAGATGAAAAATAATCCCAAAACATACAAAAATTTAAAAAAAATTTTTTTAATTAAAATAAATTAAATTATTTTCAATAATCAAGAAAAAAAATTAAATAATTTATCTGATTTTTCCTGCTGGCAATATAAGAATCTATTTTTTTTTTTTTTTTTTTTTGAAATTTTACCAAATTTTTCCTCACATCAGGTACAATGACGCGAGAAAGAAAGAGAGAGAGAGAGAGAGAGAGTATATGAGAGTCAGTGAAAGATAGATTACATATCTCTAAGAAAACGAGTCATAATTTTTTTTTATCCATTGTTCAAGAATGATAAAACGTAACAGAAGTAACAAAAGTAAATGTTTCACATATTGAAAGGTGCAGTCTTTGTTAAGCCAATCCCTAGTGATCATAGAAATTTAATGAACAAAAATATATTTGTCAATATTTTCAATTTTGTAAATCCAATATTATTTTTAATTAATTTTCATAAATATAATATATTCATAAGACAACAAAAAAAAATATATAATCGAATAAAAAAATTACTACAAAATAAATAAGAAAACAAAAAAAAAAAAAAAAAAAATATGAAGCAAAATTTTGTTAAAAAACCACTGCCACCAGATGGCGGATGGGGATGGGTCATTTGCATCGGCTGCAGTTTAATTACGGTAAAACCAAAATCAATTAATTATATGCTAAATATAATTATTGAATAGATAATTTAATATTGATGGAAAAACCAAAATCAATATTTTTTTTCAACATCTAATTAAATAATTTTAATTGTATGTAAAAAGAATAATACCCAATGGAAATTTAGATTCAGTGGAATAAAAAATTAAAGCTAATTTTATAATTCTATTTATTGGTTTATTATTGGTTTCATATTTGGTTTAAAATTGTTTTTTTTTGTTACTGGTTCGGATATGACGAAATAATAATTGAAAGATTTTTTAATAATTATTTATTATTAATTATTAATAGTAATTACTTTAAATTATTTTCTAGTATTGGTTTATTTATTGGTTTTATATTTTTGGCTTAAAATTGGGTTTAATATTGTATCAATACTGGTCCAAAAATGATAACATGACAATTGAAAAACTGTTTAATATTTATTCTATAATATTTTTACAATTATTTTAGAATGGACTTATAATTCGTTTATAATTGGTTTATAATTGGTTTATTATTGGTTTCATATTTGGCTTAAAATTGGTTTAATATTGTATCATTACTGGTCCAAAAATGATAACATAACAATTGAAAAACTGTTTAATATTCATTCTATAATATTTTTACAATTATTTTAGAATGGACTTATAATTGGTTTATAATTGGTTTATAATTGGTTTATTATTAGTTTCATATTTGGCTTAAAATTGGTTTAATATTGTATCAATACTGGTCCAAAAATGATAACATAACAATTGAAAAACTATTTAATATTCATTCTATAATATTTTTACAACTATTTTAAAATTGGTTTATTATTAGTTTCATATTTGGCTTAAAATTGGTTTAATATCGTATCGATACTGGTTCAAAAAAATAATACAAAAAATTGAAAAATTATTTAATATTGACTGTATTATATTTTTTAAATTTTATTTATAATGGGTTTATTATTGGTTTATTAATGGTTTCATGTTTGGTTTAAAATTGGTTTTACTCTTTTCTATTAATTAGTTGAATTAGTCTCGATAATTGTACGGAAATTCAAGAAAATAAGTCAATTTATTTCACTATTGTTTTAATAATAATTTTATATTAATTTTTTTTATTGGTTTATCATTGGTTTATTATTGGTCTGATACTATTTAAAAACTTGTTAAGTAATAATTATAAAGTATTTAGAATAGAAATAAAAAGAAAACTTTAAAAAAAGATTCTATAATAATTAAAAATAATTTGTACTGATATTTTATTGGTTTAATAATGGTTTAAAATTGGTTTCATTCTTTTCTATAAAAATTAGTTCAATAGTTTCTGGATAATTGTCCAGAAATTACTAAAAAAAATGTAATTGAAAAATTGTTCATTATTGTTTCAATAATAATTTTTAATTTGTACTGATATATTATTTGTTTTTATATTTGGTTAATAATTGGTTTATAATTGGTTTATATTTGGTTCAATATTGTTTCGACACTAGTGATAAAATAGTAATTAAAAATCAATTCAATATAATGTAAATAATAATTTTATAATAATTCAATGTAATATTGTTTCTATTTAATGGTTCATAATTGGTTTTATATTGATTCTACGTTCGTTTTTTTATTAATTGTTTATTGATTCCCTACTAATAAAATAATCTAGTATTCATACAAATATAAATTTTTTTTTTGTTATTACAATAGCAATTTGTTATAAATTCATTACTGGTTTGTCTATTGGTTTATTATTGGTTCCAAAAAATTTTAATAGTAGTTTAAAAATGACTGATCAATTATTGAATAATAATTTAATAGTGATTTACTATTAGTTTTGTATTGATTTTATTTAATGTTTATTATTGGTTCTCTACTGTATTTGCAGTAATTTTTGTATTGATTTTCTATTGTTTTTTTTTGTTTTCTATTGGCTTTCTATTGGTTTCTATTTGTTTCTATTAGTTATCTGTTTATTCTCTATTCATTCTATATTGTTTTTCTATTTAATGGTTTACTATTGATTCTCTATTGACTTTGTATATGTTTTATATTGGTTTTTTGGTTTACTATTGGTATTTATTTGTTTATATTCGTTCTTATTAGTTCTCTGTTCGTTTTCTATTGTTTCTCTATTTATTAGTTTATTATTGGTTCTCTATTGGCTTTGTATTGGTTTTGTATTGGTTTTGTAATGGTTTTTTATTGGTTTTCTTTTGCTTTTATATTGTTGTTTTTGGTTTTCTTTTGCTTTTTATAAGTTCCTTCTTGGTTCTTTATTGTTTTTCTATTTAATGGTTTATTATTGGTTCTCTATTGGTTTTCTATTGCTTTTGTATTTTTTTTTTGGTTTCCTATTGGTTTCTATAAATTCCTTATTCATTCTTTATTGTTTCTCTATTTAATGGTTTATTATTGGTTCTCTATTGGTTTTGTATTGGTTTTTTAAATTTTTTATTGGTTTCTATAAGTTTTTTTATTGGTTTCTATAAGTTTTTTATTCGTTCTCTTTTGTTTTTGTATTTAATGGTTTATTATTGGTTTTCTGGTGATTTGCATATGATTTCTGTTGGTTATTTGGTTTTCTATTGGTTTTTTGGTTCTCTATTGGTTTCTATCAGTTCTTTGTTCGTTTTCTATTATTTTTGTATTTAATGTTTTATTATTAATCTTCTATTAATTTTCTATTAATTTTCTATTGGTTTTTCATTGGTTTTTCATTGGTTTCCCATTATTTTTACCATTGGTTTCCTATTAGTTCTCTATTAGTTCTCTATTATTTCAATATTCTCGACCAATATTTAACCTTCATTATTCATCCAATATCGATCATCTTTTATCAATAAACGCACTGACCTCCAGGAAAAATTTCCACTGGGTATTGAGGAAAAAAAATTGAATTATTATCTAAAAAAAAATGAGGAAAAAAAGAATATTGTATAATTAATAAAAAAAAAAAATTACTATCGATATAATTAGTAATTAAGTTACTCTGAAAAATGCATCTCTAGTTATCCCTAAGGTCTCTGGATCCATCGTTTGGTTTACTATTTGGCGATTTATTACGAGACCTAAAAATCGATTCAACAAGAACTTCCTTAATAATGAGTGTTCTTGACGCTAATATTAATTTTTCAGGTAATTATCAAAATATTTTTTTTTATTTTAATCTTGTTTCATACAAATAAAATTCCAAAAACATGTATACAATGCGGTCATTCATTTTTTTTTTTTTAATTCCAATACTAAAATTTCTTTTGTGATAAGATAAATCTTTCCAAGCCTACGTATATAGTTATGATAAGAAATATGCTTCCTGATATAGACGTAAACCTGGCAATGATATGGTTTGTTTAAAAAAATTTTTTATATATATTTATATATATATATATATATACATTCACACTACAATTTTTATATTTATGTAATATGATTTTTCTAATTAAAAAAAAATGTGTTTTTAATTACAGGTATTTTTTTTAGATTAATCAAGGTATTACTGTTTAATTTCAAAAATTTATTTTTTATTTTTAAAAATTTTACTCTACAATGATTATTTATTATATTTTTACAGGACTTTTTGTTGGCTATCTATTATCTAAATATTCTTATCGAAAAGTTGCATTTTTTGGTGCATTGTTAAATAGTACGGGTCTTATTTTGACCTCACAAGCCAATAGTCTCACTCATATTGTTTTAACTTATAGTATTATAGGAGGTGAGAATTTTTTATTTTACTTCAAATTTTTTTTTCCATTTTAATTTTTTTTAAATTTTTATTATTATTTTTGAATTAAAAGGAAAAATAAAAATAAATTAAAAAATTAATTCTTTTAGAGTTTTATATTTTCATTATATTTTTAAACATAAAACTTTTTTTATTAATTTTTTTTTAAAATAAAATTGACTTTTATTTATTTTTAATTGAATTAATTAAAAATTTTTTTTTTTTATTATTGCCAAAAAACAGGTATAGGTACAGGATTAGCGCTCGCGTCATCTTTCGTAGCATTAAATAGTTTTTTTGTTAAAAAAAGAGGACAAGCATTAGGTTTTTCAATGGCAGGCACAACTATGGGAATGATGTTAATGCCACAAGTAAATAATTATTTTATATTTAAACAAAAAAAAATAAAAAAATACTTTTATTTTCTAATTTAAAAAAAATAATTTTTATTTAGAAAAAAAAGAAAAGTAATTTTTTATTATGAAATTTAGAAAAAATAAATAATTTTTTATTTTCAAATTAAAAGAAAAAAATAATTAAAAAAATTTGTTTTTAATTAAAAAAAATTTATAAAATTAAATTTTTTTTCCCCCATGTAGATCGTGCATATTCTTTTAGAAATTTATGGATTCAGAGGTACAACTTTAATTATTGGTGGAATTTCTTTGCACTCATTAATTGGTGCCTGTCTTTTAACTCCAGTTCCTCGTAAAAAAGTTGAAGAAAAGGTAAAAATAAGTTGATTAATTTTCTATTTAGAAAAAATAGTTCAAATTTCGTCCACACGAAACTGACGCTCTTTTTAATTGGTTGCTTTTCAAGGTTATAAAGCTTAGACCAATTATCGTCGCGTGACCTTGAAACATTAGCCAATGAAATTAGCGCGCACCTCATGTGGGCGTTCCTACCTCCCACTACTCACTCAAGCGTAGAATCGATTATTCCATCCGTTACTCTCATTAAATATAAATTTAAAAAAATAAAAATATAATTAAAATAAATTTAAAAAAACATAATTAAAATAAATTTAAAAAAAACATAATTAATAAAAATTTAAAAATTAAAATAAATTTAAATAATTAATTTTATATATATATATATATAAAAATAAAAAATTATTCAAAAATTTCAGTTATCCGAAAGTGAAAATTCATTTTCGGATGAAATTGCCGAGACATCAAAGGAAAATGAACCGTTATTAAATGAAAATAAAGAAAAAACAACAACAATTCAAATACCACTTGAAACAACAAATAAAAATGGTTCATTGAAATTAAATGAAAATTTAACAACAAATCATTATGAAACAAGGGGTGAATTATTAAATCAAAAAAAATCTTTTGTAAAAAAAATTAAAAATTTTTTTGGTCTCCATTTATTGTCAGATCCAACATTACTCAATATTATGATTGGAGTGAGTTTATTTTATGTTGCTGAAACAAATTTTAAATTATTTACACCATTCTTCTTGTTTAGTGTCGGTAAGTAGAGAATTTTATTTGCGAAAAAAAAATTTTTTTTTTTTTATTAAATTAACAAATTTTTATATTTCCCTCATTTCCTAATTTGATTCAACGAATTTTTTTTTTAATTTACAAATTTTTTTTACTAATAATAATTTTTTACTGATAATAATAATAATAATAATAATAATTATTATTATTATTATTATTATTATTATTATTATTATTATTATAATTATTATTATTATTGAAAAAAGAACTAAAAAAGTACCAATAAATAAACTCAAAAAATTTTTTGGAAAAAAAAAAATTAAAAATTGACAAAAATTATTTGCAAATAAAAAAATTATGTAGGTAATTATAAAAAATAATAATAATAATCATAATGGTTATTGTTAGGTTTACTATTATTTTTAATAATTGCCTATATAATTTTTTTATTTGCAAATAATTTTTGTCAATGTTTAAAATTTTTTTTTCCAAAAAATTTTTTGAGTTTATTTATGTTGGTACTTTTTTTTCAATGTCAAGTTTATATTTATTTTTATTTATGATACAAAAAGAAACCACTTAAAATTGTCAAAAAAAAAGAATTTTTTCCAAAAAGATGAATATTGAAAGAGGAAAATAATGAAAAAAAAAATGAATAGGAACATGACATGCGATTTAACATTTTGTTAAGTTTTCATTTTTTTTTTTTTTTTGATAAAAGTTATTAGAGCTTAAAATTTTCATTGAGGGCAAATTTTGGCTTTTGACTTTTGTGAAGAATTACATTTTTCTATATGAAAGAGACATCATCACATTTGTCAGCAATAAATCTCAATTGGACAATATTCTATAGATTTATTCGTTTCTTTTTTTTCTATATCTTTATATATTAAATATATCGCTTTTATATTTGGCAAAATTTCTTGGCCTTTTATTCTCTTCTTTTGGTGCTTTGTGGGCCCTTTTGATATTCTTAGGAATGACGAAAAAGGAAGTTGCATTTTGCCTCTCGCTCACTGCATTTATGGACGTTTTGGCTCGACTTTTACTTCCAACCCTCTTCGACAAGTTGGGATTTAAGAAACGCACGACTTTTTGGATCTGCGCTTTATTCATTGGACTCGGTCGTTCAGGTGAAAAAACTTTTTTTTTTTTTGTCTTTTTTCACATTCTAAAATTAAATTTAAAAAAAATTTTAAAGTTAATTAAAAGAAAAAGATTTTTAAAAATTTTGCCATTTTATAAAATTGGATTTTTAAAAATATTTTATTATTTTTTTATTATTATTTTTATTAATATTTGTCAATTATCCGTATTTAAAAAAATTTTAATTTATATTTTATTAGTTCTTTTTATTTATTTTTATTTATTTTATTTCTTATTTATTTTTTTTATTAGTATTTTTATTAATATTTGTAAATTATCCGCATTAAAAATTTTTAATTGTTCGATTAGCATCGGTGTTATTAAATAAAATTTAAATTGAAAATAAAGTGAGTGCGGCCCGAGAGGAGTGGGGGTAACGTTCACTGCTTAGAGCTCGAGCCTCCCCCCACTCCTCGAGTGCTGCGCGCGCAACTAACACAGCGATAAACTTCTTAAACGACGCTAATTCTGCCTCCATTTGTATTATTTATCCAAAAAAAAAAAAAAAATGATAATAAATAATGAATAAAAATTAATAAATATTAAATAATAATAAAAATAAATAAATAAATAATAGAAAAAAAATTATTTATTTTCAGTATTCGCCGAGGAATCGAACAATATAGCTTTAATAGTGACTTTAGTAATTGTAGGATTTTTGCGTGGGGCATCAATTGTAAATATGAATTTAACAATATCGGAACAATGTACCTTGGAAATGTTGCCTCACGCTTATGGAATATTTATGGTGTTCAAAGGCTGTTTTGTTGTATTTTTAAGTCCCGCAATTGGTAAGTTTTCAATTGAAAAAAAAATTAAATAATTTATTTATAAAACAAAATTAAAAAAAATTATTTATTATTTATTAAAACTAATTAAATTAATTAAAATAATATAATTAATTAGCCAATAATTAACAAATAAAATTTTAATAATAAAATAAGTAATATAATTATAAATAAAAATTTTTTTAATTTTTTGCAAATTTTATATTAAAATAAGAAAAAATAATTTTTATTTTTCTTTCAGGATTCGCTAGAGATTTAACAGGCAGCTATCGAATTTGCATTCATTTAATGTCAGCAGTGATATTTTTCTCAATTTCAATATGGGGCGTTGAATATGTTTACAGAAAAATAAAAAATCTTATAAAAAAGAAGGAGGCAAATTTCTCTGACTACAATAAAAATTATAGAACATTCCAGTGATAAATTAAAAATATTATATTTAGAGATTATTATTATTATTATTGTAAAAATTAATTATTTACAAATTCGACTGTTTAGTTTTAAAATCAATCGCTTATTAGTTTTGTATATTTGTTTGACATGTTTTTTTTACAATTGTAAATAATAATTTTTTTTATAAAAAAAAAAATAAATTATTTATTTTAATAAAAATATTTTTATTATTGTAGATATTAATAATTATTAATAAATTATTATTATTTTTATTATTTCTTTTATTATTTTTTTTAATATAAAAGTAAATAAATAAAAAAAGTAAAAATAATTTTTTTCAATTTCTCTTTTTCATAAGTTTATAAAAAATTACAAAAATTGTTTTAATTATTAAATGGTCAAACTCAATAGAATAGAAATAAAATGAAAAATGGAATTTATTTTTTTTTTCATTTCAATGGAGTCAATTACTTGGAAGGAAAATAAATTTATTTGTAGATTAAAGTTTACGATTGGATGAACACAATTGATTGATCAGCAGCTCAATTAAACTAACAGCTCGTGTTAAATGGCGCACTGAAAATTCTTATTTTAAACTATAATCGCGTGTGTACAAAGTGAGAAGACATTTCTCGACAAGAGAAGATTATTATTTTTGATATCATTTTAACTTCCTCTTTTTTATTATTTATTTTCTTTTTATTTATAATTATTCTTCAAAATTTTTTGCAAAAGAAAAAATAATAATAATAATAATGAAGGTTTTAAATACGATTTTTCTACTACTGATTTTTGGTGAGTTAATTGAAACAAAAAAGAAATTATTTTTTATTTATTTTATTTTTATTTTATTTATTTTATTTATTTTATTTATTTTATTTATTTTATTTATTTTATTTTTGTAATTTTTTTTTTATTTCTAAAAAAAGTGAAATTACCTATACCAAATAAAAAATTATTTTATTCAATAATAAAAAAAAATTTTTTTCTATGTTTATTAATTTTTTTTTTTGCTTCCCACTTTTCTAGGTTTTATTAAAAAAGGAATAACAACAAATTTTACTAATATTGCATCAAAAATAATTAATGACAATACATTGGAATTTCATGAAAAAATGAAACAATATTGTTTAATAAATTCAGGTCCAGATGCATTGAAAATTTTTGAAAAAGCCGAAAATCAATTAAAAACAAAAATCCAATTAACATTAGAAACATCATTCAATGAAATGATAAAAATGAAATTTGTACATTTTAAAAAATATTTTCATGAATTTTGTAATATTGATTTTGTTGTATATAATTATTTTATTGCAACAAAACCATGTCTAATTGAAAAAACAAGTTATTCTGAAAACGAAGATCATTTGAATCATATTCGTGAAGAAGAAATTTTTCCCATTTCAAAAATTCATCAAGTTATCGATTCAATTTGCAATGAAATGAAAAATTGTAAGTATTATTAAATATTTACAAAAAAAAACTAAATAAAAAATTTTTTTTTCAAACTTAATTTAAACAATTTTTTTTAATTAAAAAAAATTTTGTTATTTAATTTATTTTTAATCAGTTAATATTATTAATTTATAAAATAATTTATGAATTAATTTAAATATTTCTTAGAGTAAAAAAAAATTAATTCATTAAAAAATTTAAAATTATCATTAGATATAATTAAATATTTTTTTTTTTAATTTACTAAATAATAATTCTAAATTATTATACAAAATAATGTTTATGATTTTTTTTTTTTAATTTTTTGTTTCCAGCCTTAAAAGAAGCTATTGACTCAAGATGTTTTGCAGAAAATTTTTCAAAATTGGAACGTTGTTTTTTGAAAAATGATTATTTTAAAAATTATAATTGGATACTCACAAATTTTAATACAACTAATGTGAATCCACGAAATTTTCCCTATCATGTCATCACAAATGCGCAGCCATCATTTCTTAATGATTTACAGTAAATAATTATTATTATTACTAATAAACAAAAATTCAAATTTATTACATTTTTAAATTTAAAAAAAGAAATAGTAAAATTACTTTTTTTTAAATTTTTAATAAAAAATATTTTAAAAAATTATAAATAATATTTTTTTTTACAGGAAAATCATTGACTTTAGAAGATGTCTCATTGATACATTGAATATCTGTAAATATTCATCATTGGGATATAATATTGAATTAATTTTCTTTCCTGATATAGAAAATATTAATAACCTAATGGAATAATAATATTGTTTTCTATTTTATTTGTAATTAAGATTTTTTTATTTATTCTAATTTTGATATTAGTTTTTAGATTAAATTTGTTATTTTTTACTTTGCAATGAATTTATAGAAATACACATCAATGAATAATTGGTTGCCTATTGTCAGGAGTTTATGCGAAGAAATAATTCTCATTACTTTTAAAAGAAAATCACATATTGTAACGTTTTGACAGAAAATAAAAAAAAAAAGATAAATAATTCCAAAAATTGTTTGAAAATTCTTTTGAACTAATTTTTAAACAAATTTGAAACTATTTCCAAACTACTTCGAACCAGTTTTGAACTGGTTTCAAACTACTTAGAACTAGTTTTGAATTACTTCGAACTAGTTTTCAACTGGTTTCAAACTACTTCCAACTAGTTTTGAACTAGTTTCAAACTACTTCGAGCTAGTTTTGAACTGGTTTCAAACAACTTCGAACCAGTTTTGAACTGGTTTGAAACTACTTCGAACCAGTTTTAAACTGGTTTCAAACCATTTCGAGCTAGTTTTGAACTAGTTTCAAACTACTTCGAGCTAGTTTTGAACTGGTTTCAAACAACTTTGAACCAGTTTTGAACTGGTTTGAAACTACTTCGAACCAGTTTTAAACTGTTTTCAAACCATTTCGAGCTAGTTTTTAACTGGTTTCAAACTACTTTGAACCAGTTTTGGACTGGTTTCAAACTACTTCGAACCAGTTTTGAACTGGTTTCAAACTACTTCGAACTAGTTTTTAACTGGTTTCAAACTACTTCGAACTAGTTTTTAACTGGTTTCAAACTACTTCGAACTAGTTTTTAACTGGTTTCAAACTACTTCGAACTAGTTTTGTACTGGTTTCAAACTACTTTGATACTAGTTTTGAACTAATTTTAAACTGATTCAAAACCAATTTGAACTAATTTCAAACAAGTTTCAAACTCATTCCAAATCACTTTGAAATAGTCATAAACAAGTTTAAAATTTCTTTCAAACTACTTTGAAATAATTTAAAATAAGTTTTAAACTAATTTCAAACCACTACGAACTAGTTTTAAACTACTTCCAAACAACTTTAAACTAATTATTTTAAACAAGTTTAAAACAATTTCAAACTTATTTCTAACTACTTTTGAACCAGTTTAAAATAATTTAAAATTTATTTCAAACTACTTTAAACTAGTTTAAAACAATTTCAAACTTGTTTCGAACTACTTTGAACTAGTTTAAAACAATTTCAAACTTGTTTCGAACTACTTTGAACTAATTTAAAACAATATCAAACTTGTTTAGATTATATTCAAATAATCCAACAAGTTAGAAATAAACACCGCTGTATAATTGGTTGCCTATTGTCTGGCGGTCATAAGAAAAGTAATTTTGATTATTTAAATAAAATTTTAAATAAGTTAAAACTTATTTCAAAAAAATATTTCCATTCAGTTTAAAACAATTTTAATTTTTTTAAATTTCAAATAAATAAATAAATAGGTAAATAAATAAATTAAATAATTAAATGATTATAAATAAATTCAAAAATTTAATTTTATTTAAATAATGTTATTATTATCAAGAAGTGAAAAATTTTTAATTTATACACATACACACCTTTTGATTAACGAAAGTCAATTCATTAATAATTCTCAGGGTCGTTTTTTTTTGTCCCTGTGGGTGTGTCTAATTACAATCGAACATATTTCATGATCTATTTTTTCCTCTATTTTTTTTCAATCACATATTGTTTAACACCTAATAAACAATAATTCTCATTATAAAGTGAAAAAAAAATGAATGCAAAAAAAATTTATAATTTAGGTAAAATTTATCAAAAAAAAAAAAAAAATTCATTTTTAATTTTAATTTTAAAAAATATTTTTATAAATTTTTTTATCTCTCTTAATCTTAAAGAAAAAATTAATTTTTTTTTTTTGGGGGGGGGGAAAGAAAATTTGTTTCAAGAAATTAAAAAATTTATTTTTACTTTTTGGTTTTATTGTTTTTTTTTTTTCATTGATCGATTATTATTTTTTTATTGATTGATTGATCGTTATTGTTACTGTAATTTTTTGCAAAATTTTCTTTTGTTTTAAATATTATTTTTATTAATTGATTAATTTTTATTTTTTTCTTATATTTTTTTCATATATTTTTTCATATATATTTTCATATATTTTTTCTTATATATTTTCGTATAAATTTTTATATATATTTTTATATATTTTTTTATATATTTTTTCGTATATATTTATTTTATATTTAAAAAATTTTATTTACCCTTAAAAGGAATAAGAAAAAAAAAATTTTTTTCCTTGAAAAAATAATCGAGTTACATTTAATTTGTTTCGATACAAGTTTTTTTTATTATCATCATCATCATTATCATTATCATCATCATTATTTTCCTTTTTTTTTAATTTTGGTGATTAATTTGCGACTAATGGCAATTAGCCAAGTCTAAGCTTGTTAAATGTGTGTGCTATATAGTAGCCTTGACTCTCAGTTCACTTTAGTAAAGAGAAATGGAACGAAGCGAGAAGCGAGATTCGCGCGAGACTATAAGAAGAACCCAAGTATACTCGTAGAACCCAAGCGTCTTTCGCACAAAACGAACGTCGCTTCCAAAAAAAAAAAAAAAAAAAAGAAAAAAAAACGTGTTTCACAACTCTTTAGTAAAACAAGAAACAAATTTTAATATAATATATATTTTTAAATATAAAAAATATTGAAATTAAAAAAAAAAATTAATAATTTAAAATTACATTAAAAAAAAATAATATGACTAAAAATAATATTGTTACCGAGGAACAGGAATTAAAACCAAAAAATGTGATAATAGAAAAAGTGATTGAAAATGGAAAGAAAAAGGAGAAGAAGAAAAAAAAGGAGAAAGAACCAAAAATTAAAGATAATTTTGTGCCACCCGATGGTGGATGGGGTTGGATTATTGTTGTTGCTGCTGGATTTTCAAATGTGAGTTAAAAAAAAATAGATATAAAATGAAATACTCACGATTCAAGCAATTTGCATTTATTTTTAGAACACGAGGTTCAGAAAAACATGTTTAGCTTCTGTATTAAACAATTTTTTTTATATACGTTTATTATTTTCTTTTCCATTACATTTTTTTTATTATTAATTTTCAATTTATTATTATTATTATTATTATTATTATTATTATTATTATTATTATTATTATTATTATTATTATTATTTATTATTAATTATCATTAATTATTATTAATTAAAATAATTATTAATATTATTTACTATTATTTTACATTTATAAATTATTATTTATAAATATTTTTTTAATTATTTATTATTATTTATTCTAACAAAAAGCAATAGCTATTATTTATTAATAATTTTCTTTTATCGATATTAATTATTTTATATAATTTTTCTCATTAATTTTTTCAATGACAAAAAATATTTGTTATATAATTTCATTATTAAATAGAGAATTAAAATTTTCATAAAACTTGCAAAAATTAATTTTTAATGTTAAAAATAATTTTTTCCTTTTCATCTTTTTTTTATATAATTTATTTACACTGATAAATGTTAAAAATTACCATCTCGATTTTTATCAAATTATTATCGGTCATTATTCGCTGCGTGATTAATTTTTAAATAATTAATTAAAAAAAAAAAAATTTTGATAATGAATTATTATCAAACAATGGCTAATTAATTACTCTTGATTGTAATTAATTATTTAAAATTTAATTAATTATTGCAAAATAAATTTTAGAATAATTTTTTTTTTTATTTATCTGACACAATTTATTTTCAATTAGAATTGTTTTTTTTAACTTTTAAAAAAATTTTTTTTAATTAAATTTTTTTTTTATTTTTAAATACTTTTTTTTAATTTTTAAAAACTTTTTTTTATTTTTTTTTAAACATTTTTTTAGAATTAAAAATATTTTTTTTTGTTTTTAAAAAAAATTTTTTAATTGAATTTTTTTTTTTAATTTTACTTTTAATTTAAATTAATTTAACACCATATAATTTAATAAAAAAGAAAGTTAATTTTAAAAAATAGATGTGGAAGAATTTTTTTTATCAATTAAAAAATTTTTTTTTAATTTTTAAAAACTTTTTTTTGTTTTTTCTATTTAATTGAAAAAAATTGATGTGAGAGAATTTTCATATGGAATTTCTGGCAAATTATCAATATAATAATTATTCATGAAGGTTTTTAAATTATCACCACGCTGCTGCTTGCATAACATGCGTCAGATCACGTGATATCATTTTACGAAAACACAATCACAAAAGTGGCGAAGTCCTTCTTTTGTAGTGAAAAAAAAAATGTAAGATTAGAAATTTTGCATATCATTGACTTCAACATACATTCACAATATTGACACATATACATTTATATTGTATATAGAGGGAAAGAGATTACGAAATATATCAATGATAAATGTTTTTTTTTTACCCATTTGATAAGATTTCTAACAAGTTGCACTTTTTTATACTTAGTAAAGTAATTCTAAATTCTATTTTTAGCAAACTAGGTTATTCAATTTTTAATTCATTCTTTTTTTTCAATATATAATCGTTTCTAAAAATGAATAAATAAATTTTTTTTACAAATTTTATTTTTTTAATTTAAAAAAAAATTTTATTGAATATATTTTATTTCCGTAAAGCAACATTTTTGGATTAGATAAACAAATTCTTTTAATTTATTCAGGATAAAGAATAGATGAGAAAAAATTCTTTTATTTAAAAAAAATTTTTTTTTTCTTTAATTTATTTTTATTTTTTAATATTTTTTATAATTTTTTATTTTATTTTTTATAACTTTTTATAAAACATTTTTTTTATATTTTTTAAAAATTTTTTATTTATTTTTATTTACTTTTATAATTTTTTATTAATTTTTATTTATTTTTATAATTTTTTATTATATTTTTTAGAACTTTTTATAATTTTTTATTTATTTTTATTTTATTTTTTATAACTTTTTATAATTTTTTTTTATTTTTTTATTTATTTTTTATTATTTATTTTATTTTTTATAAAGGAAAAAAATTTTTTTTCCATTAAATTATTTGAAATAATTAACATAATTAAATTACTTTGAAAAGAAAAAAAAAAAAAAAATTTACAATATTGATGAGTGAGAATATTTTTCTTGCAGTTCTGCATTTTTCCACTGATGCAATCGTTTGGTTTAATCTTCAGAGATCGATTCATTGAAATGGGAATAAGTTCTTCGGAAATCACGACACTTATGAATATTAATAATGCGACAACCGCTTTTATAGGTAATTATTCAAATATTCTAAATTACATGTTACAATAAGGAATTGTAAATTTCCTGTATAGAAAAAAGAAAATAATAATTAAAATTTATAAAAGAAAAAAAAAAATCACCCCCCTTGACTGGGATTGAACCCCAAATTAAAATCTCCAAATTCAATACCTTAGACACACGACCAATTTCTATTTCTCCGAAAGTTTTAAATAATTTCAAAATAATTTGATAAATAACCACTAAAAATGAATTAAAATGATAAATAATGACAAACGGCGATGAAAAAAAAATGATAAATAATTTCAAATAGTTATTTACAAAAAAAAAAAAAAAATTATAAAAAAAATTAAAATTTGAATTTTTCATTTATGATAAGAATTGTAGAAAGTAGATAAATATTGAAAAAAAACATAAAAGTGTAAAAATTAGCAAATTATCTAAAAAAAACAGTTTCAATTGTTTAATTAGTTGAATAATTAACCAAAGTAACACAGACAAAAAAAAATAACTGAAAATAATTTTTCCAGATAAGATAAAAATTAGAAAAAAAATTATTTCTGTTTTCTTTCTGAAAATTTTACGTATAATAATTGCGAAATTCAATTGAATCATTTGTGATAAAATTAATAAGATTCGTTCACAATTTATATATCCAGAAATCAGAGATTAAAAATCAAGATAATATTGTTAATTAAAAAAAAAAAAAATTCTTATTACTTGGTGCAATAACTGGATCTTATAATAATAATTAAGATATTAATCGTTATTGACTAATAATAAATTCCTGTTTTAATTCGACACTGTATAATTTGTCAATAAAGCAAAACCTTATGATTATGCATTATTTAGATAACAATTTATTATTATCGAGAATTTTTAAATATTTAAAAATGATTTGTTTTGTAAATGGAGGGCTTGTCCTCGATTGCGTATTAATTTTTTTTTCCAATTACTATTTTACTATCACTGCAGGAAATTTTTTTTTTTTTTAATTTCCATTTTGAAAAAATGTATCAAATAACACGTTTCTATAAAACAAGTTCCATTCATTTTTTTTTCAAGGCTGTGATTTATTTTAATTTGTCGTATAACACCGTTACATTTATTGAGAGATTGTAATAATAATTCTTAAGGTTTTTTTTTCATAAAACTGGAAATGGCAACAATTACTCGTGAATAATTGTCAATGTATCAATTTAATTCAATTAATTTTAATGGTTTTTTATTTAATGGCAAATTAAAATCTTATAACGTGGATTGAATTTAATTTGTAATATGTTAAGTGACTAATTAGATTTTTTAAATTATCATTTAGAACTTATTATTGTATTAACATAATTTTTTTTTATAATTAAATAATTTTTTTGATCTATTAATGAAAAATTGTAATTTAATAAATAATAATTATTAATTTACAATTTGAAAGCAATAACTGCTTTTCCCGCTCAAAGTGGAGACGCCCTTTCTTTCTATTGGCTAATTTTGAAGGTCATGAAACGACGATTGGCTCGCGTTGCATAACCTTGAAACGTTAACCAATAAAAACAGACGGGAACCCCGTGTGGGCGTTTCCCACTTAAATCGAATTTATTCTGCCAAATAATAATTAATTAATTAAATAATAATAATTGTTTAAAAATTAATAAAAATATTGTAATTTAAATCCAAATAATTACAAATTTAAAATAAAATTTTTCTTTTTCAAAAATTCTATTTAGGTTTGGCGAATGGTCCCCTATTTCGAAAGTATAGTTCAAGAAAAATTGGCGTCGTTGGAGGATTAGTTTGTGCAATTTCAATAACAATATTGTCACGCATGGAATCATTTACAGGATTTTTAATATTCTTTTCCATTCTCTATGGTACGTAGAAAAAAAATGTTGATCAATCAGAAAAAAAAACAAAAAAAAAAAAATTCTATAACATTTTCTTGCACAATTTAAGAAAATAAAAATTTTTTTCTGAGGGATCATCGATTTTAAAATAAATTAAAAATATGGATAAATGTAAATATTATCTAGTAGTCGCAAACCTCCCCTCGAAGGTATTGGAATTGGCATTACAATGTCTGCTAATGCATTGACGCTCAACACCTATTTCAAGGAGAAACGAAGAATTGCCACTGGATTAACATGGACTGTCACTGGAATGGGACCAATTGTCATGCCATTGGTAATTTTTTTTTTTTAATTAAAAAATTACAAACTAAAAATTAAAAAGAAATTTTAATAAGGATTTAATTAAAAATTGTTTTTTTTTAAACATTTTTTCTTCATTATAGATTATAACACAACTGATGACGATTTATGGAATGGAGGGTACTGTTTTAATATACGGTGGATTGGCCTTTAATGCCGCAGCATGTTCATTATTTTTCCAACCGGTTTCTTGGCATGAGAAAAAAAAATTAAATGATCCAGAACTTGCAAAAAACGTTGAAATTGATCCAAAGGTAAAAATTTTTTTTTAATTTTATCAAAAAAATTTTTCATACTTAAATTTTTATAATTTTTTAGGCAGAGGAGTCACCAAATGAAGCAAATGAAAAATTACTAAACAATGAACACAATATTTCCATGGAAAATATTATTCGAGCGAGAAAAATGTCCCTTGGAGCAGAACAATTTACAGCTAAAGAAGTTTTTGGCAGTCAATATTTATATTACGATGATAAAGAACAGGGAGCATCTGGTATTGATGTGATTGGACCTGGAACTCCAATGATGTCAAGAGCAAATGATGGTTTGTAAGTATAAAAACCAAATAAAATAATTATTTTCATTAAAAACGAACGCTGCAGTTGAGAAACACTGTTTTCGATGAAGTGGGAGAAGGGCGATTACCAATCGCTATTTGTCCCGTCCCCCTTCCATCTGTTGCGCGCGCACAGTTCTCAACCTAGTCCCGCAGAGAATCTATTATAATAGTTTAATTTATATAAATTATGCTAATTCTGCAGTATTATAATTATTAAGAATACTATTTATTTCGGAAATATATTATAACAATTTTTGTAACAAAAATATTTTTTCACGAATTTAAAGTAATTTAAAAACTTTTTTCCAAATAAGTGATTTTGTGTTTCTGTTATTAATTAAAGTAAAATTTTTAGATTTGTTTTTAAAAAAATTACTTTTTTAACGGGTGACAATAAAGTCGTACCTCTTGTAGGTTGATAAGGTAAATTACGAGAGGATAAAATTGTTCGGATCGCAGGTTCTCGAAGCTAAATGCTTCCAATGCATCCTTGGCATCAAAGAGGGAAAATTCTGTTCGAAGTAGACGTCCTTCTCTAGGCAGCAGGCAGTCATTGAACAGGTAAAAAAAATCTCCCGCCAACGACCAAAAATTTGAATTCGAATTTAAATTAATTTTATTATTTAATATATCTAATTAGCTTAAACTAATTAATCTAAAAGTTCTTAAATTTTACAATTTTCAAACGTTATGGATTTTCAATTTTTGTTTTAATTCAAAAATTATTTCCACTTCAGGCTATCCAGTGATTTTGACTATCGAAAACGGAGGAACACTCTTGAAAATCCACTGGTTTCAGTCAATGAGACAATAAATGAGAATGCAGTTCTGGATAAAAATATTGCGAAACAACAATCGGAGTCTAAAGTTTATGCATTCACTGAAGATTTAGAGAATCAGGATAATATTCCTCAGGTATGGTAATATTTTTCCCTTGTAAATTGTGCAATGGGAATTAGGAAAAATAGATAAAATATATTTTTTTAAATATTGCTATAACTGCTTTCATTCTTCTCCAATTGTCTTCGTCACATAAGAGCCATTTAGTCTTAGACATCGACTCGTGACAATGCTGTGCTTACAAGGTACCGAAACGTTCAAAAAAGTGAATCGCGATTCATGGTTAACAGTCAAAATAATAAATTTGACAAAATCCTTCGTCTATAATGGTTTCATCTATCTTACAGTGTTTGTCATTTGTATTGGTGATTAAAAAAAAGTTTGATAAGCCCTCTATAAGCATTGGTTTCATTTTTTTACAGAGTTGTCACTTGTCTTTTCGAGCATTTTTGGTGCGTATTGCTTTGCTTTTGCATCTAGAGTTACCACTTGTCGTTTTGAGCGTTTTCGGTGCGTATTGGTTTACTCTTACAGCAAGAGTTGCCATTTGTCGACAAGCAAAATTTTGACAAAACTGTTAGTTCGCATTGTTTTACTTTTAGACCAGAGTTGGCATTTGTTTTCTCGAGAAATCGGAAATTTTTCTAAGTATTTCGTGCTTTGGCATTTCATCGAGAGTTGTCACTTGGCTTTTTGAACTATCGGCAGACTTTTTGGTGCGCATTGCTTTGTTTTTTTCATCCAGCGTTATCACTTGTCTTTTTTTGTAATCCGCTAATTATTCGGTACGCATTGTACTGTCATTTTATCGGGAGTTTACACATGTTTTTATGGTGCAACATAAATTTTAGAAGCTCTCGTTAAGCATTCGTCCTATTTTTTGCAGAGTTGTCACTTGTCTTTTTGAACTAACATGAATTTTACTAACTTTTTGGTGCGTATTGCTTTGTCACTTCATCGGGAGTTGTCATTTGTATTTCTAATCCAACACGTAGATTTAAAATTCTCCAACAGCATTCGTCCTTTTTTGCAGAGTTGTTACTTGTCCTTTCAAGCTAAATTGTCTAAATTTTTGGGCCCTATCGACAATAGTACTTTCTCCTGAATCAAAATCTGTCTTTTATTTTTAAAAAAATATATATTTTTTTTGTTTATTACAGAAAAAGAATGTTAATTATTGGCTGAAGAGGACAGGCAACGCCATAATCGTCTTCTTTGATCTCGATCTACTTCGTGATCCAATTTATGTAAATCTAATGTTGGGCATTACATTCGCCAATTTTACGGAATTAAATTTCGCCCTCCTGACGCCATTTATACTCGGTGAGTATGGCTTCACAAAATTACAAGTTGCCACATTTATGTCCGTATTGGGTGGAATTGATGTGATCACAAGGATTTTTATTCCCTTCGTTGCAACATACATTGGATGGGAGAACAGAACTTTTTTCCTAATTGGCGTCGGAGGATTGGGTCTCGGTAGATTAGGTAATTTTATTTTCTTACTATAATTCGTGTAATTAGTTCTTCATTATTTTTTATTTTTATAATAATTTCTAACAATCCGAATTATTTTTCTTTAACTCTTAGAAAATATGAAAATTAAAGGAAAAAGATTTTGGATTATTACAAATTGAAATAATTTCTAAAAATTAGTTTGGTTAAATTTTTTCTTTTCAGTTTTGGCGCACGTACACACTTATGGTGTTGCAATTGCAGTGGCAATTTTAATGGGTATTGGTAAAGCAATGAGAACAATTTTCATGGCCCTAGTAATTCCAACTCACGTTCCATTATCAAGACTACCAGCGGCTTCAGGTCTTCAATTGGTGACAAGTGGAATTGTTTTTGTTTGTATTGGACCAATTGTTGGTTGGCTACGTGATTCATTGGGAGACTATGCAATAACACTTCATTGTCTAAATATTTTTACATATTTGACAATAATTTCCTGGACACTTGAGGCATGGTATACAAATTATCGTCGAAAAAAAAATCATAATGAAGAAGAAAAATAGAATTTATTCTTTTTTTTCCCCGGAAAGGAAACAATATCAAAAAAATAGTCAAAGAATTTTTTTCATTCATAGTTTTTCAAATTTTGTTATATGAAAAATAATAATATATTTTTTTATATTGTTTTAAATGAGTTTAGAACAAAAGAAAAAAGTTAATCAGAAAAAAAGTCAAAGACTTTTTTTAGGCAAAAAATTATATAATTTTGAAAAATGAAATGATTTGCATTTAGTAAATGGAAAAAAGATACAAAAAGAGAATTTAAAATTGACAATTGTACTTAAAATGAAAGGAAATTTAGATTTTGATTTATTAAAATAAAAATCAGTTTGATTTATTAAGTCGTTGACGAAATTATAATTATGTTACTTAATTTCAAGATATTTAATTTTAATTTGTATTAATCCAAACTTAAATTATATTATTTATGCTCTAAATTGTGATGATATTATATATTGAATACTATTATTAACATCGTTGTATTTACAATATAATGATACCGAATAATGTAACATGAATACTTAAATTTGATACTTATATAAATAAGCTAAAAAATTATACAAAGATTCTTCGCTAATTTTTTTTTTTATAATTCGTACAATTTTATATTAAAAAGAAATTAATATATACCTATATAATCGTGCCTTGTATTTAATATATAAATTTAAATATTTCATAATATATACAACACGATATTTTTATATATATATAGAAAACTAAATATTTTTATAGAATTTTTTTTATTAATATATATTGTAATTAAAATTTTGTTCATAAAAATCGACTATTATAAATATTTGAACATTTAATAACGCTTGTATGATGACAATGTTTACAAATAATGTAAATAATTTACGAATTATATATTATTAATAAAATTTAAAAAGAAAAGTCTATTTTAATTTGTTTTTAAAAATGTCGTCTCTCTTTTTAAAAAAATTGAGTTGTCAGTTGTCATTATTGACAATTGTCTTCGTCACATAAGAGCCATTCAGTCTTAGACATCGACTCGTGACAATGCTGTGCTTACATGGTACCGAAACGATTAAAAAAGTGAATCGCGATTCATGGTGAACAGCCAAAATTATAAATTGGAGAAAATCCTTTATGTATAATGGTTTCATCTGTCTTGAAGAGTTTATTATTTGTATTTATGGTCCAACACAAATTTTACAAGTCTTCAATAAACATTGGTTCCATTTTTTTCCAGAGTTGTCACTTGTCTTTTCGAGCGTTTTTGGTGCGCATTGCTTGTCTGACATCAAGTTGTCGAACAGATATTTTTGACAAAGTCCTCGTTAAAAATATCAAGTTGAATATTTTTTTCTCGTCATTTTATGAGGAATCTGAAACAAAAAAAATTAATTTCTACTAAATTTATTAAAACAAAAAAAAAAAATAAAACGACATTTAAAAAAAAAACTTTTTTTAGTAATACAATAAGTAACAATATTAGAATGTAAAATTTTATTCTTTTTGGAATGGACGACTCAATTGATCGACATGATTTAATTCTCCTCTCTTTCTATGTTCAATAGAGCAATATTGAATATTAACTTTTTCATACCATTTAAATTCAAATGATTTTTCATGATTCTTCTTTACTTTTCGATTTATCAACGATTTGCAATCAGTCACAAGTTTAAAATATTTACCATTAAAAATTTTTTCATAAAATTCCAATGAATAATTCATGGCCTGCATTTCTCGTTGATTCGGTGTCATTTGCATTTCCTTTTTTGTAAACATTTTAGAAAAATAGCTAATCGGATGCCAAAGATTGTCTTCAAATTTTTGAATCACTAATCCTCCACAACCAATATCACTGCCATCACAATGTAATTCTGTTTCAAGTATTGGATCAAAATTTCTTAAAACGGGAAACTGAATTAATTCTTTTTTGAAAATTTCAAATATCCACAATTTATAATCACTGAGAACATCGTATTTATTGAAAATTATATTAAAAAGACGTTCAATTTTTGCAGAATAATTTTTAATAATTTTTTCAAAATAATCTGTAATATTTCTGAATTGTTTAAATTCATCTTTAGTTTTTGGAAATGGATAATCACGAATTGCTTCTATATGTTTGTCTAAAATTTTCATTTTATTTCTAGAAATTCTATAATCAATAAATTCTAATTCTTTATATAAAAATTGACATTTTTCAAATTGCAAAAACAGTTTATTTTTAATCATAATTTGAAATAAACATTTAAGAATTTGAAATTGTTGACATAATGTTTTAGTGGCAATGAGAATTTTTTGACCATACAATATTATTTTTTTTTTCAATTAAATTTTCTAGAGCTAAATAAATAAAATGATGAAATGTTGGTTGTGATTTTTTCAAACCATCAGGCATTTTAAGAAATTCATAATTTCCACAAGGTGTTTTAAAAGCAGTATATTTACATGATTCCTCGGTTATTTTAACTAATTCAAAACTATTTTCTATATAAAGAGATGTAAAATAATTTTTATTTTTCAAATTATTTATGAAATTATTTTTTTGTTGATAATAACATTCATCATTTGTCATTGTAAGATAATTTAAATGCGAATAATCGACAATAATTTTTAAATTATTATTTTTATCCATAGACAAATTTGCTGATGATAAATAATTAGAATCACTATTTTTGATAATTTTCTTTGCCTTCATTGTTTCAATTAAATTTTTCCAAATTGATAAATTGTCTGACGATGAATCTGATAATAAATTTTCATTATTTTCAGATTGACAATGATGTTTCAAATATAGCTTAAGAGTTGTTTGTGTCTCAGAAATTGTTGGACGTTTTCGATTAATATATTCATCTGTTACTAAATTTAAAAAATTCTTACGATTTTTCAATTTTATTTTTTGGTTTATATTCAATTGCAAAGGAGAATTTAAAATTTGTGCCATTGTTTTGCTTAAGAGAATATAAATTTATAAAATAAATTTTCCTTACTATATTATGTATTAAATAAAATTTCTTATATTCGAGCAGAGAAAATAAAGCCTCACTATATTATAGATGAAATAAAATTTCAGAATTGAGAATTGATCTTAAGAGAATATAAATTAATAAAATCAATTTACTCTTAATATAGAATAAATAAAATTAAATTAAAGAGTTGCAAGTTGAAAATGCGAAGAGCTGAAGAAAATTCAAGCTGACTAAATAAACTTGCCTCACTATATTACAAGTGAAATAAAATTTAAGAGTTGATAATTGATCTTAAGTGAATATAAATTTATAAAATAATTTTCCCTTAGTATATAAGAAATGAAATAAAATTACAGAGTTGGAAATTGAGAATGCGAAGACGTCAGGAAAATTTGATCTGACAAAATAAAATTTCCCTTACTATATTAAAGTGGAAATAATTTTATTTTATTTTATTTCTTATATAGTGAGCGAATTACTTATACGCCAAAGGCGCTTGTCACATAAGAGCCATTCGGTCTTAGACATCGACTCGTGACAATGCTGTGCTTACAAGGTACCGAAACGATAAAAAAAGTGTATCGCGATTGACGGTGAACAGCAAAAACCATTTTTAACAAAATTCTTGGTGTTTAATGGTATTCTCTTTCTTATAGAGTTGTTAGCTGTATTTAAGATCTAATACAAATTTAATAACCTATGAATAAACATTGGTTCCATTTTTTTTTCACAGAGTTGTCAATTGTATTATTAAGATTTAAGCAAGTTGACTTTTTGGTGCGCATTGCTTTGCTATTGCATCGAGAGTTGATGTGGACTCTTTGATGCGCATTGCTTTGCGACTGCTTCGAGAGTTGTCAATTGTCCTTTTATGCTATCTGTAATTTGACTAACTTTTTGGCGCGCATTGCTTTAGTACTGTTTCGAGAGTTGTCATTTGTCCTTTTATGCTATCTATAATTTGACTGAATTTTTGATGCGCATTGCTTTAGTACTGCTGCGAGAGTTGTCATTTGTCCTTTTATGCTATCTATAATTTGACTGACTTTTTGGTGCCCATTGCTTTGCTGTTGTATCGATAGTTAATTTTGACTTTTTAGTTCGCATTGCTTTGCTTTTTCTTTATTATAATCGATAAAGAAGAGAAAAATATATCAGGCTGGTTTCGTTGGTAATACTAAAACAGCGTTAAGAGGAAAGTGAAAGAAGACCAGACAGGTTTCAAGTGTTAATTATGCAGCTATGTCAAGGTCAGATGACTTCATCATGTAAAAGACATTCAGTGAAAAAAAAATTTACAAATGAAATTTATTTTAATATTTCTTTTCATATTTCCAAAGAATGTTGTTTAATTTTTTTATTATTTGTCGATAATGGAAATTTCTACGTTTGCTTTGTTATGGTAAAGAATTTTTACAGCAGAACTGTAAACGTCGATAACTGTAAGCAAGGTTGGGTAATTATAACGTCGTCTTCATTTATGATTGGATGTTGTATTTGGAAAATTTTTTATTAGCCAATCAAATTTAGCGATATTTAACATACATTAAGGTCAAATGTAGAAATGACGAAATATTCTGTTTTTATATATATACAGAGAATGTAAAATATCTAAACTAAAGCATCATAAATATAAATTGTAGTTTTTTTTGACAGATGGCGAAAGATTTGAAGTAGAATGTGATAAGTAAACTATAAAATATCTTTATAGCAAGTATGTATATATTCTGCTGCTGCTAAATATATAAAAATGTAAATGAATTGTTTAAATATTGAAAATGTATTATTATTATTATTATTATTATTATTATTGTATTTTATCATTTAATATATTGTAGTAAAATAAAATCTAGTAAATGATAAACTTCTGTATTTTCTATTAAAGATTTATCTAACCTTTTTAACAATATTAACATACTAAAATTTCTTTTTTCTTTCTGCTACAAAATTTTGAGGTTATGTTTCCTTGACAATGATTATTGTTTTTAAAGTTATTTATAAAATTATTAAATTAAGTTATGAAATTTAAATTAAATAATTACAATAATAAATAAAAAAAAATATAAAAATTTTCTAAAATAAAATAATTTTTACAATAATTATTGTAGGGGAAACTAAATTGTATTGGAAACAATAACATATAATATGTTCTATAATTAATTATTTTATAGTTATTATAAATATTAATAATAAAATTATAAATTATAAAATAAGGTTAATTGCTTTATTAATATTATTATTTCTATTGTTTCTATTATAAGTAATTTTTTTTTTAATTAAATCTTCTTTTTCATTTTAACTAAATATAAAATACTTTTTTATTTTTTTTCAAATAAATAATTTGTTTAATGAAATTTTATTTTGTAAAATAAAATTTTGTTTTGGTAAAATAAAATTTTGTTTGGTTAAATAAAATTTTGTTTTGGTAAAATAAAATTTTGTTTGGTTAAATAAAATTTTTAATTGTTGCAAATAAAAAAAATTTATTTATAGTAAAAATAAATATTTATTTAATTCAATTGATAAAAAAATAATATTTTTTTGGGTGTGGCATACTTAATTAAAAAAATGGAATTTCGTAAAAAAATATTTAAAAACAAAACAAATATACTTAAATATAGATATTTTATAGAAAATGATGTTTTTCGTTAATGATAAAAGCAGATGATTTGACGAGATAAGATTAGTGCGTTAAGTGTCTTATCAAATATATTGTACATGACTGCGTGGTTTGGTGGCGTTTAACATCATCAGCAGTCTAGTTGTCGACTTTTTCCCAACATGTGTAATTATAACTAAAGAATGTGCGTGTGTGATATGAAAAAAAAAGTTTTTATTTGCAAAATAATTCTTCATTAAAAATGACCTTTTGAGGCAAAAAAAAAACTAAACAAAGGTGTTGCAAATTTTTTTATACTTTTTTTTTGCTTATCAGTTCCGAATGATATTTATATTTATCTAAATTGAAATTATTTCTGTATATATATGGGTACGTTTCATTGCCCTCTCTATAAATAATCTTCATTTAATTGCGCGTGTTTGATGATTAATAAAATTTCATTTTGTAATTGTACTCTTAATTTATTAACAATAATTATGAGAAAAAAAAATTGTGTAATTATTTAATTTACAATATTGTAATTTACAAATTTATAAAAAAAAAATTTATTTTATTGAATTTTTAATTATTTAATTAACAATATTGTAGTTTAAATAATTTATTAACAAAATTGTAATTTAATAATTTTATAAACAATATTATAATTTAATTATTTAATTAACAATATTGTCATTTAATAATTTAATTAACAATATATTGTAATTTTATCATTTAATTAACAAAAGTATAATTAAATTATTTAATTAAGAGTATTTTAAGTTCAATAAAAATTTTATTTATCCTTAATTACTATAAGAATTATAAATTTATTTGCTCCAATAATTAACAATATTAATATATTTAGGTGAATGAAAGGAGATTATCAGGAAAAAAAAAATATAATACTCAATGAAAAGGACAAATATTTACATTTTTAGAATGGTCCATTTGGACTTTTATTAATTTTGTTGGGAAAAAAAAAATTTTTTTCTACTATCATGAAAACGTATAATTTTAATGCCCCCGATGGAGGTTGGGGTTGGATCGTTGTTTTGGCAACCGCCTTGAACAACGTAAGTGTAATTAATTAATAAATAATTAACAAATAAATAAATTAATAATTAATTAAAAAATAAATAAATTAATAATTAATTAACAAGTAAATAAATTAATTATTAATTAAAAAATAAATAAATTAATAATTAGTTAACAAATAAATAAATTAATTATTAATTAAAAAATAAATAAATTAATAATTAGTTAACAAATAAATAAATTAATTATTAATTAGAAAATAAATAAATTATTAATTAGTTAACAAATAAATTAATTAATTATTAATTAGAAAATAAATAAATTAATAATTAATTAGCAAATAAATAAATTAACAAATAAGTGAATTAATAATTAATTAATTAGTTAATTAATTACTAATCATATAATTTTTATTAGTATTCATTTTTTTTATAATTATAATTTTTTTTTTACAAAAGATAAAAAAAAAATGTTAAAAAATTTATATATTTCGCTCTTAAAATATATTCGTTATTTATTTCTTTTTTTTGCAGATGGTCACAATTCCCATTTTACAATGTTTTGCATTTATTTTTAAAGATAGATTTGATACATTAAATTTTTCAGCAATACAAATAACAACAATTACAAATTGGAATTCATTTTTTGGTATGATTTTGGGAATATTTAATGGACCATTAATCACAATTTTTGGATATAGAAAAACAGCTATTTTAGGAACATTAGTGTTTACAGCGGGAGTTGTTTACACTGCATTTGCTTCCTCATTTTTACATTTTATGATTGGTTATGGAATGATAACGTGTAAGCAAAGAAAATTAATAATTATTATTTATTGCAAAAAAAAAAAAAATTTTTTATTTTAAATAACAGGATATCATTTTTATAATTATTATAATAACAATTATAATAATAATAATAATTTTTATTATTATTATAATTATTATAATTATTATAACAGTAATAATAATTGTAATAATTTTTTTCATTTAATTATTTTCTAATTTCTCTACTATTAATGTTTTATAATAATTATATTGATATAAATTAATATAATTAATTAATAAACATTTAATAAATAAGCGTTGTGTCACGCTGAATTTTAAAATAGAAATTTAGAAAATTGCGCGCGCAGCATGTAAAGAGTGGGGATAGCGCATTCTGATTGGTTATCCCCCACTCTTTGCATGCTGCGCGCGCAATTTTCCTAACGTTTATCTCCTAAAAGACGCACAACACAGTGGAAATGACGCTAATTTGAAATTTATTTTAATCATTTATAGAGTAATTATAAATATTATTTATGTACAAATTTTTTTTTGAATTTTTTAAAATTAAATTTATTTATTTTTTGAGATTTAAAAAAAAATAAAAAGTTTCATTAATAAAAATTTTTTAAAAAAAATTTCAGCTGTAGGAATGGGTATTGCAATGTCATCTTTTTTTCTTGCATTAAATACATATTTTGCGGAAAAAAGAGGACGTGCCATGGGAATTGCTATGACTTTAACTGGAATTGGACCAATTTTGATTCCACAAGTCTCGAGATTTTTACTCCATTGTTATGGTTCTCAGGTAGAAATTAGAAATATTTTTTTAAAAACAATCATTTTTTCCCAAAGAATTAAAAATTATTAACAATAATTTAAATAATTAAAAATTTTTTTTTTATATTTATATAGAATTAGGAAAAAATTTTTTATAAAAGATAAACGGAAATCGAGTCACATAAATTAAATAAAGATGATATGCAATTTATTCACAATAATGTTTTACATCACACAAAAATATTCATTGAATTAGGTCAAGTCTTTATTTACGCATAGTATTAAATGATAATTTTAATTCTTTTTTCCGATTGATTTAATTTAATTTAGAAAATTTTTTTGTCACTTTTTTCTATACAGGAATTTTTTGTTTTTGGAAAAATAAAAAAAAATTCGCTATTTTTGCATTTCACTCTTAAATTTCAGATAAAATTTTTAATAAAAAAATTTTTTTGGAATTAATTAATTAATTTTATCCAATAACAATAATTTAGATATAATAATAATTATTATTATAATAATTAATAATAATTTTAAATTTTTAAATTTTTTTAGGGTACAATGTTACTTCTCGGAGGATTTAGTTTACATGCATTAATTGGTGCAATGCTACTTCAACCAGTAAAATGGCATTCGAAGAAAGAAAAAATTGACCATGGACAAAATTTAGAATCACGTAATTATTTTTTAAATTTATTTTCTATTTATAATTTTTAATATTTAGTTTTATAATTTTTTATAAAAAAACCGACGCAAATATCTACCTTACCAACTGATGGTAAAACAGTTTTTTGAAAAATAAAAATAGAAAAATTACCGACGTAGAAATCTACCTTGCCGACTGATGGCAAAGAATTTTTTTGAAAGGTTACTAACTTTTTCAAAACTGTTTTACCATCAGTCGGCAAGGTAGATTTCTGCATCGGTATTTTTTCTATTTTTCATAAAAAAAATTTATCATCAGTCGGTAAGATAGATTCCTATATCGGTAATTTTTTATATTTTCATTTTTTTTAATTACCATCGGCCGGTAAGGTAGATTCCCATGTCGGTAATTTATATATTTTTTTTAGAATATATATCACTTCTTCAAGACATATGTCCTGAATGTACGGAGGATGAGAAAAAACAAAATTCGAAAAAAGGTAGCAATTATGACTTACAAGCCATTGATCTCGGTAAATATAATAATTAAAATTAACAAAATGCCAAAAAAAAAATTTACTCAAAAAGTAATAATTAATTCCAGTACAAACAGTTAATTTAGGAAGTAGTTTTAATGTTTTCGAAGAATCAAAATCATCCGAAGAAATAAAAGAGGAACCATTAAAAATTCTTCAAAATGGTAATGGACAATGCCATTTGAATAATGAAAAAATTTGCGTTAAATGTGGCTCATTATTTATCATGGAAAAAATCAACGACAATGTAGAAAAAAATGTAGGGTGAGGTTATGTATTACTTGTTTTAACACTAGAGGCGCAATAGTATAAAATAATTAATTTTTTTTAATTTCGTTTTCATTGCATCAAAAAAAAAATAATAACTATAGTGAAAAAAAGACAAGATGTGAAAAAATAATTTATCTCTTTGGATTGGATTTACTTCGCGATTGGATATTTGTTAATATCACAATGGGTATGTCGGTGGCAATTTTTGCTGAAACAAATTTTTCAACATTACTGCCAATTATTCTTAAGGAAATGCAATTAACAACAACGGAAATATCAATTGTCATGAGCCTATTGGGAACAATGGATCTTCTTCTTCGTGGAATTAGTCCATTTATTGGACATCAATTACGTAAATCACCAAGGACCATGTATTTATTTAGTTTGTCATTTCTCATCATTGGCAGAACATGTAATTATTGAAATTTTTTTTATAATTCTATTTTATTTTTTATTAAATTGGAAAAAATTTGTGAGAAACTCAGAATTGCGCCATCTATCGATAATTTTAGTTTCTATAAACAGCTGTATAGTAACATCTACCTGTAGATATCCTAAATTTTTTTTACAGAAGAAATTATTTTTTGTAACTTAGACTTTTGAAAAATAATAAAAAATAAAGTGTTTACAAAATTTTTAGGGGAAAAAAATTGTTTTTTCTACAATAAAAAAATTAATTTATGTTTTTTTTTTTTTTTTTTTGTTTCAGTGTTAATGTTCACGACAGGATTCATTTCAGTTTTAATGGTAATGATATGGATGGGATTCGCCAAGGGAATACGTGCTGTTTATTCAGTTTTAGTTATTCCCAATTATGTTCCATTGGAAAGGCTTCCCTCGGCAAGTAGTCTTCAACAAATTGTCGTCGGTTTTCTATCAATGGGAGCTGGTCCAATTATAGGTTAGGATTTTGAAAATTAAATTTCCTTCGCTATTAATAATTTTATTTTCATTATTTAATTAAATTATATTATTTAATTTAATTTAATTAAGAATTAATAATATTTAATTTAATTAAAAATTAATATTATTTAATTTGTTTATCAAAGGTTACATTAGAGATTCAACCGGAAGTTATGGTCTTGGAATTGCATTCATTAATTGCATGACTGGTTTGACAATAATCATGTGGATGATGGAAATGTTTTTAGTTCCATCAAAAAACAAAACACAACCGAATAGATGATTGTATTTTGTTTTGAATATTTTATTGTTATTTTATTTTTTAGTAAATAGAAGTAAATTTTTTTGTTCTATTGTGCTTTATATTTATATCTATTTATTAAAATTTCCAAAAGTTACTTGAAAGCTGCGTGCGCAATGATTAATGTTCCTTCGTGCGAAGCGTGCGTACACGGAGGAACACAGCGTTGCCAATGAATTCTAACCTAATAACTGCGCTTGCGCTACGACAACTCTCTTATAGGTCGAAAAAAAGGCGCGCTTATTTAAAACGCTTAAAAATAAAAAAAACGTTAAAAAAGCAGTATAAAAACATTTTTTCTATTAAATTTATTATTTTTTTCTGTTAATTGTATTTCTTACGGATAGAAAAATTAACTATTTAATTATTAATTAATTATTAATTAATTAATAAAATTAATTCTATCTATTAAATAGTTACCTTTTTGAAAAATGTTTTTTTTTTTTTAAATATTCGATTTGAAATTCAATTAATTCACGATTAACAACTATAAGAAAGTGATAAATTAATTTAAAAAGTATATAATTTCATTGGAAAATGAAACTTATCGCTATTATATAGAACCTATATACATGTCGCATCATCAGCTGTTAATTAAGGTCGTGTCCTTGTTGGATACCATTTTGCTTTTGGAACGGATCTAATTAGTCGTGAGGATTCTTGGTCTCATTTAACGGATGTTTAGTGGGTAAATCCAATGGGTTTCGAGTCTCTTGCAAAACAATATACCAGTAAACTTTTCTCACAACCTTTTTCCGGTTAGCGTGTTCTCACGCATCCAATACATATACGAGAATGTCAAAAGTGTTTTACCCTAGTGACCCATCATTTTTCATGGTGAATTCAATTTTTCCTTTTTATTTTTACGCAAGGAAAATCAATTTTCTTTAACCGAAGTATAAAAATAATTTGCATTTAATATATTTTGGTAAATTAAAAATTCTGTTTGAACACTTAAAAATTATAATTAATAAAAAAAATTTTTTTAATTAATTAAAATTAATTTAAAAAATTAATTAAAATTAATTATTAATTAAAAATTTAATTAAAATTTAAAAATAATAGTAATATAATTATGTATAATTTATAATATAATAAATTACAAATATATATACTAAATCAAACATCGATTTCTTTTTATTTATTACAAATTTATTTATTTATTTTTTTTATTACAAATATCAAAAAATTGTATAAAAATTATTTTCTCAAGTCATTTATATAATAATCGCACACATTTTTATCATTATTCACACACTTTAATTTTATTATCACTTATTTAATACGCTTTTATTATACACTAAATTTAATTCGCCTATAAACTTAATACAATTGCCATTGTTTATTTAAGAAAAAAAAAAAAAATTGTAAAACTTTTTATAACAACTCTCGTTTTGTAAAAATATTAATATATGTACAAATATTTAAAATAGTTAAAATTATATATAATAATAATTAATTATAATAATAATAATACTTATAATAATAATAATAATAATAATAATAATAATAATAATAATTCGATTGCTTTATATATCAAATAAAATGTTTCTTATATAAAGGAATACAATGACTTTTTTTTAGCAATTAATTATAAATTAATTATAAATTATTAATAAATTATTAAAAATTTATTAATATTTTAAAAATTAGTTAATAAATTATTATTATTAATAATTTTAATTAATAAAATTATTATTGATTTCATTTTTTGTACTAATTATTATTATTAAATTCGATATACAAAAATTAATAAACTATCAAATTAGAGAAATTAATGTAAAAAAATTTCACTTGGAGAGGGAATTATTTTTTTTTTAACTCTCCGAAGAAGACAGTATACTGTGATTTACAAAGAAGATTGTTAATGCCAAGTTAATATATTTATTGACCTGAATGACAATATTTTGCAAATTAAAACATTTCTCCGTTTGCAAAACGTGCAAAAAATTCTCAAATTGCAAAATAAAAACCTTCTTTTCCAATATAGTATTATAAATTATGCCTCGTTATTCTAGTTCAGCGAAAGTGCATAAAAGTCACTTTGAGGTTTTCGCTCTCTTGTTTGCGTCTTAACGCGTGAGTGTATGTGTCAAAGAATCGTTTATTATTCACAAAACAATTGCTTAAAAATAAATCGCAGTAAAAAAAAGAGAAAAAAAAAATAAAAAGAATAACAACAATGGAAAGTCTTCCCAAAAACTATATTATTATAAAAGTTCCAATTCTTTTTGCGAAAGTCAAAAGTAAATTCTCTCTTTTTCTCTCTTTTTTTATATATACTGAAAAAAAAAATTTTTATTTGATTCAAATATACTCGATTACTTGCCTATTTTATCAAATAAATATATTTATTAATATCAAATAATTATTAAATATTTCAATCAATTTTAATTTCAAATACAGAAATTATTGATTCAAATACAATTTATATTTAATGCAAATAAAAATTATTTAATTCAAGTAAATATTTATTTAATAATAGTCAAGTAATCGAGTATTTGAATCAAAACAAATTTTTTTTATTTATTTTATAAATACACAAAATTAAAAAATGTTACAATTTTTAACAAAAAAAAAAAAAAAAAAAATACAATTTTTTATAATTTTTAATCAATAATAATTATTATATATATATTCAATATATAGTTAATTATTGTGTGTATTTAAAAAAAAAATATACATAAAAGAGAAGCAAAGGAGAATCGAAAGTTGTGATTTAAATTATAATGGGAAATTCCAATTGTTTCTCGGTCGCACATCTTATGTGTCTAATGATTCGCGAATATAAAAGGCTTTCTTCGCATATATTCTCTCGTCCTGCTTCTCGCGATAGTTTCACGTTTACTTGCCCCCCTTTTTTCATACACACATATACATTTATTTTAAAAGTAAATTTTATTCTCAATGAGTTTGCACATTGTCACCATTGACTCTTCTTCTTCTTCTACTTATTCTTCTTCTTTATCTAATGATCCTAAATAATGACTATAAACTGGCCCGCGACAGCTGGTTTATGTAAAGTTCCACTTTTGCATTATAAATATATAGGAAACAAAAAATTCACCTCGGAAAGTATCTCAACGTTTCATTGCAAAAGAATTACAAAAATCGATCATTTTATCAGGTCTAGATACAGATAATATCATCTAGATAATATCATTTACATAAGATAATATAGATAATACAAATCTAGATAATATTGCCTATATAAAATCATATAGATGATATAATTTTGATAATACTATCTACATTAGATAAAATAGACGAGATAAACTAGATAGTATCTTTATTATTAGTAGCTTATCTAGATAGTATCTAAGCTACTATCTAGATAAGGTACTATCTAGATAAGTTACTAATAATACAGATACTCAATATATGTAGATAGTATCTTTATTATTAGTACATTATCTAGATAGTATCTTATCTAGATAGTACCTTATCTAGATTGTATCTTATCTAGATAGTACCTTATCTAGATTGTATCTTATCTAGATAGTATCTTATCTAGATAGTACCTTTATTATTAGTACCTTATCTAGATAGTACCTTATCTAGATAGTATCTTATCTAGATAGTACCTTATCTAGATAGTATCTTATCTAGATAGTACCTTATCTAGATAATATCTCATCTAGATAGTACCTTATCTAGATAGTATCTTATCTAGATAGTACCTTATCTAGATAATATCTCATCTAGATAGTACCTTATCTAGATAGTATCTTATCTAGATAGTACCTTATCTAGATAGTATCTTATCTAGATAGTACCTTATCTAGATAGTACCTTATCTAGATAGTACCTTATCTAGATAGTATCTTATCTAGATAGTACCTTATCTAGATAGTATCTTATCTAAATAGTACCGTTATTATTAGTAGCTTATCTCGATAATATCTTATCTAGATAATATTATCTAAATTAGTAGTTTTTTTCAAATTTTTGGCCAAAAAAATGTAATTTCTCTGTATTTACTGGGCAGAATGTAATTTTAATTTCGCTCTAATTATAAATTGTAATAATGAGATAATAGAGTAAGAAAAAATTACTAATTGAATGAGGAAAATGACTTTCAATTTTTACCGCACGGCATTTATTTTTCATATAAGGTAATAATTTTTCATAATGGCGCGATTCTTATTTCAATGCTGACTATTATATATATACCCCCATGAAACGTGGGCAAAAAAAAAAAAAAAAAAAAAAAAAAATTATGTATAGTAAACCTGATATGTGATCAACTTTTATAATTCGCAAAAAGGAAGTGAGTGAACGGTTCTCGCTTTGGTGACTTTACTCCAGGTACAGTTATACGCCGTAGATATATATATATATATATATAAAGGAATCACGTGTGTACTTTTATATATACATATACATTAGTTTCCTGTTTTTCATTTCTTTATTTTCTGTTTTTTTTTAAAGACGGATACGTCATCGCCTTGCATGAGAAACCTGTGATAACAAAAAAAAGAAGAAGAAATGATGATATATTTTTTGTACATAGTGGCAAAAACAAAATAAGATTGTCCGAAAAAATTAAAAAAAAAAAAAAAGAAAAAAAGAAAAAGATAATAAACTAATAGGGAAAGTTTAGTGTGATATTTATTAAAAATAAAGATTTTGGGAATGTATTTTTTTATCTGAAATTTTTAAGAAGAGAAAGTTTTGCGAAAATAAAGACATTTTATAATTTAATTGAATACAACCCGAATATATTAATGACTTTTTTTATTATTTTTTTTTATTATTATTATTATAATTGGTGATATTTTTGGGAAGAAATACATATTGAGGTTATTGAATTGCATTGTTAATGATCGCGTACTACTTTGGATAGTGAATTGAGGAAATTTTGAGAATTTCTTTTTTTTTAATGCCACTGAGAGAATAAAGTGGTTGGGGTTACCATTTTTGAGGTGACCATTTTTAGTTAATAAAATATACTGCTGCTAATTTATTAGTTGTTACTATTTTTAGTTGGCATAACTATACTATTACTTGGCATAACTATACTATTAGTTGGCATAACTTTACTATTAGTTGGCAAAACTATATTACTACTTGGCATAATTATGTTATTCGTTGGCATAACTATATTATTACTTGGTATAACTGTTTTAGTTGGCATAACTATACTATTAGTTGGCAAAACTATATTATTACTTGGCATAACTATGTTTTTAGTTGGCATAACTATATTATTACTTGGCATAACTATGTTTTTAGTTGGCATAACTATTTTATTAGTTGGCATAACTATATTATATTACTTGGATACTATATTACTTGGTATAACTATGTTCTTAGTTGGCATAACTATACTATTAGTTGGCAAAACTATATTATTACTTGGCATAACTATGTTTTTAGTTGGCATAACTATTTTATTAGTTGGCATAACTATATTATATTACTTGGATACTATATTACTTGGTATAACTATGTTCTTAGTTGGCATAACTATACTATTAGTTGGCAAAACTATATTATTACTTGGCATAACTATGTTTTTAGTTGGCATAACTATATTATTACTTGGCATAACTATGTTTTTAGCTGACATAACTATATTATTACTTGGCATAACTATGTTTTTAGTTGGCATAACTACATTATTACTTGGCATAACTATGTTTTTAGTTGACATAACTATTTTATTAGTTGGCATAACTATATTATATTACTTGGATACTATATTACTTGGTATAACTATGTTCTTAGTTGGCATAACTATACTATTAGTTGGCAAAACTATATTATTACTTGGCATAACTATGTTTTTAGTTGGCATAACTATTTTATTACTTGGCATAACTATGTTTTCAGCTGACATAACTATATTATTACTTGGCATAACTATGTTTTTAGTTGGCATAACTATTTTATTAGTTGGCAAAACTATATTATTACTTGGCATAACTATGTTTTTAGTTGGCATAACTACGTTTTTAGTTGGCATAACTATATTTTTAGTTGGTTTAACCAATTAGTTTGTTGGAATAACTATTTAATTACTTACCTTACTAAGAAAAATAGTTAGACTGACTAACTAAATAGTAACAGTAACTAATTTAAATTAGCTAAAATACTCATACTAACGAAATACCAATCCCAACCAATAGTTTCTCTCAGTGTGTGTTATATAATTTTTGTTTTTTTTTTGTTAAAAAAAAATTAAAAAATTTTTTTCTTGAAATTCTTGAAAAGAAAAATTATCTCTTACCTTTGAATGGCCAGTGTAGAGAATTGGAAGTTGTGATTCATTATCAGAATTTGATGACGCAAATTCTTCATGTTCCATAATTCCCCAAAGTGGACTATTTTCTGGTCCAGTTGATGCAACAGCTAAATTATTAACCGCCTGTGGTAATACCTGATAGGCTCTTTCAATTTTTTCATTATCCTTATTATTTTTCTTTGGTTTTTTCTTCAATTCTAATTCATAAGCTTTTTTTAATTCCTTCTCACCAATTGGCAATGGTGTTACAACATAAACTTTTTCACCTTTCTTATTTATTGATGTATTTGCAAAAATTGTTTGTATTTTTAATAATTCTTCTTTATTATTGTCATTATTTTCACTAATTTTACTATTATTCCTCGAGAGGGGAATTTCATTTTCTTTGGCTTCAATAATATGATTTAAACGATTGCCAACTGAATTTTGAGGAATTATACTCGTTTTTGCTGTTGTTGTTGTTGTTGTTGTTTTTGGTTCCTTAGAGGAAAAAAAAATTTAATATCAAGAAAGAAAAATAAGAAGATAAAAAAGAAATAGAAAAACAGTTTTAAAAAAAAATTTAGAAAAGGAAAATTATTATTAGATAAAGAAAATGATTTTCCTGAATAAAAATTTTCAAACTAATTTTCCTAGATTTGTTCGTATTGTTGACGAAACAAATATGAATATATTTCCTTTTATTTCTTAAGGATTTTCTTTTTTTTTTTTTTATTGCAGATTTCTAAACTTCCTCTTTGAAAGTGGAAATAATAAAATTAATACTACTAATAATAATAATAAAATACTAATAAAAATAATAATAATTAATAATAATAATAATAATAAAAATCAGTAAATTTTTATTTAAATTTTAATTACCTGAGTAACACGAGATATCTCGAATGTCGTCATTTGTTTATAATCTTCAAAATCAAATTCTGAAGATACTCGTTTTGCGTCGTCTTCATCGCTATCGTAATTTTCGTCGTCGGATGTTGTGTTGTGTTGTTTTGTGATGAAATATTCATTTGGAATTATTTTTGATGGCGAAAGATAAGGATGTGTTGCATTTGGTACAATTGTACTCGCAATCATTCCATTCGAGTATTCCTAAAAAAAATTTTTTTCCAATTTAATTTAATAAGTATTTTCAATTATTAATTAACAAAAAAAAATTTGATTAATTATTTACAGCAATCAAAATTTATAGAAAGAAATAATTTTGAAATTATTAATCATTAAAAACAATTTTAATAAATTAGGAAATATTAAATTTTTTTTATTAACAATTAGTATAATTAATAATTGAATTGTTAATTATTATTAAATTAATTTAATTAAATTATTTATTACTGAATTAATTTAATTAAATTGTCAATCATTAAATTAATTTAATCAAATTATTAATTATTGAATTAATTTAATGAAATTGTTAATTATTACATTAATTTAATTTTTAATATTTAATAGAAAATTATTTAATTTGAAATAAAAAAAAAAGAATTAAAACCTGAATTGTCCAATTGTCAATATTTTTCTGTAATCTTTGAACGTCAATGGAATTATTTTTTGCATCTGAAGAAGTTGACGAAGAAGTGGATGTAACATCCGGAAGTGATGTAACGGAAACTGTATTTGATTCTTGTGCAATTACACCCTCATCAAATGGATCATAATGAATATCAAATGAAGGAATTTTTCTTGGCAATTGTTGCTCTAATTTGTCTCCATTTTTATTATTTACAATAGACGAATGAAATGGACTTGGTGTAAATTGTGATGTATAGGGAATTATTATCTGCACCTATAAGACAACAAAATAATTCCTTATTTTTATTAAAAACAGATAAAATTTTATTTATTTTCCATTTTTATTTTTAAATTTATTTTTAATTTTAATTTTTTTTTTAATTTTTAAATTATTTTTTTTTTTTACCTAATTCGTTTATTTAATTAAATTTTCAATATTTTACAGTAACAAAATAGAAATTTTTGAGGGGAAAAAAATGGTTATTTAATCAAAAATTTAATTAAATTTGTCAGTAATTTTTTCTTTCAAGGTCATTGCAAGAGATATCGTAACCTTGGAAAAATTTCTTATCCTGGACCTCGGGTATATGATTTATTATTAAATTACAAAATTTCCCCTGGAGTGCTTTCACATATATATATATAATTACATTGACTATAAAACAGTGACAAGAAGACGCGCAGAATTATTATAAAGCGATAACAAATCAATTCCTGCACTGAAAAGAGAGAAAGTTTCTAATGACAAGAATTTTTTTTTTAATAATTACATTAAAACGTAAAATTTCATTAAAAAATATATTTTTTTTTGTCTATAAATTAAATTTAATAATTTTCGTTTATGACATAACCTAGAAAAATAGATTTAAAAGAATAAAGAAATAAAAGAAAAATGCCAAAATTATTAAATTCAAATATTCCCGCTAAATATTTCAACCAATCAGAGTGAAGAATCGACGGGAATTTGTCCAATTTTGTTAATAGAACGAAGAACAAAATTTGATGTGTTTTTGAACACCCAGGGTTAATTTTAATGAGTTTTGGAACAACAATGAGTTAGAGAAGGACAAACAATTTGTCTATCCTTCTCTAACTCATTCTTCCAGTTGCGTTTGCGATTACGATTTCGATTACGTTTCTATTCTTCTCAAGCCTTTAAGAAAAATATTTTATTTTCTCCACTGGATATAATTCCAAGGTTTTGAATAAAAAATTCAGATTTTTAAATATTAAATAACCTCAAAACTGAACTCACTTGTTTATTTTTTTTTCCAGTTCGACTTGAATGAGTGCCAAGTGAAAAATTATCACCACCACTAATATCACCATTACTAAAATTAGTAGCACTTGTTTTTGAATTTTCATTCATTGCTTTTTCTTCTCTTTTAAAATTATAATAAGATTCCATTAATGCCTCTAAAAATGGTTGTTTCTCATTGTAACCCAAATCTTCATGACTACGAGCCGAATTAAAATAATCAATTTCACTTGATTCCGTTGCATCAATTATTGGCCTATTCGAAATACTCGTTGATTCAGGAATTGGTATTCTATCATTATAACCAGCGACAAGATAATCAATGAGACTCGATGGTTTTGTGGAACTTTCATAATTTTCACTATCATAATTATTAGTTGAATATAATTCAGTTAGAATCAAAGGCGTTGGAGATATTGTCGAAAGACTTAAATCAATAATTGGTGATCTCTCGTAATGAATTTGTTCCGATGAAATTTGACCACCAATCGATGGTAATATTTCTAAATGTGAATTTTGTTGATCGCGAGTTAAAATACGAAAATCTTGATTTTGATTTTTGTTACTCTGAATTTTCTGTCCAAACACACTTTCTAAATTTTGTGTTCCTTGAATCTCCTTTTCTAGACTTTGAACTATTTCCCCTTGATTTTGATTCTCTTGATTCTTTTCTGGAGCTGTGTTTACGTGATTTTGAGTTCCAATTTCTTGATTTGTGGAACCTTGAACCTCGGGTTCTTGATTAACTGTTTCTTGATGATCTTGAATATTTGTACTGGCACTTCCTCTATTGTCATCATTGTGAATTGATGCTTTACCGACTTGATAATTGGATGCAGGTTGATTGTCATTATGTAAGTGAATATTTCCAGCCGAGGAAAATTCAGTTGCCCTGTAAAGTGGTGGCATTGCACCTGGATACATGTGTGGATTTGGTATTGGATGATTAGCAAAATTTAGCATTGGATAATTATTTTGAAATGGTGAATAGGTGAAATCTGGTTGACGAATTTCGTGCGATGGCGATGATGGTAAATAACGACCATCATTGATGTATTTAAAATTTTCTGGCTGTCGAATTGGAATCCAAGGTTCATCATTACAGGGATTGCAACTTCTCTCGGGATTAAATGGACCATTTTTTGGAACTGATCTTTGCTCATCTTGATTATATCTGTAATTACAATTTACAAATTAATCAAATTGTAATTATACATATAAAGAAAAAATTTATCAAAAAAAAAATTAAAACTCACACTGAAGGATTTCTTAAAGTTTGAGGAGGTGGTTTTAGACCACCATCATTACTGGACCATGGATTAAGCCAACTCATTAATCGGGAAAAATAATTTCTCGAGTCACCAGTTGTTGGGGTTCTTGAATTATCGAGATATTTTCCATTTCTAAAAGTGCCAGGAGGTGGAGGTATAAAGGGTGGTGGTGCAATATTAGTGGATAGAGGATGATTGTTAAAAATTTTTCCACTCGGTGCCGGAGGTATTAGAAATTCACTGATAGTTGCTCTTTTGGCGTGTCGCGATCGAAGATTCGGGCCATCTCTGATGTTCTTGGATTGTGTGCAGGATGAAAAGATAAGCAAGAGCAACAGCGATAGCCCCTGGAACAAAAAGTGTTTTTTTTTTTTTTTTTTTTTTTTTTTTTTTATTATTAAGTAGAAAAAAAATTATCCTTAGAAAACTAAATCGTAATTTATTACTTCTTGAGAGAACGAAGATTATCGAAAGGTAAGTTTATAATTTATTATTTATTAATTAATTTATACTTAGCAAAAAAATGTGTCATTAGAAAACTCAATCGTAATTTTTTGGATCAACGAAGATCATCGAAAGGTAAGTTAATAATTTATTTTTCATTTACAAAAATTAATTTTTAGTTAGCAAAAAGTAAGTCCTTAGAAAACTCAATCGTAATTTCTTAAAACAACAAAGATCATCGGAAGGTAAGTTAATAATTTATTTTTCATTTACAAAATTTATGTTTAATTAGAAAAAAGTTAGTCATTAGAAAACACAATCGTAATTTATTACTTCTTGGAAGAACGTAGATCCCCGAAAGGGAAGTTTTTTTTTATTCAGTTTTTAAAAAACTATTTGAATGTAGAAAAAAGGTTTTTTAAGAAAACTAAATCGTAAATTGTCAGTCCTTGGATAACAGAAAATCATCGAAAGGTTAGTAGTTAATAATTAATTTTTTCACTTATAAAATTTATGTTTAATTAGAAAAAAGTTAGTCTTTAGAAAACTCAATCGTAATTTATTACTTCTTGGAAGAACGTAGATCCCCGAAAGGTAAGTTTTTAAAAATTATTTTTAACTTTAAAAATTTATTATACATAATTGTTTACTGCATGGTGGTTCGAAAATATATAGTTTTGCTAATTTTTTTCTATTTAATTTTTAATTTTTATTTTAAAAACCTAGTTGAATGTAGAAAAAGGGTTTTTTTAAAAAACTAAATCGTAAATTGTCAGTCCTTGGAAGACAGAAAATCATCGAAAGGTTAGTAGTTGATAATTAATTTTTACTTAGAAAACAGTTATTCTTTAGAAAACTCAATTGTAATTTTTTGGAAGAACCAAGATCATCGAAAGGTAAGTTAATAATTTAATTTTCATTTACAAAATTAATTTTTACTTAACAAAACTCAATCCTTAGAAAACTCAATCGTAATTTCTTAAAACAACAAAGATCATCCAAAGATATGTTAATAATTTATTTTCAATTTATTAAATTTATTGTTAATTATAAAAAAAAAAGTTAGAAAACTAAATCGTAATGAGTGACAAATTAAAGTTATTAAAAGAATGCAGAATTCTTTTGATAAAATTTTCATCCACAGGGAGAAACTTCCTAAATAGGACAAATTAAAGATTTTTAAAGGATGTTGAGACATGTTTCCCATAAAACTATAATAATAATAATAATAATAATAATAATAATAATAATGGGAGATTCGTCATCGCGAGAGAGTCTTGCGAACGTTACGTGCCATTTACGTGTTCAGAAATAAATGTGTTTACTACCGCATACCTGTTATGCGTATAGAGTCAAAGACGTGCCTTAGAGAAGCGCCATGCAGATGATTCAAAGAAAAAGAAAGAGATTCACATATGTATACCAGGAGTAGTGTTGTGAGCACATTTACAAATGAATTACATGTTTCATGATTCTTGTGAATGTATATATATATATATATATATATATATATATAAACGTATATTGTGAATAGGAAACAATATGTGGCTATATTGTTATACGCAAGAAGATGGTATGGATGACCGAGTTGTCCTAGAGAAGCTTTTGAAGGCAAAAGAGAGGAAAGTGACGAAAAGATAAAAACAAGAGAAAGAGAATACATTTCCTATGTATATATGAATATAAATTACGGAATATGTATATAATATACATTTATATATATATATATATATATATATGTTTAAGCAAAAAGGAAATTTCGTGACAAAAGATTTCTTAATTTATATTCATCGTTCCATTGAAACCAACTGGATAATGAATCATTTCAAAAAGTTTATACATTTATCTTTAAAGAATTAAACAAAATGAATACATCTTGTTAAATTGATTAATGAATATCCATTATCTTAATTACATTCATTGCTAAATTCTTCTTTTATTATACAATTTTTTTTTGCAATCAGAATATTATTTTACAATGGTCCACTTATAACAAACATTTCATTTTCCAGAATATTTTTTACTCTGTAATAAAGAAGTATTTTTAACTAAAAATGTTTTTTTCCAAACAAATTATTTCTTTAAAAAAATTGTTTCTGTGAAGAAAAATCTTTACTAGGAAAAAAATTAGATCTTTTCTTGAGAAAGAAAAGTATTTTTGTTAAAATTTCAAAAAATTATTGAGAAAAAAAAATTTATATATACACATACATATACCAATCATTAACATTCATATAGTCATAAAATATTTTCAAAGTCATAAACCGCAATAATAAAAGAAAGTATATAATATGTATATGTATGAAAAGTGTACCAATATCCATTTTATCGAATATTGCCCCCCACCCACCCCCCTTTGGACCCTATTTCTATCGATAAAAAAAAAAGATATGTTATTTACTTAATCGATATTCCACTTTTCCTATCGTACTCATCTTTCTAGAACGTAGCGCGGCTTACCAATGAAATTATTCATAATCGAACATCCGGATTTTAATATATATATATATATATATATAAGTACCTTTATACTCGAGAAATATTTCCTTGATGCCTTTTGAAAAAAAATATATATGTGTGTATGTGTAGATGCTTGTAACTTTATACAAAAGATGATACATGCGTAAGAGAAGTTTGAATGTGTTGAGTGTGCAAACAAGTCGAAGACAGAGAGTATTCGAGGCTCTACTCACGAATAATGTAGGTAAGTGGGCTGTTGAGGATTACGAGTTACGACAATCGGTCGCTGTACAACCTCAAGAGATGAGGAGCACAGCCTCACGTTTTTCGGTCCAATGTATACGATCAAATACTCTCAAAGGTCAATCAATAATACGTGGGAAAACTGATTTTTTGAAAATCAATTTTGTCATTATTATATTATTATTATTATTATTATTATTATTATTATTATTATTATTATTATTATTATTATTATTATTATTACTATTATTATTATTAGGGTTCCGTACTCGGTTCGGAACCCTATTAATATCGACTTTTTTTTAAATCGTGCCCCTCCCCCTAGTTATTATTATTATTAGTATTATTTTATATAAAGAAGCAGTAGTGGTAGTAATAATAAAAATTTCAAAAAATTATTAATACTAACCAATAGGAGTAGTAATAATAATGACAAAAAATTATTTTATATCTAATTTCTAATTTTCATATAAATTTAAACATCTTTCACATAAAAATTAGATCAAGTCTACTCATCTTCTTTCTGTATAAAATTTAACATTGTATTTCAATTTTTTTTTATCATACAATGTGAGCTCTCACGTTAAAAAAATTTATTTCATAAAAAACAATCTTATTTGATTTTCGCTTTCTCCTCCTATTGAAAATGACACACTGTTAATGAAAAGAGAAATAAACTTGAGTTCAAACTGGCAAAAAAAAAATATATACATATTGGAGTGTGCGCAGAAGAAATTGTTTATGTCAACCTAACCTCTGTGTTTATTGATACTAACCTCGATTTTGGAATATTTAGTTCCTGAAAGATCGGAAATAAAATCTATTGTTTAATTATTTCTGTTTTAATTTTTTAATATAATTTCTTTATTTAATTTTTTTTTATTTAATTTTGAAATAGTATTTGGATGTACAGAAAAAGGTGTTTCTTTAGAAAACTAAATCGTAAATTGTTAGCCATTGGAAGACCGAAAATCATCGAAAGGTAAGGCATTAAAAATTATTTTTAACTTTAAATATTTATTATACGTAATTTGTTACTGCATGTTAGCATAAAAGTTGTTATTTAGAAAACTCAATCGTAATTTGTTATCTCTTTGGAAAAACGAAGATCATCGAAAGGTAAGTTTTTAATAATTAATTTTTTCACTTATAAAATTTATGTTTAATTAGAAAAAAGTTAGTCTTTAGAAAACTCAATTGTAATTTGTTACTTCTTGAAAGGCCAATGACAATCAAAAGGTAAGTTGTTAATAAATTATTTTTAACTTTAAAAACTTATTATTAGTAATTTGTTACTGCATGGAGAATCAAAAATATAATTTAATGCTAAATTGTTTCTATTTAATTTTTCTACATAATTTTTTTTATTCAGTTTTAAAAAACTTTTTGAATGTAGAAAAAGGTTGTTTCTTTAGAAAACTAAATCGTAAATTGTCAGCCCTTAGAAGACCGAAAATCATTGAAAGGTAAGTATAGTTAATAATTTATTTTTCACTTACAAAATTAATTTTTATTTATAATTAGCAAAAAATGATTCCTTAGAAAACTTAATCGTAATTTTTTATTTTATGAAATCTAGAAAATAAAGTAAATAAAAATTAAATTATCTAAAGTTTTTGTAAACTTTTTTTTCAATTTATATTTTAAAAATTATTTTTAAGTAGTTGAAGGTTATTATTTAATACTTCTATTGAATAAGTTATTTTTTAATTATGTTACATAATTTACTTTTCATCTATGTTACAATAATTTATTTTTAATAACCAAAAAAAAAATTGTTATTATAAAACTAAATCGTAATCAATTTAATACCAAACAACAAATAACTTGATTTTTATATATACAGGTTTATGAATGAAACCATATTTATGATAATTACATATTTCATCCGTTTTCACTATACCAAAAGGTTAAAAAGACGGTCACGAAATTACACATCATTTATTTTATATTCACTATATATATATATATACATCAAAACTTCCTAGTAGGCATATATACATTCATCAAACGTGTGCAAAACGCTCGACTTTAATTCTTATGCGGGAGATCTCTCGCTTTCTATATGGCAACGATTATAATCAGCAAATTCTCACGCGAGGGAAACAAAATGAATAAGAAGAAGAGAAGAGAGGAAGAAGAGGAGGTCGCGCGGTCGTGTTTAACGGGGAGAGTTAGGTGCTCCAAGGAGACCAAAAAGACAATGGACCGCCATGTGCTATACCAAGGAAAAAAAAAGGCAAAGAAATTGTTCGGGAATGATTATAAGCTTTGTGATAATGAATCTTTACCAAACACAGCAGAAGAAGATTCGGGTCACGGTCGAGTCAAGTTTTCCCCTCTAGACTAGATATAATTTATGGATATATGCTTTGAAAATGAAAAAAAAATTTCAACGAGTCATCGCTTTTACTTTCGATGAGATCGTAAATTGATTTTTTTTTTTGAAAACTAATAAAAAAAAACAGGAAACTTAATTTTTTGTCTTTGTTAATAATTTTTTTTATTGTATTGTAAAAATTATTTGAAAATCAACAGGGGTGTCTTTAGAAAACTCAATCGTAATTTTTTACTTCCTGGAACAACGAAGATCATCGAGAGGTAAGTTGTTAATTATTAATTTTTTCACTTATAAAATTTATGTTTAATTAGAAAAAAGTTAGTTTTTAGAAAACTCAATCGTAATTTATTACTTCTTGGTAGAACGTAGATCTTCGAAAGGTAAATTGTTAAAAATTATTTTTAACTTTAAAAATTTATTATACGTAATTGGTTACTGCATGGTGGTTCGAAAATATAATTTAATGCTACTTTGTTTCTATTTAATTTTTTTATATAATTTTTTTTTAATTTTAAAAAACTATTTGAATGTAGAAAAAGGGTTTTTTTAAGAAAACTAAATCGTAAATTGTCAGTCCTTGGAAGACCGAAAATCATCAAAAGGTAAAGTTAATAATTTATTTTTCACTTAGCAAAAGTTATTCTTTAGAAAACTCAATCGTTATTTTTTGGGAAGAACCAAGATCATCGAAAGGTAAGTTAATAATTTATTTTTCATTTTCAAAATTTAATTAGAAAAAAGTTAGTCATTAGAAAACTCAATCGTAATTTATTACTTCTTGGTAGAACGTAGATCTTCGAAAGGTAAATTGTTAAAAATTATTTCTAACTTTAAAAATTTATTATACATAATTGTTTACTGCATGGTGGTTCGAAAATAAAATTTTGCTAATTTGTTTTTATTTAATTTTTATTTTTAATTTTAAAAACCTATTTGAATGTAGAAAAAGGGTTTTTTAAGAAAACTAAATCGTAAATTGTCAGTCCTTGGAAGACCGAAAATCATCAAAAGGTAAGTAGTTAATAATTTATTTTTCACTTAGCAAAAAGTTATTCTTTAGAAAACTCAATCGTTATTTTTTGTAAAGAACCAAGATCATCGAAAGGTAAGGTAATAATTTATTTTTCATTTAAAAAATTACATTTTACTTAGAAAATAGTAAGTCCTTAGAAAACTAAATCGTAATTTGTTATTTCTTGTTGGATCAAAAATAATCGAAAGGTAAGTAAAAAATTTATTTTTCATTACAAAATTAATTTTTACTTAAAAAAAAAAAAAATAATATGTCATTAGGAAATTCAATCGTAATTTCTTAAAACAACAAAGATCAACGAATGGTAAATTGTTAATAATTTATTATCAATTTATTGTTAATTAGAACAAAAGTGTCTTTAGAAAACTAAATCGTAATCTTTACTTTCTTCCCTTTTGTTATAATCAATAACATAAATTTTACAAAAAAATATTCTCTTCCCCAATATATTTCGCGAATTACATATTTACCCTCAATTTTCCTTAATTAAAAAAAAATTTTTTCTTCATATATTTCAACAAAACTCACGAGTCGAAGATCCATCGTCTTGCACTTCAATTTCTCCTCACTTCCGGTTTCAGGCTCATCACACTTAATTTTAAATTAAACCCTTTTTTTGGGTCACTTTTCAGAAGAAAAAAAAAAAAAAACTATAATAATTTCTAAATTAAAACAAAATTATCAATTAATATACACTTTTTTTTAAGTTAAACATTTGTAAACACTTATTTATTTGTACATTTCTAAACACACGTTTCGAATCAATAATAACAAAAACATGTATTTAACTTTTAAACGAGACCGCGAACTTGAAATCCTGATCCTCTACGTGGTGGGTGGGGGGGATATATGCATAGAGAAGAGTAAGGATCCACAAAGGAAAGGTGCACACCTGACCAGGGTCAAAGAAAGAGTACATGAGTATTCTGCACCCAAGTCTCTTATATATATTCTATTTCGTCTCTCTCTCTCTCTCTCTCTCTCTCTCTCTCTCTTTCTCTCTCCCTCGCTCTCGCTCTCTATTTCATCAATCTCAGATCCTTTTTTTTTTCCTAAAAAATTCTATTCATTATTTTTACCTGCTTCCACCCCTCAAAGAAAATCTAAAAAATAGTAGTCACAGCAAATAATAATAATAATTAATAATAATAATAATAATAATAATAATAATAATAATAAATTTATAAATAAATTAAAAAAATAACTTTCAAATAAAGTTATAATAATAATAATAATAATAAAAATAAAAATTATTAACAAAACAACATTAAAAAAATATATAAAACTTCCACCCCTTTGTACCGCAAAATAAAATAAATTTCACAGAAACTTAACATTTCAAAGTAAGCCCATGAATTTTTGTGATTTTTGAAAAATAAAAAATACGTGTGACTATTAAAAATATAAAAATTGTGTGAAATATGTTCAGAAAAGTTTGAAGAATCATTATTCACAAAAGAATTCTTTTCAAGGGGTTTTTTTTTTTTCATTTATGTATCAAAAATATACCTGCCATAATGATAGTTAATAATGGAATATGGTTATAGTTACAAGTAAAATTATTGTATACATATACACAAAAAAAAAATGATTAATGATTTTTTATGAGAAAAAAAAAAAAAAATTGTAACTATAAACTCAAAAATTTAAAAAAGAAAATTTTAAATCTAAAAATAAGAAATGAAATTGAAAAATTTAATTTTTATTATTATTATTTATATAATTATTTAAATAATTTTTTATTATTTATATACATTTATTTAAATAATTTTTTATTGTTGCTAATTTAACGTCGTGAAAAAGTGGAATTAAAGTAGACTATTTTTTTTTTATAACAATAATCTATATAATATAATAAATAAATAAAATATAAAATAATTATATAAATTTATATAAAATAAATCAATATAATATGACAAAAATATAAATTTTACTGTAAGCGCGCGGAAACCTTGAAATGAAAATTTTTTGTTTTTTCTTTTTAAATTCACAATACCTGGATATAGGACCCTTTTTCAAGAGTGTGGATCCACTTATGGTTTTTAAAAACAGGAAGTATTTTTTTCAGGTACATCATTATTTTAATAATGCCTGTCACGAAAGAGAGAAAAAAGAAATTATCTTCCCAAAATTCCCCCTTTCTCGGTCAATTTAATACTAAATAGAAATAATTGTTTAAACATAAAATTTAAAAATGTATAACAAACTATTATTAATTACTAATTTTTTTTTGTTTATTTCTTTGATTTTTAACTAAATTTTTACCAAGACAGATTTTCTGTATTTCATCAAAACAATAATAATCATGAAAATAATAATGAAAAATAATATTAATGATAGAAAACAAAAAATTTAATAAAATAATAAACAAATTATAAAAAAATAATAAACAAATTATAAAAAATAATAAACAATAAGAAATTATAAAAATAATAAGAAATAATAATAAAAATATTTAAATAAAATTGCAAACGATTATCAATAGAATGCATATAGTGAAAAATCCCACCGCTGCCACCATATAATTTATTTAAGTTTTGGTCACTAATTTTACGCTTATAATTCATAATACTAATAATATTAATAGGATAATAATATTATTCAATTAACGTAATTTGTCATTAAATTAAAAAAATATAAAAACTAATCTAAAAACAAAACTATTTGTAATTCAACTACTCATCTATGAGAATTATGAATAATAATTTTATCGAATTCTAAGAAATACCTTAAAGTCCTTGAAGAAAAAAAAAAAAATGTCGCGATAGAAAACATGCACTTAATTGTCACGTGTTTTCTGTGTATGTATATTAAAATTTCGTATTTACATTCATTGAGAATTCTAGCAAGAATCTGAATGTCGACGAGGAAATCGTGGATGAACCACTGGAATACAAAATCACCAGAAAGCTATATGAGAAAGTTGTGCAAATTTTTTTTTTATATCTCCTCATAATTTGTAACCAGTATATGTACATGCAATTGCAATTTATTATTATTTTTCATCTAGTCCAATTAAAACAATGATTTTTTTTTCAACATCTATTTTGAAAATCTGAAATAAAGATAAGAATCTTATCTTCTGAACTTTCATTATATATTAGTAAACATTCTTGTGAATTCATTACAAAGATAAATAATGTTATCATCAGCAACAAAAAAAAAAGGATTCATGTTAGTAAATAAAAATAATAAAAAGAAAACTGATAAAAATTTGTATTGAGAGCAAGATCATGTTAAATCTTGACACATTTTACCTGCAGCATCAAAAATGGAAAGAAGAATCTTTGATAATTTCGATTCTAAACGAATTGTGATTTTACTGTTAATTTTTGTTTGTCTTCCACTAATGATTCTTCAGCTTTCAACAGCAATGGATGAGACTATTTTTGAATCTCAAGGTATTTAATTTGTAATTAAATAATATTAATTAAAAATTATTTAAAAGTTAGTTAAAATTTATTAGTAATGAGAAGAAATTTCATATTAAGTATTAAAAAATATTTCCCATTAGGAATAGCTAATAATGAAGATCTAAGAGTTAGAAGAGCTGTAAATGGATTTCAGTTTCGAACAATAAATTCGGCACCATGCTCAATGCCTGGAACATTTTTGAATGAGAAACGTAAAAATGGAAGATGGTATTGGTACTGTTATTACAATGATGAGGGAAATTTGGCTTGGATGGCAATGAGATGTCCCAATAAACGTTTGTTCGATCCTATAATTCAAAAATGTGTTGTTAATTTGACTAGCACTACGGAAGCAACTTCAACATCATCTGCAGCAACGACATTATCAACAGTGACAAAAGTAACGTTGACGAAGGTTGAATCTACTACTGGAATCACAACTTCTTCTTCTTCATCTTCTTTATCTTCTTTATCATCTTCTTCTACAACGACAGCATCTTCTGGACCAACAGTAGCAACTGTTACACAATCTGTAACAACAGTAAATACACCGTAAAATGTAGCAGAATCATCAACAGTAGGATTGACTATTTTAGTAGATTTTGTAGTATTTTTTTACTATTTATTAGTAGAAACAACATCAGGATAATTAGCAGAATTATCAGTGAAACCAAAAAGGTTACAACAAGCTGAATCATCAACATCATCATGAGTATCATCAGTAGTACTAGTTTCTACAACAGCATTACTAGTTTCTATAACAGCAGTTCTGAACAACACTAATAATTTTCTATAACACTAATTCTGAACTACAAAAAGAATATTAATTTTGTAGTAAAATGTAACAGTAATTGTAGCAACAGAATTGGATTAACATATCTGCGGTAAAAAAAACTTAATTATGAGATTTGAAATAAAGGAAAAATTTGTTATAACAATTTTTTTTTACTGGTGTATTATTTACTTATAAAATTAGCTGAAAACAACCAATTTTGTTCTAGAAGTACTGCAAGTACTTAATTATTAATAATGTAAAATCAGTTTTGCTCCATTTATATACCCTCAAAAAGCATAACGGATTTTATGGAGTCTACGAAATTTTTTTTAACCACTATTGGATTTACGTAGACCTTGATAATTTGGATAATTTTGGGTTAATAATTACACAGGCACACAAAAAATAAAAAGTTGTTTGGCCGAGACACTACACTATAGTCTATTTTCATGTATTTTTTCACGCTGAATCCGAATCCGAAGTCAGAATTATCAGATTGGCTCTTATTTTTGAGATAAACTCAAAAAACTGCTCAGAAAGAAAAATAAAATCAAAAAGTTAAAAAAATTTTTGAATGTCACTGCGATAGTGTAATTCCATGTATTTTTGGTCGCTGAATCCGAATCCAAAGTCAGAATTGTTAGATTCGCTCAAATTTTTTGAGATAATTGCAAAAAAACACAAGTAACAAAAAACTCAAAATACTCAAAATCAGTTTTTTGGAATTATCTTCAAAATTTCAGACAATCTGTCAATTCTGACTTCGAATTCGGATTCAGCGACCAAAAATACATGAAAATGCACTATCGTAGTGACATTCAAAAATTTTTTAACTTTTTGATTTTATTTTTCTTTCTGAGCAGTTTTTTGAGTTTATCTCAAAAATAAGAGCCAATCTGATAATTCTGACTTCGGATTCGGATTCAGCGTGAAAAAATACATGAAAATAGACTAGTATAGTGTCTTGGCCAAACAACTTTTTATTTTTTGTGTGCCTGTGTTATGAATATGAAGTCAGATTTTCAAAATGCAAAATTGCAGCCAAATTTCTAAAAAATTAATTTTTGGCAATTTTTTTAAAAATTAATAGATTTAAGCAAAATTTGCTACATGGAGGTTTTCTAGGTTCTTAAGGTAAAAAAATAATAGAGACATGGTGATTAATTTTATTTGAATTTGTAAGGAATTTTTTCATTTTCCAGGAAAACATTCTATTCAAAAAAATTGAATAAAATTGATTATTCTTAGTCTACTGCAATTTAGGTTCAAATGGTAGGTTTTTTTTGAAGGTTACCAATGTGGTTTTAAGGTAAAAAAATAATAGAGACAATCTGATTAATTTTATTTGAATTTTTTATGAATTTTTTCATTTTCCAGGAAAACATTCTATTCAAAAAAATTGAATAAAATTGATTATTCTTAGTCAACTGCAATTTAGGTTCAATTGGTAGGTTTTTTTGAAGGTTACCAATGTGGTTTTAAGGTAAAAAAATAATAGAGACAATCTGATTAATTTTATTTGAATTTTTTATGAATTTTTTCATTTTCCAGGAAAACATTCTATTCAAAAAAATTGAATAAAAATGATTATTCTTAGTCAACTGTAATTTAGGTTCAATTGGTAGGTTTTTTTGAAGGTATTAGGTGTGGTTTTAAGGTGAAAAAATAATAGAGACTTGCTGATTAATGTTATTTGAATTTTTTCATTTTCCAGGAAAACATTCTATTCAAAAAAATTTAATAAAATTAATTATTCTTAGTCTACTGCAATTAAGGTTCAAATAGTAGGTTTTTTAGAAGGTTACCAATGTGGTTTTAAGGTAAAAAAATAATAGAGATATTCTGATTAATTTTATTTGAATTTTTAAGGAATTTTTTCATTTTCCAGGAAAACATTCTATTCAAAAAAATTGATTATTCTTAGTCTACTGCAATTTAGATTCAATTTTTAGGTTTTTTTGAAGGTATTATATTTACGAATTTTGGTACCTAGGGGTCGCTGATTACGAATCTGAAGTCAGATTATCATAATTCAAAATGACGGATCCAATATGGCGGCCAAAATTTTAAAAAATGATTTAATTCGCTTGAAATTGGTTACTCGGCGGTTTTCGGGGTCGCTGATTACGAATCTAAAGTCAGATTTACAAAATTCAAAATGGCGGATCCAATATGGCACACTAATTTTGAAAAAATTCATCAATTTTAGAAAATAAATTTTTAATTCCGAAAATTATTGTACACTTTTAGCTATTGTAAGCGTATAATGTTATATACGAGGATAATAATAATGAAAACCATTTTCCTCCTCTTTGTAATAAAAGGAAAAATAATAGACAATTCTTTTTTTTTTGACTAACAAATAAAAATGTTTTTCTTTCTAAAAAAAACCAAAATTATCTATTAAAAGATCAATTTTAAATTTCAATTTCAATTTTTTTTGTTTCTAAATTAATTATTGAACTTTTTACTATCCAGGAAAGAATTGGATAAAAAGCGCCCATTTCTTCTTGGTCTTAAGTGCATAAATAATAAATTAACAAAATACTTTCCGTGTTAGGGTAAACATTATGATTTTCCGTTTTCGTCTATATATGAAAACGCCTACTTGGTTTATAAAACCTAAAGTTTCTTAGAGCAACGACAAGTTTGAATTTTCACTTCAAAGTGCAAACGACATTTGGAAATAGAAAAAAAATTTTTTTTTTAATAATCAATATTATTAAATTTAAAAATTGTTTTAAATATACAAAAAAATTTTTCAAAATTGAATTTCAATTTTTATTTAAATTTTTAAGAAAGATTTCAATAAAATTCAAAATTTCTATTGTTTACAATAAGGAAATAGATAAATAGAGAAAAAATTATTTTAAAAAAAAGTTGTTTTAAAAAATTTAAGTATAAATAAATAAATAAAAAAATGTTGCTTCTTATAATCACTTGTGTTTCTTTATTAATATTGAAAATTTTACTCGACTGGAAAAGAGGTCCAAATTTTCCACCTGGTAACTATTTTAATTTTCTTAAAATAAATGTAATCTATTAATATTTTCAAAAAAATTTATCTATTTATTATTATTTTGAGTATTTAATAATTTTTCCTTGTAAAATTATTCTATTTAGATAGTAAATAATATGTAATATTTAATATATAAAAAAAAAAATTTTTTTTTATTTAATTTAAAATTTTTTTCAAAGGACCTCGTGGTGTGCCACTATTGGGAAATATGTTGGACATGAAAAATTTAATGAAAGAATCAAAATTTTTTTCTGTCGCCATTTCAAAATTAACAGAAAAATATGGACCAGTTGTTGGTCTTAAAATGGGTCTTGCCGAGCCATTTATTTTAGTTTCGGGACGCGATGCAATTGTCGAAATGTTAACACGTCCTGAATTTGATGGAAGACCCGATACCTATGCATTTCGTTTTCGTACATTTGGCAAAAGACGAGGAATGGTTTTTACCGAAGGCAAAGTTTGGAGTGATCATCGAAAGTAAGAATTATTATTTTTTTTAATATCGTCAATTTTTCAAAAAAATTTGAAATTTCTTTTTTTTAATTTTCTATTTTCAAATTGATTTTTTATTTCAAATTTTTGAAATTTGAATCGCATTTTTTTTTATACAAATTTGAAATTTAATTTGTTTTTTAAAAATTTAATTAATTTTTACTAATTAATTAAATTAATTCAACTTTTTTAAATTTTAATATTTTGAATTAATTCCATTTTTCAGATTCGCTCAAAGAAGTTTAAAAGATTTGGGTATTGAAAGAAGTACAATGGAGGATTTAATTTTGGAAAACGTTCATTCTCTAATGGATACACTTGAAAAAAATTCGACAAATGGAATAATTAAAAATTTCTCCAAATACTCGAGTGTATCGATTTTAAATAATATTTGGAGTTTAATTGGTGGCACAAAGTTAGTAAAAAAAATAAATAAAAAAATTATTATTAAAATTATAATTTAATTAATTAATTTATTTATTTTTTTTTTATTTCTTTTTTTTTTATTTACACATGGTAAAAAATATTTCTCTGAATTTCTAAGTCATTAAAATTAAATAATTACAATTGAGAAATTAATAGTTGTGATAAAATAAAAATAAAAAGTAAAATAAAAAAAAATATTAAAAAAAATAATTAAAAAATAATTAAAAAATATTATTTAAAAAAAATAAATAAAATACAAAATTATTTTTTGAACAAATAAATAAGAATTTCTTTTTTTTTTTTTTTTTTGTTGTAGATTGTCCGATGATAATACAAAATTACAGGAAGCTGTAGAGATGCTGTACAATCTCGCGAGGCACACCAGTGCATCAGGTGGTCTTCTCGATCATTTTCCCTTTTTAAGATATTTTATGCCTGAAATTAGTGGATATAATGCCCTAAAAGAGCGCCATAGAGGAATTAAAAGATTCCTCGAGGTAAACAATTATAATTGAGATTTTTATAATTTTTTAATATATTTTTAAATTTTTCTATAATTTTTTTTTATTTTTAATTTTTACTCCTCTTCTAAATTTCGAAGTAATATTTTATTGGTTTTAACATAAATAAGCAAATAAACATAAATTTTTGTTTAAACATAATAATAATAATAATAATAATAATAATAATAATAATAATAATAAAATAATAATAATAATAATAATAATAATAATAATAATAATAATAATAATAATAATAATAATAATAATAAAAATAATTAAAAATAATTTCTAGGTGGAACTCGCTAGACATAAAAACATGAAAGATGAAAATATTCACAATGACATGATAACTGCATATTTTGAAGAAATTGAAAAGAAAAAAAATGATCCCACATCTTCTTTTGATGGTAAATTTTAAAATTAAATAATTGATAAAAAATTTTTAAAATTATGAATTTCAAAAAAAAAAATTTATAAGAAAAATTTTGTTTTCGATAAAAAAAAAATTGTGATTTTACAAAAAAAAAAAAATTATTATTATTAGAATTTTTCAAAATTATTTTTGTTTTTGAAAAATTTTTTATTTTTTTTCTAATTTTTTTTTTTTTTTTGTATCAAAGAGCTAATTTTTAATTAACTTACACTTATGTTTTCATTTATTTTTCAAATAGAATTAGAGCTTTTTGCCTTGACCAAGGATTTTTTCTCAGCTGGTTTGGAAACAACGAATAATAGTCTTGGTTTTTTTGTATCATACATTGCTGTTAGAAAAGATATTCAAAAACGAATACAAGATGAACTTGACAATGAAATTGGACGAGACGCTCGACCTTCTTTAATTTATAGAAACAAGTACGTGAAAAAAAAATTATTTTATTTCCTATTTTTTTTTTTAATTTTTTAATTAATTTAATTTCTTTTCATTATTTCCATTTTTATATAATTTGTTTTTTTTTTAATTTAAAAAAATAATTTAAGTACCCGTGTGGAAAAGTGATGTGGGCCCCCAGCGGGGGCCCTTATGGATCGCCCTCATGCCATGAGGGCCGCATATGGATGATCCATAGGGGCCCCTCATGGAAACGACATGCTCATCGATGAGGGCGCCCGCATGGGCGATCCATGAGGGTGCCCCTACGGGCGCCCTTATGGGCCCTCACGTTTGCCCTCATCTTGCCCTCAAGTTTGCCATAATGTTTTTTAATCAATAATATTAATAATAAAAGTTAATTAATAATAAATAAGCTTAAGTTATGAATAAATAACATATTTATTTAATAATTATTCAATTTTAAATTAAATTCTTACTCAAATTCAATTTATTAATTAACGTTCTAATTAATTAACTGTCGGATATAATTAAAAGTAATAATAAATTAATTAATTAAAAAATTAAAAAATATTTAATTTATGCATACTATTAACGGATATTTTCATTTTTCAATTAATTCATACATAGAATTAATGATTAAACGCAAACCTGAGAAATAAATAAATCTAACGCATGGGGGGAATCGAACCTACGACCTACGGACTATGAGTCTAACGCTTTACCAACTACGCTACGTACGCTACTTCAAAACGAATGCTAACTTCTTGATGCTATTTAAACTTCAAAAATACCTAACAAAGAAAAGTGCTTAACATCATTTAGTTAAAGTTAAGATATTAAATTATATTTTCCAATCAAATGCAATTTATAAAATATAATTAATTATATGCTTTATGATTATTATCATGAATCATCTCAGGCGAATTTTCAAAAAAGTGTAAATATATTTTTATTAAAAACGCGTTTTTCGTTGTTTTAAATCATTGGAAACATTCATTTTTTGTTGATAAAAAAATATTTGATTTTTGGACTTAGAAAATTTTGCTAATCGATCATGAGGGCGATCCATGCGGGCCCCTACGGTGGCCCTCATCTATTTTGCCATAAGTGTGAGTGTTATTTTCAAAAAAGTGTAAATATATTTTTATTAAAAACGCGTTTTTCGTGGTTCTGAATCATTATAAACATTAATTTTTTGGTGATAAAAAAATATTTGATTTTTGGACTTAGAAAATTTTGCTAATCGATCATGAGGGCGATCCATGCGGGGCCCCTACGGTGCCCCTCATGGATTCGCCATAAGTGTGAGTGTTATTTTCAAAAAAAGTGAAAATATATTTTAATTAAAAACGCGTTTTTCATTGTTGTGAATCATTATAAACATTAATTTTTTGGTGATAAAAAAATATTTGATTTTTGGACTTAGAAAATTTTGCTAATCGATCATGAGGGCGATCCATGCGGGGCCCCTACGGTGCCCCTCATGGATTCGCCATATGGATCAGCCCTCATGGGCCCCCGCCGGGGGCCCCGAACTCTTGAGGGCAAGATCGTGGCTTTTTCCACACGGGTAGTTTTATTAAAAAATTTTTAATAAAAATATATTTTTTTTTATTAAAAATATTTTTTTTTTTTAATAAAAATTACAGTTTGCCTTATCTAAATGCAACAATAGCTGAAGTATTGAGAATTTCACATGTTGCACCAACGACAGTACCACATAGAGCATTGAAAGATTCAACATTATTTGGTTATGAAATAAAAAAAAATTACACACTTATTGCTAATTTAGTGAGTCTTCATATGGACAAAGAACATTGGGGTGATCCAGAAATATTTAGACCCGAGAGATTTATCAATGATAAAGGTGAATTTGTCGAGGACTCATGGTTAATGCCCTTTGGAACAGGTGAGAAAAGAAAAATTTTTTTTTTCTTTTCCTTAATTTTCTAAAAATATAAACAAAAATATTTTTATCCAATTTTTTGCAGAATTCCCCTATTTGGAATCTAAAGTACATGCCACTAGTAATTTTTTTCACGAATTTCATTGTTTTTTTTTTTTAATTTCTTCTTTACCGACCTTACCGACATTTCTTCTAACCTCAAAAAATGTTAGATAACTACTAGAATTTTTTTTTAATTGATTTCTTAATTAATAATATTGATATGTTTTTTAAAAATTAATTTTTTTTTCAGGTCGACGAAGATGTATTGGAGGAAGTGTAGCAAAAAATAGTTTATTTCTATTTACAGCCAGTCTTTTGCAAAAATACAATTTTTCATTACCGCCTGGCGAACCTCTTCCCTGTCTTACAGGTATCAATGGAATGACATCAGCTCCGCCAAATTGCAGACTTCTACTTACAAAACGTTAACTAATTTCTTTTTTATAAATATTAATTTATTCCTATTTATTTAAGTTTAGATAAATTTTGTAATTAGTTAAACCCAATTTTATTTAAATATTTAATATTTAATTTATATTATCAGATATTACCTATTGTTACTGTATTTATAATTTATTATTATTATTGTTAGGTATTATTAATTAATTAATTATATTAAATTATTTTATTTTAATTTTAATAAATATTTATTTTATTATAATTCTTTGCATTATTATTTTTACCTTACAATTTTATTATTAATTATAATTTATTTATTATTATTATTTCACTAAGGAAGAAGGGATTTTTTTAGAAAACTAAATCGTAATTTGTTATTTCTTGAAATTAATTAATTATTTAATTGAAAATAATTTTTCAATAAATTAAAAAATAATAAATAAATACAAAAATGAATTGTTAAGAAATTGTTAATTAAAATAAAGTGGTTCTTTAGAAAAAACTAAATCGTAATTTGTTATTTCTTGAAAGACTGAAGATCATCGAAAGTTATGTTGTTAATTATTTATTTTCAATTAATTATTAATTTTATTGTTAATTAGAAAAAAATTATTCATTAAAAAACTAAATCGTAATTTGTGTTATTTCTTAAAATTAATTAATTAATTTCAAATAATTATTTAATAAATTAAAAAATAATAATTAAAAATTAAATAAAAAAAAAAAAATGGGATTCTCATCCTATTTGAAAGTGAATTACAAATGAATTTGCACGCATGTGTGTATTTATTGTAAAGGTGAAAAAGTTGATTCGAAAATGTGCGCGTGCAAATTACGTTATATACAGGGGGAAAAACCCGTTTTATTAATAATTCACTATTAGAATTACGAGTTTGGATTTGAAGTTAATGGAATTTGGTGCGTGTAAGATCACCCTAACAAGTATATAGTATATGTAACATGCACTCGGTCAACATCACCTTAATGACGACTCTTGACTAATATTTTCTCAGTGAAAGGTGGGAATGCATTTTTTTTTTTTTTTTTTTTTTTTATTTTTGCGCCTTCAATGTCTAAATCAGTATTCATTCGGGACTGCGTCGCATCAGGAGCAAAATTCGCTTTCCGGTCAAGCACCTGAACGTCAAAAAATTTATAATTAAAAAAAAAATAAATAAATAAACAAAATTTTTAAAAATAGTGGAAAAAAATTATGGAAATTAAATTATAATTATTTATAAAATAAATTTTTGGTTTTTGACTAAAAAAAAAAAATGGTAAAATTAATTAATGAATTAAAATCAAAAATTCGCGATTTATAAATAAAATTTAATAAAAAAAAAATAAATAATGTTTTAATTAATTAAACGAAATTAAATATCGAATTAGAATAAAAAAAAAAAAAATTTTACATAAAATAAATTACAGAAAAAAAATTAAATAATGTGGATTCCTTTTTTGTGCTGTTTTTTTATTCTTGTCTTTAAAGTATTACTGGATTGGATCCGAGAAACAAAGTTTCCTCCCGGTAAGTTTGCAGATAAAAAAAAAAAAATTATAATTAATATAAATATTAATTAATAAAAATATCTATTTGTAATTTATATATAAATATTATTAATTTAATATAATTATTAGTAATTAATAATTTATTAAAATTAATTTTCAATTATTTTGATTATTAATTGAAAATTAATTTTTTATACAATTTTCTTTTAAGGACCAAGAGGATTACCAATTTTGGGCAATATTCTCGATTTAAAGAAACTTTTAAATGAAAAAAAATATTTATCCCATGTCTATAGAAATTTAGCCGAGACTTATGGACCAATTGTGGGTTTAAAATTGGGTATTGGTCATCCTATTATTTTGGTTTCCGGACGAGATGCTGTTTTAGAAATGCTGAGTCGTCCGGAATTTGATGGAAGACCTGATACATTTTCCCATCGTTTTCGAACAATGGGCGAAAGAAGAGGAATTATTTTTACTGATGGAAAAATGTGGGACGATAATAGAAGGTTCTTCAAAATAATTCCAATTATTATATCCAATTATTAACTTTATTCAAGATTAGATAGAAAATTCTTCGTTTTATGATAAATTTTAGTATATATTTAAATAAAATTAATTCTAAATTAATGAATTAATTATATATAAGTAATTGATAATAATACTAGTAAAATAAGTTTCAATATAAATGAAAATAATAATTTCAAAATCACAACGAAAATTGTAATTATTAATTGTTTAATTAATTAAATTATTATTTTTATTAATGATATATTGTTGGTTAATTTGGTACTTAGTTAACTGAATTAGTATATATATTTAATATTTACTATTAATTAATTACAATGTGATTAAATAATTATTTATTAATAGTAATTTCATAATTAAAAATGAATTTTAATTAATTATGGATCATTAACCTTATTTATTAATTAACTAACTTGTTGATTATTAATGATTAATTACTAATTTTCAATTATTTATTAATATTAATCATTAATTTAATTCATCTACAATTATATTTATATATAGGAATTAATTTTCAGATTCTCATTGAAATATTTAAAAGAATTTGGATTTGGCAAAAGATCAATGGAGGATTTAATTTTGGAAAATGCAGTTTCTTTGACAATAAAGATTGAGAAAAAAATTGAACAGGAAAATATAATCGAATATTTTTGTCAAATTTCGAATATTGCTGTTTTAAATAATTTATGGTGTTTTATAGCAGGAACCAAGTAAGTTACGGTTTAACATATATTGTTCAATTATAAAAATAAAATATAAAATTAATGAACAATTAATTAATTAATTAGAATTACAATTAATTAGCTGGAATCAATTATAATTAACTAATTATTACAAATAGAATTGATGAACAATGAATTAAGTAGATTTGCAATTAAGTTATTACAATTAAAATTAATTAATTAGAACCAATTGTAATTAATTAATTTTTATATATAGAATTGATAAATAATTAATTAATGAGGTGTAATTAATTATAATGAATTAATTATTATATATGGAATTGATAAAAAATTAATTAATTAGAATTAGAATTAAATAGTTAGAATTAATTGTAATAAATTAATTATTATATATGAAATTAATAAATTAGATATTAGTAATTGTAATTAATTAATTGATATATAAAGAATTGATAAACAATTAATTAATAAGGTAGAATTAATCATAATTAATTAAATATGATATATTGATTTAATGAACAATTAATTGATCAGTAAAAATCAATTGTAATTAATTAGTTATTATATATAAAATTGATAAACAATTAATTAATTAGGTAGAATCAATCATAACTAATTATAAAATAAAGTTATTATCATAACTAACAATAAAGATGTCATGTACAATTAATTAATTAATTAGAATTACAATTAAATAGTTAGAATCAGTTGAAATGAATTAATTATTATATATGGAATTGATATACAATTAATTATTTACATAGAATTAAATATAATTAATTAAATATTATATTTAGAATTGATAACAAATTAATTAATTAGAAGTACAATTAAATAGTTAGAATTAATTGTAATAAATTAATTATTATATATGAAATTAATAAATTTAATATTAGTAATTGTAATTAATTAATTATTATATAAAGAATTGATAAACAATTAATTAATAAGGTAGAATCAATCATAACTAAATATAAAATAAAGTTATTATCGTAACTAACAATAAAGATGTGATGTACAATTAATTAATTAATTAGAATTACAATAAAATAGTTAGAATCAGTTGAAATGAATTAATTATTATATATGAAATTGATGTACAATTAATTATTTACATAGAATTATTTATAATTAATTAAATATTATATTTAGAATTGATAAACAATTAATTAATTAGATGGAATCAATTATAATTAATTGAATATATCTACAGATTTAATAAACAATTAATTAATTAGTTAGAATCAATTGTAATTAATTATTATATTTAGAATTGATGAACAAGTTTTTGTTTTATATAGATTGAAAGAAGATGATCATAGAGTAAAAGAAGCTTTGGACAATTTAAATGGAAATACTAGAAAAAGTTCAGTAAGCGGTGTTATTTTAGATCATTTGCCATTTTTGAGATTTATTATTCCAAGATTAACGGGATTTACTGATCTTAAAGAACGTCAAAATCGAATGTGGAATTTTTTCAAAGTATGAAATTGAAATTATTTTTTTTTTGAAATTACTTATTAAATATTTTTTCTTATCTTTATTTAATGTCAAATAATATATTTATGAGTCATTATATATGTAGTTGTTATTTCTTTCTATTTTTCATATTTAATTATAATTAATGTTATATTAATTTAAATACAAAAAAAAAATATCTCTTTTTACAGGATGAATTAAACGCGCATAAAAATTCAAAAATCGAAGGTTCTTATCGTGATTTAATTGACGTTTATCTCGACGAGATAAATGCACAAAAAAAGGATTCATCTTCAACATTCAATGGTAAGATTAAAAAAAATTAAACACTATAATTAATTGACAAAATTTGTGAAAATTGAATGTTTTCTTTTAAATTAGTAATTACAAAATTGATCTCTCTATATAGAATAGAAAAATTGTATTCTAATTATTATATTAAAAAAGTTAATTATGATTAAAACTTTATAAACATTTTTATACAAAAGTAAACCAAATATTTCGTAAATTTTTTTTTTTTTAAAACAATTTAATTTACTGTTACAAAAATCTCTCTGGAATTTTTGTTTCGTACATCATCGGTCGAGTAACGGTTATAATTTTTTTTTTCCCCCCTTTCTTTTTGCACATGTATATCAATTTCATTTCGTTTATATTTTTAAAAAAATTTAAGACAAAATTGTAAGAAGTAAGTAAAAAATAACAAAATGTAAATATTTGAAATATTCAAATGTGAAACGAAAATCTAATACTATTTGTTGACTAATTTAAAAATAGAAAAAGAGAAAAGAATTATGCAATTGTATCTAATGTGAAAATGAAATGAGTAAATGTTAAAAGTTTGATGAACTTTTTTTTTTTTTTTGCAAATATTGCATTAATGGAGAAAAATATTGTGTAAGAAAGAAAAATTATTATTCTCAATTTTCACATTTATTATTGAATATTTTAACAAGAGTTTGTTAAATTATTCATGTTTGAAATTTAATTATTGAAATTCTTTTTTTGCTTTGTGTTTTGCAAAAGAATTCCAACTTTTGGCATTGATAAAAGATTTTTTCTCCGCTGGCGTTGAAACAACAAATAATTCACTTGGTTTTGCAATAACATTTATTGCAATTAATAAAGAGGTTCAGGAGAAATTACACGACGAATTAGACAAGGCAATTGGACGTGAATCTTTGCCATCTCTCACTTATAAAAATCAGTGAGCAAATTTTTAAATAATTTCACACAATTAAATTGTTAAAAAAAAAATTAATTTTGTTAATAATTATTAACTAATACAATTAGATTTTTAATTAAAATAATTATTAATGCAATTAGAAATTTAATTAAAATAATTATTAAATTAATTAGAATTTTAATTAAAATTATTTAGTTTTTTTTTTTTTAATTGCGATTTTTGATTTTCATTTTTGATGAAATTTTTCTTTTTAGGTTACCATATCTCAGTGCAACAATTGCTGAAGTTTTGCGAATATCAAATATTGGCCCAACTACAATAGCACATCGAGCAGTTGTTGACTCAAAATTATTGGGTTATAATATAAAAAAAAATTATGCTATATTGGCCAGTCTTGTTAGTGTTAATATGGACAAAAATCATTGGGGCGATCCAGAAACATTTAGACCCGAGAGATTTATCGATAAAAATGGTAAATTCGTTGATGACGCCTGGGCTTTGCCATTTGGAGCTGGTAAATTATTTTTAATAAAAAAAAAAAAATTATTAACTAAATTATTTCATAATTATAAATAAGAATTTTGAATATTCCCGCCTTTCATTCCTAACCTCAATTTAATTAATTCTGTATTAATAATTCATTTATTTTAAATAAATTATAATTTACAGAATTATTGAAATTGTGATTATGGGGGATTATTCAATTAAATTATTTTATAGTAATAAAATAATTAAAATTTGAATATAGTTTATATCTTAAATCAGATAATAATATTCAGTAATAATAAATTTGATATTTATTTTCGAATTAAAATTAATTATTAATAGATGGAACCAATTACAATTAATTATTATATATAGAATTAATGAACAATTGATTAGAATTACGATTAATTAATTGCAATCAATTGTTATAAATTAATTATTATATATAAAACTGATGACGAATTAATTAATTAGATAGAATCAATCATAATTAATTAAATATTATATAAAGATTTAATGAACAATTAATAAATTAATTAATTAGAATTACAAATAAATAGTTAGAATCAATTTTAATAAATTAATTATTATATATGGAAATAATAAACAATTAATTAATTAAAATCATTGGAATAACTTAATTATTATATATAAAATTAGTGAATAATTAATTAATTAGGTAGAATATATTATAATTAATTAAATATGATATATAGATTTAATGTACAATTAATTAATTAGTTAGAATCAATTGTAATTAATTATTATATATAGAATTAATGAACAATTGATTATAATTACAATTAATTAATTAATTGCAATAAATTGTTAAAAATTAATTATTATATATAAAACTGATGAACAATTAATTAATTAGATAGAATCAATCATAATTAATTAAATATTATACAGAGATTCAATGAACAATTAATAAATTAATTATTATATATGGATATAATAAACAATTAATTAATTTGAATCATTGGAATAACTTAATTATTATATATAAAGTTAGTGAATAATTATTTAATTAGATAGAATATATTATAATTAATTAAATATGATATATAGATTTAATGTACAATTAATTAATTAGTTAGAATCAATTGTAATTAATTAATTTTTATATATAAAATTGATAAACAAATAATTAATAAGATTGAATTAATCATAATTAACTAAATATTATATAGATATTTAATGAACACTTAATTGAATAGTTAGAATAAATTGTAATTAATTATTTCTTATATAAAGAATTAATAAATAATTAATTAATAAGGTAGAAATAATCATAATTAATTAAATAGTACATAGAGATTTAATGAACAATTAATTGATTAGTTAGATTCAATTGTAATTAATTATTATATATAGAATTGATAAACAATTAATTAATTAGGTAGATAGTTATGGGGGATTATTCAATTAAATTATTTTATAGTAATAAAATAATTAAAATTTGAATATACAGTTTATTTCTCAAATCAGACAATAATTTTCAATAATAATAATTTTGATATTTATTTTCAAATTGAAATTAATTTTTTTCTTTTTCAAGGTAAAAGAAGATGCCTAGGAGAAGTATTGGCAAAACATACTTTGCTCTTGTTTACTGCTTGTCTTTTACAAAAATTTAATTTTCAACTTGCACCCGGAGAATCTACACCCTGTATGGATGGAATTGATGGTTTTGCTGTTGCACCTCCAATTTGTCGAATAATGATAACAAAACGTTAAAAACTCAAATTAAAAAAAAAAATAGTTTTAGAAATTTGTATTAATCAAAATTTAGGTTAGGTTATAACTAGAGAAACAAAAGGAACTCGCCGTTGATAATTCTCATTTTGAAATGAGACAAATTGACAAATTCAATAAAATAATTTATATCTAATCACTGAAATTTACATTTAGCAAAACAATTTATGGATTCGAAAAAAAATTATTTCATTAATTTTAGTTATATACACGGGGTTTGCTGGGTTAAGTCGAACATTATTATAGATATGTAATCTTCTAAAAAAATAAGTTAAAATTTCCTTTGCGCTTTTTACAAATTTTTTATAGTTTTTGAGTAAATTGCAATTGAAAATTGGACAATGACGATTTTATGTTTTTTATTAATGAATCATTGAATCGTCACTGAATTATTTTCTCGATTTTCTCGTAGAAAGAAAATGAAAAGAAAGAGCCACGAAAATTGCAAATAGAGTGGAAACTTAATGGAGATAATGGAACATCAAAGTTTTCTGCTAACGCCGAGCTTTGATTGGCTGATAGAATTCCTCTAATGGAAGTGGCGCGTAATTTATTCAAATTTGAATCTTGTAAACAAATTTATTCCTATAGTACGAATCGCCAATGTCTCTCTACTAATTTTTTTTTCTTTCACATTTTAAAAATTTAATATAATTTTAAGATTTTAAAAATTTTTAAATATTTTCAGTATTTTTAAATTTTAAAAATTGTTGGCTTTTCGTTGAGGCTCCATCTATTAGAGATAATCGAAATCTTTCAAGTTATACCGTCTAAAGATAACGAGAAAATATGAATTACCATCACATGATAATATTTGATAAATGAAAATAATTCAAAAATAATAATTTATATTTAATAAATATATTTAATAATATTTAATAAATATATTTAATAAATAATAATTTTATATTTAGCATTTTTCTTATTTTATTTCAGGCTATTTTTCTAATATTAAAAGATAAAAAAAAATTGTTGGAACAATTAAAAAAATAATTTTTTGTGAAAAATGAATGGAATAGAAAATTTTGATTTCACAATTTGTAAAAAATATTTAAATATGATACCACTGTCTTCTAAAAAGTGGTGATAAAAAAATAGTTTTTTTTATGTTTTTTTAATTTTATATTAATTTTACTATAGTTCTTAATAAATTTTTTTTTATCACGAAACTAATATGAATTTTTCAAGGTTATATTTTTCCTAATGAATACCTAATGGAAATTTAATTAATTAATTTAAAAAAAAATACTTTAATTTAAAAAATGTTTATAAGAATAATTAAAAATGATTTAAAATTAATTTAAAAATAAATATTTTAAAAAAATATTTGTCTAATTATTAGTTATTGGAAATACCAGTTTTTACACTAAATTTGTATTGTTTGGTACAAAGAAATATTTTTTTAAATTATTAATAAAAAATTTTTTTAAAAAATACACCTAAGGGAGTGTAAATAAATTTCCAAAACAAATTCGATACGTTTTTTTTTTTATTTATTTTTGTTAATTTCCGTATGTTTTCTTTTTCATAATAGATCATCTTTTATAAGTTAATTACAAGTAGTTCTTTTCTCTCTAATAGTTTTTTTTTATCCTTCTATAGGGTAATAGGTATTTCACAGTATTGACTCTATTTCCTATATAGATGACTAAAGTTTTTTTTTTTTCTTTCATTTATCTACAAATATTATTCTATTTATACTTTGTATATAATTTGTATTTATATATATAATTATTTATATATATTTATAACAATTTTTGTTTATTTCGTTAATATAATTTGAAACGTTTATTAGTTTCTTGTGTATTTTTTTTTTTTAACATTCAATTGAAATTTTTTTTTTATATTAACCAAAGAAACAAAAATGTTAATTGAAGTAGTTTTTTTTTTTATCGAAACGATTTCTCTTTTTCGTTTAATGATTCTTTTCAAAATATATTTCATTTCTGAAAAGAATTCAATTTCGAAAGAAGCAGAATTAATGACTGTTAATCATTTCGAGTTTGATTTTTTGAATATGTAAATGAATAATTGAGCACAGAAAAAAAATATTGTGCATAAAAATGACAGAGAAAGAAAAAAAGAATTTTTTTTCAATATGAAAAAATTTTTATTAAAAATGAAAATGACGGATTTTTTTTTTTTTATTATCAATCTCGAAAGGATTAAAACGTAGAGAGATTATTTATAATGAATGTATATAGGTACTTTTTGAAGATAGTGTTTTTTTTCATTTTTTTTTTACTTTTGACACATATGATTGAGGTTTTCGAGCAAGTTCATTGCTTAGCTCGCGTCTCACAGCCTAGAAGTGATTTTCAATCCAAAATGTTTTTTCAAATTTTTTTTTTTTTTTTTTTTTGAAAAAACATTGCCAAGACGATTGCGCTCAAAAATTCCATGAGTTTTTTTTAAAAAAAAAAATCTTACATTTACTTTATTCGCTAATTTTTTTAAAATTTTTTATATCATTACTTTTACTCTGTTATAGTTTTTTTTTTTTTTTTTTTTGATTAACGATTATTAAAATTAGATATTTCATAACACTAATAGAATTTAAAAACAATTTAAAAAAAATTTTTTTTTTTTTTTAATGAAAAAAACAGGTTCGGAATTATTTAGAAATAAAATATATTTTTTATAAAAAAAAATTTTTCAATTTTAATATTAAAAGAGAAAATTATTTTGAAAATAAAAAAAAAAAAACGAATGAAAAGAAGAAAGTGTTAGACCGGCTATTTTTAAAATTTTTATTCTAATAATATTTTTAATGCATCATAATGATCGTAATTATAACGTTTCTTTATTCCCACATCGCTTTGCGAGCTCATCAGGTAACATGTTTTAAAAAATTTAGGTACAGACATAAATACAGTGATTTGATTTTTGCATTAATCTGGTACCAAATATATATAGAGATTGTTTTCTTTTTTATTTTTTTTTTTAATTTTTCCATACTTTGGATTTGTCAAAGCTTTTCATTTTTTTTTTTTTTTTGCTCTTAAAATTTAATATACTTTTTCCTAAAAAATAAACTCAACTATCACAATTAATATGGTAACGACTTAAAAATATATATATATTTCATTAAAAATTACAAAACAATATATTTCTTTTTTTTTCAAAAATTATTAACATTAAACTAATTTTGATTATATTGTAAAATTAGATTTTTTAAAAATTAATTAAAATGATAATTTTTAAATTTCATTATTTGGGGAAAAAAATAAAATTTTTTTTTAGTGATTTGACAAATACCAGAGATTAATATTCTGAAGTGCTTCATTTTCTTTTTTTTTGTATTTGTATTTGCCAATGGCACTATTTTTAACATGTACCCTAAAACTAATTTGCAAATAATTTTTTTTTTCTATTTTACACACACGATCATTGTGCATTTTTTTTTTTGTTGAAAAAATAACAATTTTTTAATGAAAAAAAAATATATATAAAAAGCATCATTAGAGGGCCATCGAGTTATATTTTTTTTTTGATTAAATTAAATTTTTAATTTAATATTTAATTAATTAATTTATTTTTTTTAATTGAAATATTTTGAAAGTATGTTAACAAAATGTAAAAATTTAAAATTATTTTGAAATAAAATATATAATGCAGTGAAAATTATATTTTGTGTAGAGACTCCACCCTGATGGGAGCATCAACTCATTTGATTGGTTACACTTCAAGGTCACTGAACGACGATTGTTTGACGCAGCGTGACCTTGAGGACTAACCAATCACAATGAATGGGCGTGTCCCGTAACGGTCGATTCTTACTTTTACTGATAGTTTCAACAGTTTTTGCATCTTGAAATTAGGAAAAATTAAAAAAAATATATAGAAACACAAAAAATAGAAAGAAAATAACAAAAAATATTTTAAAAAAGAATCAAAAATATTAAAAAAAAACAAAAATACAAAAAAAAGAAACAAAAATGTAAAAAAATAAAAAAAATATTTATATAAAAATACAGGAGGGAAAAAGTAAAAAATTTAGAAACAAAAAAAAATTAGAAAATTAAAAAATATGAATTTTAACGAAAATAAAAATTGTTATAATAAAAATATTAATCGATGTAGCCCTTTTTGAGTGAAACACTGAAAATACTATAAAAAGCTCTGCCTCATTTCCTCTCTCTCTCTCTTTCTCTCTCGTGTCTTGTAAACTTTCGTAATCGTTTATTTAATTTTTTTTTCATATAAAGCGATTTTTAACAGTTACTAGCTATTTATTTACAATGATTTAATAGGTCTACAATTTCGCTGAAAGGCGGCTGTATGTATATATAGTAAAATTTTCACGTTCTATATTGTCGCGAGCAAAATCGCAGACCAACATGATTTTTTAAGTAACTTTTTTTTTTCATGAAAGTCGCCTATAATCTTTCTTTTTTTTCTCTTTCCCTCATAATTAATAAATTTTTTTTTCTCATATATATATTTATAATAATCAACACTTCATATTCTGTATAAACTATATCGATTGCCAAATTAATTCTAGACAATATAAGTACACATAAAATATATATGTCGCATTTATAATATAATATAATACAATATAATGTAATATAATATATTTATATATATATAATATATATTATATACTAATTATAATTAAAATTATAAAATAAGTAACATTTCAGATAATATAGGGATGTGGGTTTTTTTTTTTTGAAATATAATAATAATAATAATTTACAAATTTTGTGTACACAGTACATATTAATATTCTACACCAGGTCCGCTCAAATTTTTTTTTTTTTTTTAATACTTTCTTGTTACGATGCAGCAGTGAGAGTGAATGAGGGATGTTATGCGATTTTTCTCGTTTTTTTTTTACTCTAAAATCTGAATTAGTCGTAAAAATTATTGAACAATTTAATTACTATTATGAAATTTTATAATTAAAAAAAAATATAAAAATAATAATTTATATTATAATTATAATTCAGAAAATAATATAATTTAATATTATTATATTGTAATTAATAGTAATAATTATTTCTGAATTTTTTTTTGATGAGAAATATTCAAATCACTACTTTTTAACGTTACTCTTCATTGATTTCTCGGAAAAGTATTCGATTCGGTTCCCTCCGCTGCCGTTCGGCTAGTTACGGCAATAAGGCCCGTCCCACTTGTTGCGCGCTACGTTCAAGGACGCCTGCGCGCCAACTCGGATACTTAAAGAGCGGGAGCTCACGCCGCTCATTCTCGTACAAGACTCTGGCGTTAAATCATCTTTTCTTTTTTTAATTTTGCGAGAAAATAATATCACATCGTTTAAAAAAAAAAAAAAAAATTATGCATTTAATAAAATACTTTTCGGACTCTTTTTTTTCCCCGACTATTTTAGATTTCGAGTTTTTCTTGTAACTGTGAAATCGTGAACGAATTTAAAATGATTTTTAAAAATTAATTTCTTTGACAGAATGTAAGAATAAAATCCGAACCTTTTTTTGTCGAAGCGAGTGTTGTGTAGATTATAGAAAATTGTAAAGAAATGAGAAATTTTTTTTTTTTTTTGAACGGCAGGCAAAGACATCCCGATTTTTTTTTTTTTTTTAAGGGAAGTGAGTAGAGTAATTGTATTTTTATTTCGATTTTATTCCTCACGCGCTAGAGAATTTCTACTTGTAAAATGCGTAAAACTCGAAACGTCAGGAGCGGATATTAGGCACCGAAAAAAAAACCACATGTGACAATTGACTTAAAAAAGTGTTTTTTCCGACACTTTTTAATAGTTAAAAAATAAAAATAAATTCACAGGTAACCAATATCCGTTCCTTGACATTTTTTTCATCTATCGATATTTTTTTTCTTTTTTAAACTATTATTTACGATTTTTATTTGTAATCGTAATATATATTTTTAGTTATGTTTTTTTTCCTACCTATTTATATATATATTTGAAAAGTTTTTTTTTCTGTACTTTGAAAATTCAATGCGTTATTGAAAACGATTTTTTCTGTCCTCTTTTTTTTTCATTTATTTCGAGCACGAAATTTTTGAGGCTGGACAATTTTTTTTTTTTTTATATATTTTAACTTTAACGCATATATATTTATCGTCGTATCGTAATTATGTTATTTTTTAGTTTTTTTCACAGACGTTAAGGGAAATACTAGTGCAGTAATTAAATCGTACTTTTTTACTACCACGCAGATTTTTTTTTTTCGAATATCTTAAGTACTTTTTTCTCTTTCTCTTTCTTTTTTAAATTATAGTCAAAATTAATACTTTCTAAAAAAAATTTTGTTTAGCAAAAAAATACTGAATCCAAAATACTTTTTTTTTGGAAAAAAAGGCGGGGGGTGAAATTGGACGTTTCTCTTTCGATATTAAAAAATGAATCTATAGGGACATTACGTAATTGACAGTACCCTGTAAAATTTTTGAAGATAAAAAAAAAAATTGAAAATTAAAAAAAGTTACGATTTTTTTTTTTTTTGCTTTTCAAGTCCTGCTTTTTTTTGGGTCCTATCTAAAAATAGTGAAATAGCACTGCAAACTATAGATATATTTTTTTTATATATTTATGCAAAAAGTGCATCACGACACTTAACTCGAGTATTTATTAGTGTTCTAAAATTAGCTAAAATTTTTTTTTTTTTATGAAATGTGCCGCAGTATATCGTATATTAATAATAGCGTCGGTCTTAATATTTTTTTTTTTTTTTTTGAGAGTTTTGCTAGAAAATTTCTTTTTTATTACGCGACATCCATCGAATAACAACTATAAACCTAACACACACTGCGTATTTTTTTTTTTTTTTTTTTTTTTTTTGGTGTTGTTAATTATAATATTAGCAAATATTAAATTTTCGGTACACGAACCGTTAATTATTATTATTTTTTTTTTTTTTCATAGGCCTTGGACAGTAAGTAAGTAATAAAACACGAGTGCGACGAATTGCTTCTGGCCCAAAAATTCGGCAAAAAAAAAAATTTATTTTTTTTTATCATGCATATTTTGTATTTTGTATTTTTTTTTTTTTTTTTTTTTTTGAAGAAAGATTATTTTTTAGGAAAAGAATACGAATTGTAAAAATCCGGATGAAAAAATTTGAAAAAGTTTTTTTTTTTTTTTTTTTTTGCTACACGAGTATTTGTTTGTCTAAAAAATTTCTTAGAAATAGGGAAAAGGGAGGGAGGAAAAGAATTGTAAAAAAAGGGTGTTTTTTAGGGAAAAGTTTTCTGGTTAGTGCTTCATTTTCAAATAAAAAACGAAAGATGATATTTTCTAAATTTTTCTATCCTAGAGGCTAGTTATAAATTTTTTTTTTTTTTTTAAATTTCTGAAGCAAAATCTCTATCTAGAAATTGTTTTTTTTTTTTTTTCCTAAAACGACAATGCACGTAGAAAAATGAGCCTCTCGCGTATTTTTTTTTTCTGTCTTTGGTTTAAATGCGAAGCATATAGAAAATAATTTGGCAGTGTTTTTCATAGATGCTTCGACATTAGCCTTTGACTTCAAATTTTGATTCATTTTTTCTGTTTTCGATGAATGAAAGTGATTTCTTTTTAATGAGATCTTAGGTTTTCTTTTTCGAAAACCTTTTCTCTTCTTTTTCGATGAATTTAACTTAATTTACCTTGTCTTAAGTTTCTAATGAAAAATCATTGAAAATAAACTTAGCCTTTGGCACGTTATAATATACTTTGGCATCAGAATTATTCTATTATTATTATTTTTTTTTTTAAATATTCTAATCTTTCGAAAAAACGGACAAAGAGATAAGTCAAATTCAATAAATTTTCATTGCTCTTTTTTTTTTTTTGTTCGTCAATAAATTTTTTCCTATCGTCAAGCAATAGATAGATAGATAGAGAGAGAGAAAAATAGAAGGAAAAAATGGATTTCAATTTTTGATGAAATTCATTATTTCCTTCTATTTTATTAATTATTAAGTTATTAGCGCTTAGCGCCATTAACGGTGCAAGATAGCGGCACAATAGAAAAATGGCCTTGAGGATTATTATTATTATTATTATTATTATTATAATTATTATTTTAAATATTAGGAAAATTAAACTAGACTCTGATTTTAGCGAGACGCTGAATTTCATATTTTCGTTGAACGTTGATTTCGTTCACGAGTAGATGGTAATAACTTCTCGGCCACCTCCTCGTACCATTAGCACCCTCTCGAGACGCTCGGTAAGGACTTCCAAAAATTCCATATCTATTTTTTTTTTCCATTAAGGAAATTTTCAAATTTTTAAATTAGTTTCATTTTCTTTTTAATTAATCTACATTACGATTTAGTTTTCATAGCAATTGTTTTTTTTCCAGTACTTCATCAGAAGAGAAAGATTTGAAAATTGTTGCCCATAATGGAAATGACCAGTAATCGCGATACACTTTTTTTTTTTATTGATTCTAATCTTTGTACCAACCTTTGGACAACTGAAATAAACAATAAAAATTTAATTACTAAAAGGATACAGTTATATTCTCGTTCCAGTTTTGTGTCTCTAGGAGGTCCTGGAAGATTTAGAATTACTAACTGTGCATCGTGACTTTTGTTCACGATGACCTCGTTTAATTTCACTGCAGTGTGCATACGTCTCACATTTCCCTCGTCACTAAATAGAAGAAAAATTAAATTTTAAAAAAAATTTACACAAATTCTATTTTTTTTTTAGAATCTATACTTACGGTGTGAGTTGAGTTGCTTCCTTAGATGCCTCCTCAGCCTTTTTATCCTGTGTACTTTTAGCCTCTTTTTCAGCATTCTCCTTATTATCCTGTTTTGGCGAACCACCAATATTATTTTTCACTCCCTCCGTTTGTTTTTCAATGGTTTCATTTTCAACAATTGTTGTTGTTGTTGTTTCACTTTCCTTTTGACTTGAATCTGATTCTTGTAAAAGTTTCTCCTGACCCTCTTCAACGCCATTTGGTTGATTTGATCCCGGCTCTTGGAATCGTACTTTTGTTGCTGTTTTTACATCCACATTATGATGATGATCAACAATAGCTTGCACCTAAATTGGAAAAAAAGAGATATCAATTTATATTTTCAATTTTATTTTTCTGAAATTCTCTCTATAAAGCTTATGAAAAAAAGCCCAGCGAGATTCTTAACTTGATATTTTTAAGGCGCCAAGTTAAGAATCTAGATTTTTGTTGATGACACATGAATAACAAAAGTAGCAAACTATTGTCCTGAAAACTAGAGCAACAAAACGAAATTTTTTTTGTCTACTAAAAAAAAAATAGTGCTCGTTTCGTCTGTGTTCGTCAAAAAAAATGGACATGATGCTAAAAAAAAAATTGCTTGTAAAATTTTGGAAAGTGATGATTAAAAATTTTGGCTTAAAGAAAGGATGATTGATAATTTGGAACAGATGGACAATAGGATAGGGTGAATAGGGTCTTTGACAAACCACAGGCAAACTTTCTTCAGCAGGTACCTCGTTGAACTCCAAGGTCTCCACCTTTTTCCGTGACGAGCACACAACAAAACAGATATAACAATCAGTACATCTTACGGAATTACTTTCCCAAAGAATTTAATATTAATTCATAATTAAAAATTACAAAACTCACCAATCCTTGGGATTCCTTTTTCTTTAAATGCATCTCTCTCAAAAATTGATTACGTTGTTCCATTTGTAGTGTTCGCTCATAAGTGTAAGCAGAAATATCAGCGTTCATCTAAAAAACACACAATCAAAATACAATTTTTTAAATACAAAATGGGAATTTTAAATTAATTACTTTACCATTTCGACAACTTCAACCTCAGCTTCAATTCGTAGATCATATAAAAATTTCTTAAGATCCTTTTTCATTTGAATCGAATTATCCTCCATTTGAGCGACGGTAAAAATTCTCATCTTACAATTCTTCCAGGTGCGATGTTGTTTTAAAAGAAATGGTAACAACATCAATAAACCACCATCGTGAACAATCCACCATACATCAATGTTGCCAACAACTTTTTCCGTTGAATCGGGAAAGAAATTAATTCCTTTTGGCACCATTAGCGCCATACGAGCTGATGCAACATTTCTCACTGTTTGCAAGAACACCCTCCACGTTCTTTCATCCTCGGAATGTTTCCAACCATACGGCCAGCCAAGAATCACTGTATTTGGTTTCATTCCACCGAGACCTGTAGTTTGTACCAATGCGCTAACACCATCCACAGTATTTCGTGCAACTAGAACATCGACAAATCCCTTAACCTTCTCCTCTTCCATAGAACGTCGTAAACTTTGTTTAGCCGCCAATGCTTCGCCAGAGTTCCTTGCATAATCACCATCAATACAGCTAACGCAGATTGTTAAACCTTTACCAGCTTTAAGCTGACTTGCAAATGTTAACAGTTTCCTGTACTTTGGAACAAGGTCACCGGTTAATTTAGCCAGAATTAAAATTTGTGGTCTCCAATTTTTCGTATGCGGTGGACCCTCCTCGAGTCTTAGAAGAGAATATCTAGCTGCTGACAGTGCAAGACCTCGAATACCATCACCCCATTCTTTTTCAGCTCCTCTATATTCAATATACTTGTAAATCAAACCAGCCATTCCCATTGCTAATAGTGCATAATACCAACTTGTCATAAACATAATCGCAATGCACAATGACAGACCAATAAACGATAAACTCCAATGATAGAATTTAAATCTTGGTCTCCAATTCGGAGTCCTCAATAAAGTTTGTAAGGCGCATGCAAGATTAACAAAACCATAGCACATGAGGAAAAACATCGACAGCAGTGGAGCGAGAAGATCAACATTTCCCAGTAAAATTCCACATTGGCAGATCATTACTGTGACAATAAGTGCACGAGTTGGTTCCCCACGACTTGAACTCTTGGCAAATGGTGCCAAAAATGGTATAATCTCATCTTTAGCAATTGCTTGCAATAGTCTCGGTGCTCCCGTCAATGATTGTAGACCAGCTCCCAATGTTGAGAGAAATGAACCAATAAGAATTACCCATTCATTAGGCCAGGCAATATTAGCAACAACGAGCCTTCCACCAATACTCTGACCAAATTTATCCCTCAGTAGAAGATTATCCACAGTACCAGCGAATAAAAGCACACATGACAAATAAACCGTTGACGTTGTTAAAATTGCACAAATTGTTCCAATTGGTATTGATTTTTGTGCATCGGCCAAATCACCAGATCTATTTGATCCGGCCATAATTCCTAAAAAGAAGAAGAAGAAAAAACGTTTTTTAATGAAAACTAAATCGTAATAATTATTATTTATTTTACCTGTCACCGAGGGAAAGAAGATTCCAATTAAAATAGTAAATGTTGTTGTTAGGTCAACTTGAATCTGATTATAACTTTGCGATGTCAGTTTGTCAATATCTTTTGGTTGATTATATCTCGCAATATATTGTCCTTCTTCTTGAAAACTTCCCCATATATTTTCTAGAAGAAAACAAATTTTTTTTAATTCCACAAAAAATTGATAATATCCCCTCAAAAAAATTTAATTAAAATACCTAGGAATACACCGCTAGCTAATCCTTTAATTCCATTGACAATTGTTACATCATTTTCATTGAAATAGGTATCGCATTCTCTTGAATTATTACAATATACATTACGAAGATAGTCTCTGTTACATTGTTCAGCGGTGACATTCTTTAATAATCTATTACCAAGGGTACACATCCTAAAACGTTTAAAAAAATGTTATATAATCGCATTACTGTTTCTATTTGGAAAAAAAAACGAGATGGTCACGTAATAATAGTTGACATAAGAACCCAGACACATTGTCTCTTATCTTACGATCAATCGTTAGGGATTTTATTGCTTTCAACTTGAATTCAACAAAGTTTTCTAAAGATAAACTTTTTAAACCCCCTTTTCTTTGCCTTTAGAAAATCTTACTTTACCACTTTAATCTTTGCTTTAGCGGAGATTTTCTTTTTAGAAAAAGAAGTTTTATTTATATTTTTTTAATAGAAATTGAAATTCTAATTTTAGAGTATAAACTAAAACTCACTTTAGTAAATCATTTCCATTGACGTTAACAAAGAGACCAACGTAGACGGCAATAATTGAAAAGATGACACAAGCAAGTGCCACTGTTGCAAACTTGTTGACAAACTTGACGCCGATAAAGACAATTGTACCCATGACCATTAGAAGACCAGTTCCATAAACACGAAAGTTATTGTACATTATGTTTGGATCTTTAGTGAAGTCACCAAATATACTCAAACTAGGCGCCATGTAGGTCTAGAAAAAAAAAAAAAATTCCTACCATTATTTAAAATGAAAAATTATTTCTGGGAATTTCAAATAAAAAATGTTTTCTCCTTTTTTCCACCTTAAATTATTGTCCTATGGGAAATTCAAAGGGAAGAAGATCCTTAAAAATAATGTTGGGTTATTTTTTTTGTAGGAGGACTATTAAATAAATTGTCAGCAATTTTTTTTTTCTTTTTTGTTTTTGGAAACCTACCAGAACAATTTCGACGGCACCAATGATGTACATGGCTGCTGCTAAAGTGGTACCTGTATAGAAAAGCATTCCCACAGCACCACCAAATTCAGGTCCTAAACTTCTTGAGATCATGAAATATGAACCTCCCGCAGGTACCACACCGTTCGTAGCAATTGCGCTCATACTTATTGCTGTCAGCATTGTCTGAGGAAAAAAAAAACAATTTTTTAACAAAAGAAAATTTTAAAATTATCAATTTTCTTTTACTCAATTCTCTTATATTTTCCAAAGAAATAGTTTTCCACACAATGGAAATGTTGTACATTTTCTTCAAGAAATTTTCACAAATCTATATAACCAACTGCAAATGGCAGTTAGCCAAGGGACAAATTGCTTCCACTATCCGCGAATCAATTCTCCAGAGATTATATACCAATAAAAATTACTGCTTCATAAATCAAAAAAACGTTTTTTTTACTATTCCATTCGCATTAAATAGAAAATATTTTTAAAAAAAATTGTATTATTTTTAATATACTAAAAGTAGAAAAAAATATATTATAAAAAAAATTTTAAGAAACAAAAATTTAATTTCAAAAATATATTTAGTATTATTAAATAGTTATTTACTTTCTCTTTTGTCGTTTAGAGACAGAACAAAATTAGAACAGAAAGTTTTAATCGAGAAGTTTGCTCATTGCCTGCTCTGAACTAAAGTAAAACTTTTTGTTCAGGGTCTTTGGATAAAATGATAGGCTTCCAGTCACAACAGATGTGTGGAATCTGTCATAAAGTCCTTGAATGCATTCTGTTATCTAATATTAAGTGATGTTCGATGAGAAAAAGAATTCTAATTTTCCTACCTTCCTTTTGATGGAAAAATTTTTCCAATCAGTTAAAAAAAAAATCAGTAAATGCAAAAAAAGAAAATATTTAGCTTAGTAAAAAGTATGTCATGCATAGTTTTTTTTGTCATTTTCTAGCAAAAATCTGCTAGGCTCAGCTTCTAAAAATAAAACTAAAATCATCATGCTTAAAAAAAAAAAATTAAATTATTCTACATTATTTCTCTCATGTTTATTAATTTCGAGGCGACATTCTCTCATTGTTATTATAAATTTTGTTCATTATCCCAATTAAAGCCATAATTAATGAAAGAGAAATGAACATTATTAACTGCAATTACAACGAAATGTGTTTATTTATAAATAGAATTTATCATATAATTATTAATGTCGAGAAATAATTTACCCATTTAATATACAAATTTTGTTGAAATTGAGATTCAAAAAAGATTATAATGAAAATTAATTGAAACCAAAAATAATTATTTGGCAAATTAAATAGAATTTTGCTAATTATTATGATTTGTCAGGCATTCAAAAATAGAAATTTTGAATTTTGTTGCTACGTGAATTTTATTAGGGAAAATAAAACTTACGACACAGCAGCAGCAAAGGACAATTAAAAATCCTTGAATTGCTCCTGCCGTTCCCACCACCCATGTGAGACGAATAAATAGAATAACTCCAAAGATGTTTTGTATACATGGTAAAAAGACACCAATCAATGTGCCCATTCGTGCACCTCCAGGTTTGCCAGCAGCTGGTTTACTGTCTGGATCTGTTGCCGCTGGTATTGTATTACTATAATCCGCCAAACTATGAAGAAATTCCGCAATCCGCGGCCGATCTTCCATTTCATCCTGGAAACATTAGGGAGAATTTTTATATTTATTTTTAATGACAATTTAAAATACAAATTAGAATTTTAGTTATTAGAAAATCAAAAATTTCTCCCATGTTATATCAATTGCAGGATCATTTGGAGGCTTTTTCTAAAGGTATAAGTCAGTTGAAAATTTGCAGATAATTCAGAGACTTTGTAAAACCAAATTTTAATTGGAAATCCGCAAATACTTTAAAGGCTTTTTTTGGGGTCCGCAGATAATCCGCAGATTTTTCGGAGATATAATTTTGATAAAAATCATTAAACATTCCGTAGGCTTTTTTGGGGTGGCAATCAGTTAAAAAATTTACAGATAATCCGCAGACTTTGTAGACAAAATTTTGATGTAAATCTGTAAACATTCCCGCAAACTTTTTTTGGGGTAGCAAATCTGCAGATAATCCGCAAATTTTGTAGACAAAATTTTTATGGAAATCTGCAAACATTCCGTTCGCTTTTTTTGGGTAGCAATCCATAAACTTTGTAGACATAATTCTGATAAAAATCATCAAACTTTCTGTAGACTTTTTTTGGGGTAAAAATCAGTTAATAATTTACAGATAATTCGCAGACTTTTCAGACATAATTTTAATGGAAATTTGCAAACATTCCGTAGATTTTTTAGGGTAGCAGTCCGCAGATAATCCGCAGACTTTGCAGAGATAATTCTAATAAAAATCATCAAACATTCTGCAGATTTTTTTGAGGTAGCAATCAATTAACAATTTGCACATAATTCGCAGACTTTTCGGACAAAATTTTAATGGAAATCTGCAAACATTCCGTACACTTTTTCAAGGTAGCAATCCGCAAATAATTCTCAGAGTTTGCAAACATAATTTTACTAAAAATCATTAAAAATTCCACAGAATTTTTCGAGGTATCAGTCTACAAGCATAATTCCGCTGAAAATCATCAAAAATTCCGCATACTTTCCACAAACAGCACTCAGCTTAAAATCAGCACCCCTCTAAAAGTCTACAAATTCTCAGCAAATGGAATATAATTTTTTTTTTTAAGAATAAAGTTCAACTATTCGATAAAAGAAAAATTTTAAACTAAGTTTAGAATAAAAATGCCCGAGTGAGAATGAAAAAGATGGCAAATATTGGAAAAACAGGATGTTTGTCAAAAGTTTAGTAAGTGGAAAGAAAAGTTGTGCTGAACACAATATATCCATATCTGAATATGGCGATAAGATCACAGTAAATTCAGAATAACTAAATTGAAAATTCAATAGAAAAAGGAATATTTCAAAAAGAATTCTAATAATGGAACTAGTAATTTCTTTTTTCAATAAATTATTTATACAGATATTTAGTTATGAAAATCTATTTATCTTTTTTCTTTTCGTTTTACTTTATTATATTTTGGCACTTTGCTTTTATTATACTTGACATGCGATAAAATATTAAAATAGACAAGTGGATAAAATTGCAAATTCATGTTTTTTTTTTCGTTATCCATAAAAGATTCTAAGAAAGTCGATTCTGATAAGTATCTGCAGTGAAGGAAATGGAAAATGTCACGTCTTTTATAAAAAAAACCTGAGAATTCCGCGCTTAGAATCATTAAAAAAAAATTCCTATTTTCAAATAAAAATAGTTCTGTAATTTCCAGGTCATTAAAAAAATCCTCTCTTCGTTTCAATAAATAATAATTTTATATAGAGTTTGGAATTAAGTTTGAAAATTACTATCCCATTTTCTCGAGAAGAAACTCAATTTCTTTTTTTACACAATTCTCATTTACTTTTGTAAATGAGAAATTTTTAGAGACAAAAGACAAATTAAAGGTAACTTCTCATTTCATATATATATATATATATATATATATATATATATAAATCTCGGGACAAAAGTTTCAGGTAGCATTTCTAATCTATTAATTCCTTTTTCCATTGTTCGTTATATAATCCGATTAAAAACTTGCGCGCTGAAAAGTACAAAGTCATATTTTTTAAAAAAAAAAATTGCATTCCTCTTGCATTGAATACGAAAAAGTTTATTTTTGTTGTTATTTGCTAAAAAAAAAAAAACTTTCAAGTTGCCTTATAAGTCAAATAATTGGGAAAGAAAAAAAGTTTATGCCAATAATTGGATTGTACATTTCAATAAAAAAAAAATGCTTCAATGAGGACAAATAAGACTCATTAAAATTTACATTGGGAAAAAAAAATTTTAATGGTTTTTTATCATAACCTAAAAATTATATTTGTGGTTTTAACTTTATTTTTCATTCTTGATTTGGAATTTTTATTACGATTTATTTTCATAAGGATAACTTTCTTGCACTCTCAGGTAAATTATATATAATTCAAAAAGTGAAGATTAATTTGGAAGTGAAATCTAACCTAATAATACAATTAACCTCTAAATATTTTCGGTTTTAATTTATTTTTTCATTCTTGATTTGGAATTTTTATTACGATTTATTTTCATAAGGATAACTTTCTTGCACTCTCAGGTAAATTATATATAATTCAAAAAGTGAAGATTAATTTGGAAGTGAAATCTAACCTAATAATACAATTAACCTCTAAATATTTTCGGTTTTAATTTATTTTTTCATTCTTGATTTGGAATTTTTATTACGATTTATTTTCATAAGGATAACTTTTTTGCACTCTCAGGAAAATTATATATATATAATTCAAAAAGTAGAAATTTTTTTTACTAATTTGGATGAAAGATGGTTAAAGTGAAATGTAACGAGTTTAGGAAGGGAAAAAAATTTTTTTTTTTTTTGGCAAAAAAAAGAAGTAGGGTATTTAAAAAGACGTGAGAGAGGAAGCTGTTTGGAGAGTTTCAAAAGTTTCATTAAGCTCTAACAACGTCAGAGAGTGCGAGATAGGGCGCGTGTGTCTCGTAACGGATGAGTCGTATATTAAAGCTTAACGTTGCATGTGAGGGTTATAGTTGATGAGCACTCGGACCCCGAACATCTAACTTGTGTCTTGGTTGCATATATATATACACATGTATTGCATTTTACAAGAGAGAAGAAGAGAGACGAGACGCCACCGTAATAACTTTCCACTTCACTGAAAGGCCATGTATTCGTTGCTTATATGAGAAGACTTGGTTATAAAGCCTCGACGACGACGATGCAAGATACCTTTTTTTATATATATATATACATTGACGTCAATGGATTTGATTACTCCTTTTATTCTCAAGGAATTTTCCCTTTTTTTAAAAGAATTTCAAAACTTCTTTTTAAGATTTTTTTATTTTCGAAAACATAACCTCAAAATAAGGCTCTTTTTATAATAATTATTATTGCTTCTTTTATTCTTTAAATTGAAAAAAAAATTAATTTCATATCTTGAATTAGTTTCAAATTTTCTTACAGTTGAAAATCAATGAGAGGTTAATATTGGGAAATGTATGATTGACAGGGTTGGGTAACCACACGTCGAAAACGATTATGATTGGCTGGTAAAATATCCGGATATATTACCCGCCAATTAGGAACATGAAACATGTTTTTGATAACCTAACCTAAAATTTGACATTCTTGGCACTCGTGACATATATAACCTCAAATAATATATATTGAATGTGACATTTTCAACAATTTCTTCTTTTGAAAGGAATTTTTCTTTGTAAACTAAAAGAGACTTGAATTCCACGTATTGAGGAAAGTTGAATATGTGTGTGTGTGTTACAATAGAATACATTCTTTTGAAAAAGGACATTTTTCTTTCAATTCCAAAAAAGGGGGATTTTAATTAAAAAAAAATATATATTTTTCCCCTTTTTTAAATTCATATTTGTAAATTAAAATTTTAGTTTTTTGGAATATATAAATGAAATATAAAAAAAAATTTACGAAATTTCCCCAATCATTTAAATGAATAAATAAAAGAAAATCAAATATTTAAATAAAAAACGGAGAACATTTTAAATTGTTATGTATAAATAGAGAAAACGTGATTTGAAATAAACATTTGTAATTTTTTTTTTTTTTTTTTGTAACAGAAAAATATTTTTATCAATTTATGAGAATTTATAAAATTTTAATAGAATTTATAAAATCTGAATTGGAAGCTTTATTTTCTTTTTAAAAAATTTTTATTGAAAATAATTTTAATTTCATATAAAAATAGTAAACATTTTTTTAAAAAATAATTTCCAAGTAAAAATTAATAAAAATTATAATTTTTTGAATTAGTTTTTAATTTTTTTTAAATATTTTGATATTTCATTATTAAATTAAAATTTTACTTTTTAATTCTTTAATTAAGAAACTTTTTCATTTAATAGTAAAGTTTTTTTTAAAAAACCGCATTTTTATACAAAAAAAAAACTTTCAACTCTAAAAAAAATTTGGCCCACTTGATATTTGAAGTGCGAATAATTACATGAAAATCAAGTAAATAATAATTAAAGTTTTACAAAAAAAAAAAAAGTTATTTATGAAAGCAATCAAAATTATTTTATGACAGTATAAATTTAAAGAACTGAGTTCATTACTCTTACTGGAGAATTCTGTCTGGCAAAACGACGACTTTAGGTCAAACTTGTCCTCAAAGTTATATTTATAAGAGTATCGTTAAACTCTACCAAGTTCTAAAAGTCGTAACCTAAATGAAGAATTTATTAAATTTTCATTAACCTTAATAAACGATTTGATGTACTTTTTTCTATTTCATGAAATAAGACTCATAAAAATTTTATAAATTTTTTAACAGATTTTTACCATAACTTAAAATGACATAAATATTTTCGGCCTTTTTTTTAACTATATCAGATTGTTCTCAATTTGGAATTTTTATTACGATTTGGTTTTCTAATAATTAATTTTTTCACTCTTTGCAAAAATAGAAAAAAATTTTTTTTTTGAATTTTCCCGCCACGAGAAATAATCTATTTTCGAATTCAGGAACAATTTTTTTAAAAATTAAAAAAACAATTCTCTTATTGATATTTTTAATTATATATATTTTATAAAAATGTAAATAAAAAGCAATAATAAAGATTTCAAGTAGCTAAAAAAGTAGAACAACTGAACTCGCAACTGGGTCTTGAGGGTCCTTCATTAAAAAGCGAGAATTCTCAGGCGAGTGGCAAGCTTAATTGTCTTTCGAAAAGAGAGAAAAAAAAAAGTTCAGTCCAACGTTTCTAGCATTCAAAATCGTAAAAAGGATTCCTTCTTAATTATTATTCATTTCAATTTTTTTTTTCTTTTATTTTCATTCGTAATTTATTGCCTTTATTTAAACTTCTTTCTTTTTCGATTGTGAGGGAGAAAAAAAAATTAATACTCCTCAAAAGTTGTAAATTAAAAAAAAAAAAATTTCGTTTTTATTTCAGAAAAGAAATAAAAATAAATATTGTAATTACTAATTATTGTACTAATTTTTCATACAAATTTTTATGGCAAAAATAATAAAAAAAAAAGTTATTAAAAATAAAAAATTACTTAAAATTGTTAAAAAAAAAACTAAAGAAAGTTCATTAGAAGAATTCCAATAACAGAATTGAAATCTGAATAGAAGAATGTAAAAAAATTTTCCCCTAAAAAAAAGTTGTAAAAAAAAAATTTTTTTTAATTAAAATAGTTTTAATATTTTACAAAGGTTGTTTTTGATATTCTATACTTGATTAAAAAAAAAAATATTTTTCTATTCGTTTCTAAAAATGCAAAAGAGAAAAAATTTCAATGGGAAAAAAAAATTTTTCCATTAAAATCATTTTCTTATTTTGCAAAATTAAAAAAAAAAAATCCTCTCTCATTATAAATAATTTTCCATAATTTCGCAATTTATTAAAAAATTTTCCCTCATTTACAATTTTTTTCGCAATTTCGTTTAAAAAAAAAATTATCTTCTTTAATAAAGTAGATTAAAACTTTTTTCCTAATAAACTTTTCATAAAAAATAAAAAAAAAAAAAAAATTTCAAAATTAAAAAAAAAATATATTTTTTTTATGTTTAACAATTTAACAATATTATCGGTTTTGTATTTTTAGTCACCGAGAGATAGAGAAAAGAGAGTGACAACTTAATGAATTGTGTACATTCCAAGAGAGAAATACTTCACACAGTAGTTGACAGTAGAGAGATGATTAACGAATTAGAAAATCGTTTTATGTAGTTAGCAGTTAAATGCTCCTGACGTAAACATTATTAAACCAGGATCATGAGAATTTAATCCATTCAGTTGTTGCATTTCAAAAGCCATATAAAATGACAGATGTATTTTTATCATTATTTATTTTTTTTTTACTACATTATTTTACTGTTTTTCTTTAAACACCCCTCGACGACAGCTTTTTTGGTTTTATAGGTGACTGCGATAAGTGACATATTTAATTTATATATTGTGTGCTTTTCTTTTTTTTTAAAAAAGAAAAACTTTTTTTTACAAGCAGCATTAAATTTAAATTTCAACTCACTTTTTAAATATCCTTTTAAATTTTAAATGAAACCTTTAAAATTCATCTTTCCTATATATATATATATATAATGCCTCTCTAAATATTTAGTTTTAATATATAAAATTCTTTGGATTTTAGTTCCGTTATTTGTTTATAGAAAGAAAATTATTATTTGAAATTAAAAAATTTGAAAAAAATTTTTTAAAATTATTATTAATTTAATAATTATTATTATTTAATTTAATAATTATTATTAATTGAAATTTAAAAAAATTAAATTATTACAATTAATACAAAGAAAGATTTTATAATTGTAGTCACTAAAATTATTATATATTTTTTTATACTTACATTGTACAAATATAAATTTGTTTCGTATCCGGATTTTTCTTCCGAATTGAGACCAATTTGTTCTCCATCTCCGCCTGGACCTCCGCCATCGCCTAAAAAAAAGCGAATTAAAAATTTTTATTATTTTTTTTTTCAATAATAATATAAATCATTTTTTCGTTAAAAATAGAAATTATTATTTTTCATTATAGAGGAAAATAAAAAATACAATTTAATATAAAAAAAAAAATAATTTCCTATTATAAAAGAAAAGAAGAGAAAAAAAAGTATAAATTTTGTTTCAACGATACAATAAAGTTGAGAACAGTGCGCGCGCAACTAACAGGTAGTGGGGACAGCGAATGATAACTCGTAATTGGGATCTTCACTCGTTTGCGCACGCGCACAAATAGTGTTCTCAACTTGATGGAAACCAAACAATAAAGAATCGCCACTAAAAAGCTTTAATAATATTGAATTAATAAATAAAATTATTAGTACAATTGTAAAACCACTTTTATATAAAAAAATAAATATATCTTTTCCCAAAAAAAAAAAAATTGAAATCTACTTTAAAAAAAGTATTTTATAATTATGTAATAAAATAATAATTATAAAATCATTTTATTTTATTTGAAAATAAAAATTAGAAAAATACAATTTTAAATCTAGATTCAAAAAAAAGTTAGTTAAAATTCTTTTACAATTTTATTCAAAAAATAAATTTAACTTGATTTATATTTGGAGAATAAAAAAAGTTTTTTTTATATATATATATATTTATATATATATGAGGGGGGGGGGGGTTTACTTGGGTAAAGTTTTATATATATATATATATGTGCGATTTTAATGAGGATACATGTCAGAGTTATAAAATCCGCTCGTATAACCTTTTTTTTATAATAAAAAATTTACCCAACGTAATTCACTGTGTTTGTCCTCTCTCTCTCTATATATATATATATATGTGTGTACATTTATCTATATAGAAATATGAGTCACGAATAGAAAAATATATTTCTTTTCATTTTTCGAAAGCTTTCGACAAAATGAAGATCCATGAAAGCTCTCACATAATTTAACAGAAAGCGGTTAGCTAAAAATTGCAATAATCCCAAAAGGGTATAGAGCGACTTTATATATTCAAAAACTGGCATATTTATAATATCTGCGGCAAAAAAAAAAAAATATATCGTTTAATAATTCCAGTTTTAAGTGGAATAATTTTTTTTTCTACCGCACACATTTCACATTATTCTTTCACGTGAAAAAAAAAAATCATTTTTATTTCAAAAATTTTATTTTATAATAAAATTTCTATATAAAAAATAAATTATATTAATATTTTTGTAATAATTAATAAAATTTATTTAAAAATTTATTTAAAAAATTCAAAATTTAAATAAAATCTTTTTTTTTAAATTAATTTAAAAATAGTTTAAAGAGAGAAATCTTTTTTTTTTTTATGTTAGTGGTAAATTAACGAAAATTTTTCCCAACAAAAACATTGTGGGTTTTTGATAGTGTTAATTAACAGAAATGAAGCGGGTTTGCGTTTGACTCGACGACCTATCCGCATTATACAAGCCAGTAATGTGAGTAAAGTCTAAAGTGGGAACTAAACGGCTTGTCACTTGGGCTTTTCAAATTATATTATACGCTTTTGAAACTGGCACGTGCCACTGGGGATTGTTGTGAAACTGAAGGCATCCAAATTGATCGATCTCATGAAAAAAAAAAAAAAAAAAAAAAATTCTAAGTAAATATAAACTACACTTGATTTTTAATCAATTTTTTTTTAGCAAATTTTTTCAATATAATCAATATTTTCGAATATTCATAAATGTGGGAAAAAAAACTAGAAATTTTTATAGTAAAATTACTAAAGTTTCAGAAAATTAGTAGGATTAAAAAAATAACTAGTTTTCACAAAAATTTGCTAGATAACATGAAAAATCCCTAGAATTTTGATTAAAGTTACTAGATATCATTAAAAAAAACCCTAGAGCTTCTATTAAATTTACTAGATATAAAAATCCCTAGATTTTCGATAATAATTACTAGATAACTTAAAAAATCCCTAGAGTTACGAAAAAAATACTAGATAACACAAAAAATACCTAGAGTTTCAATAAAAATTACTAGATACCTTAAAAATCCCTAGAGCTACGATTAAAGTTACTAAATATCATTAAAATCCCTAGAGTTTCAATAAAAGTTTCTAGAAAACACAAAAAATCCCTAGAGTTTCAATAAAAATTACTTGATAATTTGAAAAACCACTAGAGTTACGATACAAATTACTAGATAATTTTAAAAATCACTAGAGTTACGATACAAATTACTAGATAATATAAAAAATCCCTAGAATTTAAATAATTATTATTAGAAATCATAAAAATCCCTAGAGTTCCGATAAAAATTACTAGATAACACACAAAATCCCTAGAGTTTCGATAAAAATTACTAGTGAAAATAAAAAATCTCTAGAGATTTTCAGTTTTTTTTATGTAACTAAATTTTATTATACAAGTCACTCAAAAAGTACTAATTAATTTTAGATTAAAATTTATTATCGTAACCTAAAAAAACATTTATATTGTAAAATTTGAGAATACATGAGAATTTAATTTTCATAACAGAATTTATTTGAAAAAGCAATAAAATTTAATGTGTGTGATAAAATTTTTTTTTATACAAATTGTAAAAAAAACCCATAACAATCAAAATATCGTTTAATTAATGCCATGTACATAATAAATAAAGTTGACATTAATTATTCATCTTAATTTTGCATTTTTTAAATTTATTGAAAAAAAAAATCTCGTCTCTGTTTGACGAATCAATTTTGTTGGAAAAAAAATTTTTTTTTCTTTTATGTACACAACTTTTATGACAGTAATATTTTTAAGAAAAAGATCTAAAAAAATTTTTAGGTGACACAAAAGGGGAAAAAAAGTAATAAATAATTTTTTTTATGTAAATTCTGATTTTATGTAGGAACACATGTGGAAGGAAATCAATTTTTTTTTGCTTTAAATGGTAAAAAAATCTAATATTTAAAAATTTAAAAAAAAATTTCAGAATTTTTATTAATAAAATTAATTTAATAAAATAAATAATTAATTAATAAATAAAATAAATTGAGGAAATGTAATTAATTTAATAATTTACATTAAAAAAAAAGTTACGGATTTTTTTTTAATAATTACAATTTTCAATTAAAATTTAATTGTTTTTTTTATATTTTTTTACCTTTATTAAAAAAAATATTTTACAATAAAAACAAAAAAATAAAAAAAAATGAAAATCCCTAATAAAACTTTTTCGTTATTTTACGAGGCATTTTGTTACATAAACCTTTAATGAACACGTAGAAAATAATTTCCACTTGACAAATGAATGATAATAATGAAAAAAAAGGGAGAACAAAGTGAAGAGGACGATGATGGAAAAAAATTTATTTCAGAATCTCTCTGTAATTGACATCGAGAAAATAAATTAGCTTCTAAATTATCTGTAACGTCATTATCGTTGAAAAAAAACGTTTCTAACTGACGTGAAAAATTAATTTCTCATTATACAGTCAATTTCGCGTACAAATATATATATAAAGAATGAGAAATGTAAAAGAGCAAGAAGAAAAAAAAGCACTTGAAAAATTAAATGAGAATATTTTATAAAAAAAAAAAAGAAAATTGAATAAATAATTTCAGTTTATAGATATAAACAAAAAAAAATCTCTTAAAATATTTGACAAAATTTAGAAAAAGTTTTTCTCCATTTTACGGTTCTCGCTTCCAATTATAATTTCTTGTGATCAAAATAATCAGAAGCATATCGAAGGCTAGTGCGGAAATAATTGCTTGTCAAACCGTGAGACCTTATTAAAATATTGCACTTTTCTTTTGTAAAAGCTTCAGATACTTGGTTTATTCATATTTCTATAATAAGATTACGCGAAAGATTATTATTAGACGATAAATGTATTGAGTTACTTGTATTTTAATGTTATACTTTTTTACGTTACAATAAAGAAAATTGTAGTTCAAATTACAAATTTAATGAAAAAAAAATTTGTTTTTTGTTAATTAACATAATTTAAATTATTAATTATAATAATTAATTACATATTGTAATTTTTATACAATTAATTATATGTATTAATTTTTATACAATTAATTATATACAATAATTATTATATAATTAATGATTTATAATATAATTCTAACGTATTTAATAAAAAATATATAATAATAAACATTTTTCCAAGAAAATCATGTTTGAATGGATAAGTGAATGGGAGGGAAGAGCGTCGGATACTTTCGCTGCTGCTCGGTTTGTTCCGTCAATGAGGCCCATCCCACTGTCTTCCCCCTCTACTCGCGCTCTTCACGCAACCCACCAGCATCGACTCTGGTACTTAAAGAACAGGAGCTCGCAATTTAACGCATTCGTACTCGAAACTCAAACGTCGAATCATCTCTAAATATTTAGAAAAAAAGTTTCTGCGATCGATTTCGGACTAAATCACTAAAAATAATTCCATATGCACTCAGAAAACAGTCTATTCCATCTCTAAATATTCACTTAATTATAAAAATAATAATTATCTACATTTATTTTAATTTCTCTATAAAATTAATGATTAAAAACATTTTTTTTTAAATTTATCCATATAATTAATAATTTGAAACCCTTTTTAAAAAATATTTATAAAATTAATGAATGGAAACATTTTTTTAAATATAGAATTATTAAAAAATACATAATAATTAAAAGAAAAGAAATTGAATATAATTAAATTAAAAAATAAAGCTCCCAATGTAATTTTGGTAAAATTTAAAATTAATCAAAAAAAAAATGAAATACATATTTATTTCGACTAATAAACTATATTGACACATGAGAGGAAAAATATTCTCCATGTACATTCGGTCACGATCTTCCGTTTCCGCTCTATTTGTGGCGTTATTTTCGAAGCTCTATCTCTCCTTGACTCAACAATAAATCCAGAACTGAATACGTGACCGACCATAGCCAAAATATGTTTTTCATGGATGCTTCGGAAAATTCCATTTTTTTTTTTTTTTTTTTTGAGGATGAGTAA